TCTGTGTCATCATTTGCATTTAAAATAAGTCCTTTAGGTAAAGAATAACACAGTCTTAAGAGTGCCGTTGCATGATAGTGTCTATTTACAAGAAGGAAACTTCAATTACTGGGAGCTCTGTTATTTCAAGATGGCGGTTCAATTCCTTTGTTCATGTAGAACTAAAGAATTATATAAGCGCTGTTTTGGCAGCTGCACAATCAATAGAATACGAAAGTTGTCATTTATGAATATCGGCATGTTGTGCTTTTTTCCCTCTTCGTTTACAATCTTAATTGAAAAAGTGAAGTGCAATTGCCAATTTATATCACGCAAAGAGAGTCTCTTCATCGAATTGACCAATGTATTTTATTCTTAAAATGTCTGTGATTGATGATTAAGTATGGTGAAACCACAGCGAGTATAAAAATAACTAATAAAATTGTGTTACTATGAAGGAAGCAGTTAACCTCCTCTCGCTCTTTCTGGTGGTTTTCAGATGTGACAGCCAAAATATTTATTACAGTCTTGTGGTAAGGTTATGGCACAGACCTAATATGTTAATATGATAGGGAATTGTGCCCAAAAATAGTAAAGGACTTCTGATAAGTTGCCACCCACAAAATTTCATTGGTTACAACAATGCAACACATCATTCATCATTGCAAATTAAAAAGGAGAGAAAGCTGCGGAATAAAGTTCACCTTTCAAAGCCCATTTTCAAAAGAGAACCGAAAAAGGATTGAATTTATCTTGTGGACAAAAGTTATGTTTGGAGCACGTCGGTTTTGATGGCCTTTTATTAATCTTACCCACTTTCCCCCTTCCTTCACACGGAAAATGTGTGTTTCCTCGTATTTTTTCGACGTCAAGTCACCTTCGAATTTTAGAGGCATAACATGCATTCCTTGTGGAGCACATTTTCACGCACGAGCAAGTAAAACGAGTGCTGAGGACGCAGATTGACCCAACGCAATTTTAATGTTTATGGTGCACAGAGATGCTCTATTTAACGTTTTCCTGGTTTATTATGATAAAAATGGCAAAAAACTTGAAACTCTAGGAGAGCTTTCTGAATTGGTCATTAAGTGACATTGGAGAGAAGAGTTTAAATATTCAGATTTTATGTGAAGCTTCTCCCCATTAGAAGTGAAAATTCTGACTCCAAGTTATCAGTTATCAGTGATCACCTGCTTTGTGTTTGAGAAGAATTTCAATCAATGCAAACATAGTTTTTAAATCCTTCTTTGAAAATCCGCTTAAACTAAGTTTAGTAGTGCAGAGTCAAATATTTATTTTTGAAAATAGAAGCTTGCGTAATCGAGAGATTCAACCAAAGTCAGTGGATCCTCACTATCAAGGTGGCTTTTTCCAAATCATGCTTCAGTTTGTCCTATTCAGAATCGAACAGGACCACCAACACTTCCATGGTATCCCTTTTACTATTTTACTGATAACAGACGACAGCGGCGGCGTAAAATCCAACAATCTCTTTATTTTCAAGCCACTTCATCACTTTTTCACCATACCTTTGATCACTGAAAGAAAACACAGACTATTGCTGGCGACAATCATTCTTGCTCTGTTTTTGAACGATTGTTTTCCACCAGCCAGCTGGTAACTCGACGATAGAACTTCAGTGCGTTTCTTTGCCTGTGTTTATTCTTTCTTCACAAGCACGCAATAGCCGAGTTTATTTTCGCTCGAATTATTGTAGATAACACATTTCACTGTTTGAAATGTGTTTTGTATACGGTGCATAGGCATGGGCTTTTGCGGCACGTTCTTTCGTTCGCTGTCCACTGCATAGAGAAATAAATACGTAAGTCTGACTACCATTGAAATAATTAATTTAGCCCTATGATGTATTGCGTCGTGCGCCTAAGTGTTTTTGTGGTAGCTATGTGGTTTTTTATCGCGGATAAACCACCAAGAATTGTAGATTGACAGTTTTAGGAAAAGTCATTGTAAAATTAAAACGGCTGTGATGAATTTACGTCAAGTCCATCGGAAAGCTGGAATAATACTTGAGACAATTTTTGATCCTTGTGGCAATTTAACACACAATTATATGCAGTTCCGCTGAAGTTAGAAAAGCGAAAGCGATTTCGGTACTGCGGTAAGTAGTTATCAGTAAGTAGTGTTATGTGTTATACATTGAATTCATTTATTAATTCATTTGTGATATTTATTCGTCGAAATAGAAAGTGTCTACGTAAATTTATCCTTGATGGTTACTCCTATTTAGACAGACTCTTGGTAAGATATCCTTACAGCCTCATACTACTGTAAAACAAAGCTATAGATTTAAAGGCAACTGTGGTTTTCACCATTGTTTACTTTATCCAAGAATTGTAGTCATAATAAATAATCGGGCTGTGCAGAAATCTTACTCGGCTCTTTAGATGAGCCTTTTTAATATTGAAATTTAGGTGATACTTATTAGGGTAATTTTACCTTGATGCGCCAGAGCGACAACCATAGTTATAAATATATTCATTGGTCTCAACTGCCGTGTTTAAAATCATCTGAGGTTACGAAATAACCGTCATTTAGCTGAACTTCTCTCTTACTTGTCTCTTTTGAACATGGCTCTATTACAGTAGTTACATTTTGGCTCTGCTACGTGTTACGTTCGTTGCGTGAACTACGTGCTACGTACGTTGCGTGAACTACGTGCCCGTTCAGCTTCATTCGAACTCTTCTAATGTCTTTCTTTAAAAGTAGCATTCTGATAACGTTCTAGAGGGGCTTTTTGGAAAACAGCCAAAAAGGAAACTGCATAACGGCTGTAAAAAGTAGACCTGCTTTCGTGATTTTTCAGGAGCAGTCTTCTCTAAAGAGACTGGCGCGAACGGAACTGAAGAAGAAGCTCTTAAACTTGCCATTGAGTATATAAATGATGACAATGAAAAGTACGCGGGTATTGAATTGAAAGCCTTGGTTAAATATTCGGATCCGATGGACGATTTTGAAAATATCGAGCAAGGTGAGAAATCTAGTATTTATGAAAACAAGAGGACGTACTGCGGAGTAGAGGGTACGCTACAAGCAGTTCCTGCTTTTCGGCAAAGTCCGTCGCGTTAGTAAAAAAAAAAAATAAAACCAGAACTCAAAGAGGGAGGCACACTCTCAGAGTTCCGCGCTACGCGCTAACATCAATTTTTTCTCTAATTTTGTTTACCCGCGCGACGGATTTCGCCGACAATAAGGGACTGCTCATAATTTAAAAAGAGGAAGGTTTCTCTTCCACCCTTCTCTCATCTTTCCCCTATGTGATCTTGCTGTTCGTTACTTTTGTGGGCAAGCTACAAAGAGTTTGAATATTACATTTATTTTAATTTTTGTGAAGATAAAGGCTGAAATAAAAAATGGTCAAGCTGGAATGCGATGTTGATTATTAACGCCTTGTGATACCAGCAGCGCTATTGCCATCTGACCGAACAATATATTTACCCGATTTCAAGTAGCCCCAGAGCTAAATTTCTAAGAGCAGTGCACGGCTGCCGTCCTATTGTTTCAAGTCTTATCTTTACTCCTACCTGTGTTGCATTTCTCAGAGTGATAATCTTTCTCTGAAGTTCAAATTTATGATTTTCTCTCATTTTATTGAATATACCACTCTCGTGAATAGTATTTTATTGAATAATATCACTCTGGTTAATAGATTGATGCACAATTCTCAGTTGCCCAAATTCTATGTTTTTGTGTCTAATTGATTTAGTTCCTATGGGTTGCCTACTCCACTTGAAAAAAGCTATGATAAACCACTTAGAGAGTTAAGAATGATAATTCGTTAACTAACTGTTAACAACTATAGCAAGGTTTACTGTAAAGCATCCATCCATAATTCTGTTGCATGACTTCTTTTCTCTTCTGACATCAACGCAGCTATTTTTAGTGATTCTGAACTCATGCTCTCGTTTCCAGTCAACAGTTTGCTGAGCAGTAACATATCAATTCTTATTGGTCCAATGGAAACGTCTGCCGTAATTGCCACCCACCCTCTGTGTAGCAGAGCAAGTGTCCCTCAGATAGCTCCGCTGACCAGTCTAGAAATCATTTCCGAAGGTGATAGTGGTTTGAACTACTTATTGCGCATGAGCCCCACAGAGAAGCTGAAAGCCAAAGCAATAGCAGAGATAATTAAGAGGTACAAATGGGAAACGATGGCTGTGCTAGGATATCAAAACAAAGAAGGTGAAGTTAGCAGCAAATTTTATGTTCAGATACAATTTTGTACCAATCTTTCGGTCATTAAATGTGGCTTACAAAGAAGTAATACTCTTCGAATTGAGCCGTGAGACAATCTACCTTGTGCTACTAATCGAGTATTTTTGCAAAGCGAATATGTGAATTTGTTGAGTTCTTGAAAACATAGCTCCGTGCTCGGATAAATATCAATGTAAAAGACAGAAATATCAAAAAAGTGTGTTGAGATCAGAGCTTTACTCAAACAAGTCACATAGTTTTCGATCTAGGTGAAATAAGTTCCAATTTATTGAAACCATGCTTTCTCGGAACCTCAAGGAGAGAATCAGCCTATTAATCTTTTTTGTAGAGAGCTAGCTGGACTTGATCCGTACTTTTAAGACATTAGGCCGATATTCTCTTAGAAGAGTCCTTAGACTTGGTTGATAGGATATATTCATATATACATGTAACAGCTCGTATTCGATGGTGCGTGCTCACCTACATTTCCCTGACGACAAGCGGAGCTTGTATCAATCCCGCCCTCCCGAAAGAGTGTGAAGAGATAGTCCTTCAATGAGAGAAAAAAATTTTTTGCAGCTCCTGAAGGTCACTCCAGCTTTCGTTTGATCGCCAATGGAAACGAATGGAATATGGTTAAGGAAACTCTTATCTCACCTGATCGAGATGGTAGACAAGGAGATCTGGGTTCGGCATTGATAGATATTCAAAATTTGAAAGATTCTCAAAGCACTCGGCTTGCGGTCATGTTCTTTCCTGCGTGGGTTGTGGAAAAATTTATGAAAAGGTAAAAAAACCTGCAAACAGAAATGGGCAACTGGACATGGATATTTTCAAACTTTGGGAATCGTAAGGTGAGATTTTTTTTTTTTTTAAGTGAAGTTCATTTTAAAGAGGTCGACGAGTAGTTTGGTGGACGCTTGGTTAAGCTGCTGTGCTCCACATCTCGACCACGGACAAGTTTAGACCAATAAAATCCTATTTGTTCTTAGTGGTGTCCTTTTAGATCGAATAGCGTCCTTAGAGTTCTGCAATATTAGAAGGGTAACCACTCAACAAACAGGGCGCCAAGGCTAACATTGCAGATCAAGATGTCATCTAATGAGAGTAGCAACAATCACATCGTGTGAAAACGGTGTAAAGGTAAAAAAGGTCAATTATGTACTCGAACCTAGTGCCCACCCAGCCGGAGCTTATCTTGGTTTTCATGTAGCATGAAGCGACTAAGGGTATTACTACTCCCCCTTGGATGACAGGCTAGTCTATAGCAAGGCTACCCCCCAGCATTTCATCCGGCCTCTCTGACGATTCGCCGGTACCCATTTATACTCCTGGGTGAAGAGAGGCATTGTGAGAGTAGAGTGCTCAACACAACACAACACATTGACCCGGCCAGGTCTTGAACCCAGACCTCTCGACCCGGAGTCCAGTGCACTAACTATTATGTTTGATGTTTGAAATATTAAGTTAAATCGATAATCTTGGTTGTATCAGGAGGAACTCGTATGGTTTGTGACAAAACCACTCAAGATTATCCTAAAGCTAACGTGGGTTTCTTCCTATGAATTCACCGCAATCGAATATTTTTTATACTGATATACTTATTTACCCTCACCGGCTTTTGACAGATCAATACATTTTGACGATTGGCCAGTTCGAACAAGTGGCAACCTGAAATTAATGCAACTGAGTATGTGACAGTCCTCAGCGGTCAATCGTTTTTCATTTCGTTACAAAGTATGGAGTTACAAATAGCTTGAAAATGACATAGGAGTACTGTGTGAGGCGAATACGTCAATTTTTCCCTAAGCCGCTTAAGTATGCCAAAGAAAGACAACGCCACAACCACGGGAATAGTGGCTGGGTTCTTTCGCAAACGGGATTACGAGAAGTTCAGGAGACGGTGCCTACGGTGTACGATCCATCTGAGCGCTTACAGCTAGTATCACAAACATAGCTTTTTGTCCTTAGATTTTTTAAGGTTCTACCCTCCATACAAATTCCCTATCTCTTTTTTGTGCCCCAGAGCTCTCTAAATTTAACAAAACAGCTGGTGATGATTTGAGCTAATAAGACCCGATTGAGTGAGAATTCAATTTTTTTAACAGAATGTTAAAATCGAACGGGAATTTTGTTCATTTCCTCCATTCTTATACACCAACAATAACTTCATAAGTTTTCTTAAAACAGGAAGACCTCCTCGACAGTGACTCTGGTGATATACCAGATTACATGCAAGGACTGCTCGGCATCAGACCGACCGTGGGTAAAGGTGCCCGCTTTGAAAAGTTCAAAAATGCATGGCAGCAGTTGATCCCGGGAAAAGAAATATCGGTAAATTCTTAACTTCCTTTAATACTCTAAAAACTTGCCACCTTTCAAACGGCAGTGAATAAGTTCTGGTTTAGCTTTCGTTTTTTCTTTTCTTTTTTTTTCTTCATTCAGAAAATTCTGAAATCAAATGAATATCTCACTGCTGAGCTGGCTTGTTTCAGCTTGCTTGTGCCCAAAAATGTATGCGCTTTTAATTTAGTATTACTATGGTGGTCATTTTTTTGTCTTTTTCAGGTATCTGTTGGTCGAGTTTATGACTCTGTGTTAGTGGCCTCAGAGGGAATCAAGAGAGCCCTCCGAAATGGAGTAGCTTTACCGAGCAATCAAACTTACCGGGGATTTTGCAGCAGCTCGGACAAGCAGGAAGAAAACACCAGTGGAGAAGAACTAGCCAAATATTTGAACGAGGTAAAAGTGCCAACAACTTGTTTGTTAAATAGAACACCTTACTTAATTTGCAAAAATCTGAATTAACCAAACTGTGGATCTAGATGTCCTGGAATAGGAAATGTGAAGGTTTACTTTTTCTAGCGACCTTTGAAGAGGGAATAAAGGTATTTCTGGGAGACGATTTAAATCATTTGCCACTATGGTCCCTTATCTAATATGTGCACATGACTTAAAGATGTGGTAATTAGCAAATCTGCAACTGAAATTAATTTCTCTTATCTACGATAAGATGTTTTTTACACTGATACTCTGTGGCTCAGTGGTATAGCATCGGAGCGCGGAATGCGAAGGTCTGAGGTTCTATTCCTCATAGAGACTCAGAATTTTTTCTTTGTCCCACGCTCGCGAGAGGGCGAAAATCATTTTTTTAATTTTTTACCTATTGGTAATCTCGGGTAAGATCTAAGAATTCAGTGCAAATTTTCACTGTGCTATTCATAGGTAGAGGTTGAAGGTGTCATGGGTAAAATCCATGCCAATGATCCAGATTACGCTGGTTCTGCTTACTTTGATGTGCTAAATCTAAGAAGCACCGGTGAATATAAAGTAAGTCCCGAGATAAACATTCGCAGTATGTCGGTCTTTTTAGAAGGGCTTCTCCTTTATCTGCCTGAGCTTCTGAAGCTCGAGGCAGCAATACTAAGGCAACTAAGGAATCCTATTTGTTTCGTTTTATTTTTTAATGTTTTTTGTAAACTTTTTCTTAATTGTGCTTTTATTCCTTATGCTTGTTCAGTTTTACCGAAAAGTGATTAACACTGCTCCGAACTCACCTGCTATAGCAGCGTAAAAGTTAAAATTAATTCAGGATGAGCACATAATTATTGGCGAGAACTTGAAAGAGGAAGATAAGTCACTACAGGACTTTAAAAAGGCTGACGCCGCGAGCCTCAGCAATTGGGTTTCGATTAACCCGAGTCTGGTTTATGTCTCGGATGAGTAATTTCTTGATTTTGATGAGTATGTGATTTGTCGTGCCGCTCCGATATTTTACCTTTTTGCTATTCAAATTCGTGGACAAGATATGTTGAAAAAACAACAACAACAAAATAACTATTCTGCAGTTGGCCTGTTAGCTCAATAGAGTACTACACCAAAATCGCACCACAGGCCCGATCATGATTTTAATTTCAGGCTTTATTTTCACTTCTGTTTAAGTGGTGATCACTATTGGGAAGATCGTTCTCATCTTCATCTTCAAACTTCATTTTTTTGACAGGTCGGGGAGTGGAATACGACTGGGTTACATATGTTTGAAAACGAAAAACCAATCTGGCCTTCAAACAGCTCAGACATACCATTGGACATTCCAAATATCTTGAAGGGAAAGACTCTAAGGATCGCTACCATTTTGGTAAGTAGTTTATCAAAAAGTGCTAGAGCTGAGTGCAAAATTGTCCAGATCAGCATTAATTTAACTCAGCATTTCTTATTTGGTGTAAGGGAGTTTTGAAGCATTTTTGATATATTGTTTCCATTTGTGGTACTCTACATTAAGATTATGCCCAACCATGTTAGCCTTAAGATGTTTCCATACCAAAGAAATCGATTCTTAGTTTAACGTTCAATCCGGTATGTATGAGTAATAAAGTGATTTCGAGTGCAATTTGGTGTTAATAAGCAGGAGTAAATTTTTCGAAGACGACAAAATTGCACGAGAAATCATATTGTTTATTTTTTAGACTTTCCGTGAAAAAAGCATCATAGAAAGTCAAGACACGAAATTTTGACAGCGCTGTGAAATTTGTACTCGTATCACATGAATGACCAACAAAGCTAATCAAAAGATTTCCAATAGGCTCCACCGTTTGTGATGTTGAAAAATGGTGCCGAATCGTCCTCGTACGAAACCAAGGACTTTGAAGGTCTGAGTATTGATATTTTGGAGGAGATAAGCAAAAGACTGGAGTTCAACTATGAGATATATCAAGCTCCTGATGGAAAATTTGGAGTGAAAAACAGACTCACTAGAGAGTGGAATGGTATCGTCAAGGAAATCAGGGACAAGGTTCTATCTTTTCTTCATTATTATCAATAAAAATAATGTAGCTCCCAATGGGTTTCGCTTTTTCAGAATTTTACACAAGTCTATGAAGTTTTGCTGTTCTGGGGCCGGTGTCAGGACTAGTGCAAATGGCGTATTCACAGCGGCATCAACGATATTATAAAATTAATTTTATCAACAGCATGTTCAACGATTTCTCCTTTACTTATTGAGTGTTTATAATTGTACGTGATTAACCATTTGAGCAAACTTTATTTGGAAGGGATCCACATATTTTTGTTATTGCTTACTAGTACAATGCATAATCCGTTCTTGTTTATATGTAAGTATTTCAAGCAAGTGACGTTTCAGCACGGCAACAAAAGCTTTGTTCCTAGTTCCAATAGGTTCCCTGGTGTAATATGTACTAATTGTTGCTGTGAAGGTTATTTACCTCTTTCACGAGCCATGCTTCCGAATAGACTAACTAAACAGGTCTTGCACAAAGGTGTTAAGGTTCAAACTTATCAAATATTACCGGAAAAGAGGGAGGAGCACATGAAACTTTAATCAATGACTATCCCTTAACTCCTTTTATCAGCCATCTTCACTAAGTTGAAAGCAAATTACGCGCGAATTCAGTACAAATATTACGGGAATATTGAACGGTTATTTGGACATTTGGTCATTTTGTACTGTGAAAAAATCTGTTTGACAGGTTGGCCAGGATTACGCAGGTCATGTCAAGGGAGAAAAAAATGTACGACATTTTAAAGTACCGATGACACGAAATTTTTTTGCATTTTCTGGTTGATTGCCTTATTTTAAAATTAGGAATAATCGACTTTAGCGCCTAGCGAGTTATACTTGACCATTTTTTTGTGCAATGAAAGTACGATTTGGCGGCCAAAAAGTGTCCCCATTAAGCGCGCCGCCAAAACGGTTATGTTACATAGCTGTGACGTAGAAAACTGTGAAGACACGTCGGCAACTATGGTGGAGAAAGGAGAAATCTAGAAGAAAGGACGAACATGTTACGCGGCCGGAACGTCAAATGATGTTAGCTACAAGAATAATACACATAAACCGGGTATTTCTATATACTACTTTCCAAAGGATGTAGCTGTATCTCCTCGATCGTCGACATCGAGGAGATTTTACTCTTCAATGTCGTCGGCCATATGCTTAGTGTTGGCTTTGAAGACGCCTGTTACGAACACATATCACTAGTTAAACCAGAAGAAGATAACCAATGAATTCAGCTGAAAAGAATGCTGATTAAGGGGTCTGTTCCCACACCGTACACGATTGGTCAACATTCTTTTCGGCTGACATTTCGCAAGCGAAGAATGGTGAACTCCTTATTGTTGTTTATTTCACGCGCCTGAGATTTCCTCGTACTCCTTGTCTTTCCACATGACCACATTTGCGCTTTTCTTATCGAATGAAAATCCTACCAATTGTAGTTTTCATCGTATTATAATAACAGAAATACATCAATTGTAATGAAGTTCAAGCCCTTTCCTGAGGTGACTGATGTCCTGTTGCGTGAACAGCGCAGAACCTCTGGCAGATACTGGCATAAACACAAGCTCGAAGGAGCCGTGTATTCTCCTAACTTAGGTTTCCGAAAATCCATCCCACGAGCCATCAATTTCCCCCTGCCCTCAAAAAACTAAAAGTAGCCACAGTGGCAATGTCATTGTGATAACAGCACTACAACGAGAAAAATAAAGAAACACAAATTTTATTGAATTAGATGATAGCGAATCCAAGTGCTGTGTGAAAGTCGATGCGAACGAAATATTCACTTATAATACTTATGTCAGTTAATTGCCATTGAGTGAAATGGGTCTCATGGCAATGCTACACTTAAACTTAAGAAGTTTTTCTCTATTAAAATCCCTATTTGACATTAACTTGAATCAGATGACTATAAACTCACTCGTTTTCCTTTCGGTTTGACCGGCTCGATGATCGCGACGATCGCCTCTGCCTTTGCAATCTCTAAATAAAGGAGCAAGTGAAACTGCCCGATGACTTCTCGGTGAAAAATATCGTGCCTCGTGATACAGCCGATTCTTTCGTCAAAAATTAGCCTTTGGTTCTCTAAGGGAATTTCTGTACAGCAACGAAACTCTGCACTGACTGAGGGGAACCTTCGCCGCACATAGTGCGAAGGAATAAAAATGTTATGGCTACAGAAACGAACACAGCCACCCATTCTTAACATAGATTTCGCCATAGAAAACAAAACACAAACGCAACAAAATAAACAAACTAAACATTCAGTAATGTTCTAATCTTGACCTAAACACCGCAGGCGAGAAACCGTCTTTGTCAGTCTTCGTCGAAATCTTCGTTTGATGCACTCGGTTCTCCTTCGTAGGGATGAAACGTACTCGCAACTTCCATTTCTTCTCACTTCTTGAATTATATCACAACTCTTGGTAGAGCTTGCCGAAGGTAGGTAGACATCGTTATTGGACATTATTTCAAGAGTATTTCAACGCCGACTGATACAAAATTACAAGAGATGTGGGAAATTTGTTGGTGTCAACTGAGAGTTTTCACAGTTTTCTACGTCATCACCCGCTAATTCGTTACCAGTCCACAATACACTTTTAAGACAAAATAAGAGCACTTTAAGGCCCGAAAAAACCGAGTTAAGTTTTTTAAAATTTTTCTTCTTTCGGAATTGGTTTGTACATATGATAAGCTAAATATTTACGCAAAAAAAGATTTCGTGTCGTAGGCACTTAAAGGTAGTTGGATAATGAATGACTCTTTAGACGTTTTGGTGTATAGTATCGCCGAGTATTTCTATTCTTTTAGAATAGTACCGTACTTTGACTTGCCTTGCGGGGTCGTCAAAGTAAGGGGTACAACCCGTGAAAATACTCAGCGATGCTACACACCAAAATTTCTCAGGAGTTATGTTTATTTAACAGAAAGCCGATATGAGTATTGCCCCAATGACCATCAGCTCTGATCGTCAAACAGTGTTAGATTTCACTCAACCTTACATGACTTTTGGACTGGCCTTCATGATACGTGTCCAGGAGGTTAACGGGAACTACTTCAGATTCCTGTTACCGTTCAGTAAATATTTGTGGGTGGCCATATGTGTGTTGGTGATGGTGATGGGGTTTTCTGTGTGGTTCTGTAACCTCTTCAGTCCACTTGGGTATTACGGAAGATGTACACAAGCTCAATCTACAAAACAGGTAAACGAGATCCCACTACTTATTATAGGAGAGTCTAGTTCGTTGTTCGTATTGTTTTGAACTATTTAGTTAGTTTATAATTAGTTAGTTAGCTCAGCATGATATGATTTTTCGTATATATTTAGATTGTAGTCACTGCATTAATTCAAATTCCGAAATTATTTAGGTTTAAGCTGTCGTGACGAGTTACCGAATTGTGACCGTCTTTTCTAACTGCCAAGTGGATATGCGTAGTTTTGTCTAATGACCTTGCTTTGGACCCACACGAAAGTTATTTTTTTGGCTAACGCAGTCAGAGGTTGATTCAGTTGATCGAAGGCATTATGATTTATGATAATGTCATAGGACATCGATTAACACAGTCTCACACAGTTTTAAGCTCGTTAACTTACTGGGCTCGGGTACGATCATTAACATCAAACAACAAGTAAAAAACAACGAAAAACCCCAAAGATACGCTCATACACTACAAACTAGCTATAAACGTTAACTTGTATGAGGGTGATAATCAATGGAAAGATTTCTTACACACGTTGCTTTGCCTCGTAAAGGTAAACAACGGACTTCCTTTTCGGTAACGAAAATGACGACATAAATGCTCTCAAATGACCTTCAACGTTTAAATGGCAAACTCTTCTCGCGTTATTGGTTGTTGACCTGTATCGTTCTTAATTCCAGCTAAAACCAGAAGTCCTTAAACAAGTTGACACTCTCAGCTTAAACAACTCTATATGGTCGTCGTGGAAGGCATACGTCCGTCGTAGCGCTGAACATCCAAGGTCATGGTCTGGCAAGTTAACAGTGTCTGTCTTCTGGTTCGCTGTGATGATCATCAATGCTACCTACACAGCCAATCTGGCCGCTTATCTCACTGTATCCCGGATGCAAACTCCCATTGAAACCATTCTAGATCTGTCGCGTCAAACCCGCATTGAGTACGGAACACTTAAGGACTCACAGCTACAAACATTTTTCCAAAAAACGGATGTTCCCAGGTCAGTAAACATCAAGAAAAAGTCTGGCTCGTTAAAGAATGCGGATCGGTCGGTTTTGCCGTGATTATCTGTAAGACTGAATAAGCTCATAAGCCGGGAGTGGTTAGCTTTGACCACCAATCCTTCCATCTTGTGGCCCGTTCTTATCAAAACCATATAACCTTTGCCAAAATCTAGGCCTAGAATGGGTATCTTAGACCTAAATTTCAGGTTCTCGGCTTTTTACACCAATGGTATGTTAACTGTGTGGTACTGGTTTTCAGAGGCTCGAGTTTCGTCACTTTTTAAAAGAAGACTTACGTGGTTTTTGTGTTATGGTTTTAGTTATCTGGTGATGGGACAGTTTATGGAGCAGCGCAAATTATGGATGCCTAGTTATGAAGCTGCCATCAACAGAACTTTGGAGGGTGACTTTGCATTTATCTCAGACAGACCAATTTTAAATTATGTGGCACGACAAGACAAACATTGTGGAAAATTTAAGGTTACTGGCGGGTAAGACACTAAAAATTCTTTGACTTGGACAACTGCTCAGACGAACCTTTATTGATTTATTAGAGGAGTTCTCTCTCTTTTTCTTGTGTTTCTATGAATCTTCTTGTCTATGCAAAAGCAACTCGTTTAAACCCTGTAAGTGTCATTGTGCTTTCAGTCTAAACAACCGTGTTGAATACAACAATTTTTTAACCTTTTTTTTTTTACTTTTTAGCGAAAGAAAAGTTCAAAGCCTTGCTATAGAGTTTTTTACCTGTATCGCACTAAATCACCTCTCTTCTGTATTGTGTTACATCAACTAAACAGCATTTTTTTTTGTTAATAATGAAAAGTTCTTCCTGATATCCTAAAAAATCGCCTCTATTGAGAAAAGTTCGCAAACTATGCAATTAACGCTCTTATAAGCAAGCGCTCTTCTAGCAGCGACTCTAAGCTTCTATTTGAGGAAGTTGTTCGTCTTACAGGGATGCTTGTCAAAGGACACTTGTTTGATTTTCAACACACGCAGATTTGTTACATAAGTTCGTTCTCGGGGACGAGTTGTATGACAGGTACTCAATTGAAAAATATACAGTCCAAGTTGAGACATGTGGCATAACTCCATTTCAGGTTTGGTAATACATATGGTTATGGTTTTGCTTTTGAGTTGACCTCGCCATACACACCACTCTTTAATATGGAACTATTTCGACTTCAAAATGAATTCGTCATAAGCAGTCTGACTCATAAGTGGACAAAGGAGAGGGTGAATTGCGAACTGGTGGATAACTTTGAAGAGCAGCAACAACTTGGTAAGATATGTTTCCAGTGACGAGAGCAATATAGGCTATTCACCAGCTTCTTTGACTTTTAAAAGATGAATACACTCTAGTGACGATTTAAAAAAGATTCTACAATTTTTACGTGGCGTGCCCCGTATCGTTATTCAATAACTTGTTTTCTAAAAACTCACATATTAAGCTAGGATCGTATGCACAAAATGAGATCAAAGTGAGCGTTAAAATCTCTTTCGTCGTGACATGCCATAAACCTGTTTTATCTTTGTCTGATCTCAGGAAGCACTGTCCAGAAGATGTCCGTCCAAAACATGCTGGGTGTGTTTATCCTGTTGGCCATCAGTGTTTTGGTTGGCTTCCTTATCATGATCATGGAGTGGATTTACGCCTCGGCCAAAGATGCCAGAAAGCGCATTCAGGTGAGTTTAAAACGGCGTGTCAGGCAATTTTTAGGCCACGCCCTCGTGAGAGGGTTGTAAAACAAAATGTTCGAATAAAACATTGTGTGTACATGGGTGAAATCATGTAATGTTTACGTACTTCTGATACAAAGGAGGCAAATTCTCGTTTCTGTCTGAATCAGTGAAAACTGCCTTCATGTGTGAAGCTCAGTAAGAAGACGCCCAACGCGTCGTAAGACATAAAAAGGATATACCATGGCCGCGCGTGGATACAAATTTTATCTTCGAGTGTTGATGATTTAGTATCTAGAATCGGACATGTAATTTTCTGTCTATTATGTGGATGTTGATCGCATATTTGAATAGGAGACAATATTAAAACACCTTTTAAGAGCTTCGAATGTAGAAAACACGTACACGTTATCTCAGCCCGCAGAAAATGGGAGTACCTCAGCTTCCGCCGTAAAGTTGCAATAAATGTTTTTCACTTAAAAAAAATAATCGTAATTCAACCTTAGCATCATTCGTAAATGTAATAAAACCCTTACTGAAAAGTAAAACCACCAAACTGAAAGACCCGGTCACCATGACATCATTGATATTTTCAGATGAAGAGATATGAATGGTACATTCACAGAGGGCAGTGAAGATGTTATGTTTTTGATGAAAAACCGGAGAAATTCCGGTATTTCTCAATATTTCATCAATATAAGTTGACGTCATTTAACACAATCTTAATAGACGATATTTCTAACACATGCTTAGGCAAAAGGTCTTGTTTTGAAGGTAAAGTGATGACGTTACAGTCTTTATTGAATTTTTTTTACCTCGTTTCCGTTGTTACTTATTGGTTACAACATACATACTCTTTACAGGGACGCAAGACATGCTGCCAAGCATGCGGGACGAGACTGCTTCAAGCACTAAGGGACATGTGCTGCTCTAAACAGAAAACCACTCTTGATAATAAAAAGACAGATGACTGAAGATGGACGTCAGGTTGAGTTTGAGCGGGATCAGCATTTTGCATTCTGGCCGATTATTTCCCTTTCTCTAGATCGCCTTACGAAGACGCCGTTTTCAGCTTTAAACGTAGAATTGTTAGTGTCAAATTTTTTCCAATGGTCACCTCCTAACACGTTTGAAAAATGTTGCACCAGGCTCAGGTACTTCCCGTTTCAAATTGGTAGTTGAAAATTGATTCGACATAGGAATAAGGTGACTTGTCAAGGCGCAGAGATGCACGCTTTGTTGTTCTGCTCCTAAGAATAAAACTTCTTTTCTTTGTCTTGTAGTATATAATTAATGATGGGGTAATAGGTTCAATATAATGTTTGGTAAGAGGATTTCCGTTGCTCCTTCTAAAACTATGATTGAGAGACTGTAAATTAGGATTTGATTCATGCTTGGTCTAAACGCTTCATTAAAATTGACCAAACGCGAGTTCAAGATAGCTACATTGGCCGATCTAGAGCGGGCAAGATTAATTCGGGTAGTCCAATCAAAACACAGGATTCACATCATCTTGATCACAGGCGCTGCCAGCAATATGATAAGAGAATTACTCTTATTTTCCGTTTCTGTGTTTTTATGGAACTCAACCGCTTCTCGGTCCAAAAAAGAAAACGCAAAAACAAATTCGACCAATATTCAGCCATCTTGATCTCACAATCGGTCAATAACGCTTATGAATGATATCTTACCAATCATAACCATTACAATTTCCTTAAATGTGATTGGTGCATTAGCTGCTTCATTTTTCACTGATCAGTCTGTACAGTTGTAACTGCGCAGTGTAACCTGACAGTTGGCTGCAATCGGACAGTTTAAGAAGCCAATCATACTAAGTCCACTCAGCTAAATCCACCAATCACAAAATTGATCCCAATAACCATAGCAACAACCACTTATCTTAAAAAAAGAAACTTGGGGAATTTACAAAATGGAGGAATTTTTAGTTAAGACATTGTCTCTACCGGAGATGTTTGTCCTAAATGTATTTGTTTTTATCGGAAATTGTAACGGTTGTGATTTATTAGTATCAGAATTTCGTGTCGTCCAATTCTGTATGTAATCATACTCGTGATTGACAGGGCGGACTCTCGCTTCGCGTAAGTCCGATTTATTTAATCACTCGTATGATTACAGACAGGATTGGACTCCACTCGGTCTTACTACCACTACTTATAGATGTATTGTTATAAAAACAAATGTTGAATGTTTCAAGATCAGTTGGCCAGCATGCTCACGCATGCCTACCTGTAGTTTCTACATGAGCTGTGGTTTAGAGTTTATCTAGTAGTCAGAGAGAGATTGATCGAACAGTGTTAGTCAGTCGATCTGAGCTACCCAGAATGAAGTGAATTTGATGTAAGTAGGATTGTGGTAAAGGACCGATAGATTTAAGAAAATGGAAAACAGTTTGAGAGTCCTTAGTGCCTTTTGCTGAGCGCGGTTCGATCTACAGCTAGTTTCCATTCCATTGCGACCCAACATAAGCTAAGGGTTTGATGACAGTTGGGTTACTTAAGATTTAGGTGTATGATTGAACGTAGCACGGTAATGGCAGACTTGAAGTAAGAATGTTCGTGATATAGAAATCAACAATGGTCTAAAATAATTAGATAAGGAACTGCCCAGGGAAATTGTGCGTGGGCGTTTGGGTTGGAACATCTTGTGATGTTGCGTGATGTGTCATTCGTTCCGCAAATAGAACATGCGTGCGGGTGTAAATTACAGAATTGTTGATCGGGGTATAATAGGAAACAGCTGTTAAAATCGAGTTGACAAGAAATAGCTTGGCATTTTCGTAAATCACGAATAAGTAATGTCAATCTTGGATTCCGTAGTTTAGGCGTGTATTTCCGTTGTAATAGCAAATAAATAGAACCAATTTCTTGTAAAAAAAAAAAATCGATATCGATTGAATGTAGAAAGTTCAGATATTGTATGGATTGTAAATAAACGCAAGAAATCGGAAAGAAACAGTCCTATTGATTGTCGAATCAGCGCTCCGCAGAGATTTTCCTTAACGCGGTGGAGAATTCTGCAACAACGATAGTATCTCGCACATTTTTAGGATTCTCTTTCAATGGACTGTTACAATAGTATGTTGCGCACCTTTACAATTCTCTTTCATCGGATTGTTAGGTTCAATAGGATCTCCTCCTCAAGGATTCGCCACCTTTCGATTTTAACGTTAATATCTCGCGCGCTCCGTTAGCATTCTCTTTCACTGCATTGTTAGTATCTCCTGAACCTTTACGATTCTCTTTCATTTAATTTTTACGTCAGTATCTCGCGCACCTTTAGGATTCGCTTTCAGGAAATAGTTATGTTGGTATCTTGCGGACTTTTAGGATTCTTTTTTATTGGATTGTTTATTTCATCGGATAGTTAAATAAGGTTATATCCCTGTCAAACCTCTCATATCAAGGGACAGAATCTACGGAAACAGTTTTGCATGCTTCCGCCCTTTATGGAGCCCATCCTTCTGAGTTTCATTTTCCGAAGCCCTTCAACTTTCTTCCATGGCTCGTAAGATTAATGAATATCTTAACTTTTCACCCATGTCGAAGAATATCTAGAAATTTAAGGATTTAATTTTTCCATATTTTCTACGTAAAAATGCAGGAAATTCTTATGATAGTCAATTTTTAGAGCGATTACCGAAGCACCAATTGTTTAAGTTGGGAAATTGAGTCAGAAAAGTTAGAAGTTGTTGTAGATGCGCGTGCCCTTGTCGATCATCATCCGGGAAAGGGTTTCAACAAACTTGTTAGGCGATAGCATGCATCAACCAGCAATGAACAAGATCGTACCACGCTGGAATTATACGCTGGGTTGATTTGCTAGTCAAATTTACCTCCTCCGCTTTCAGTGCAGCGTAAGGACAGGAACATATAACATCTGGTTTTAGATCATGTGTTTATCTTTTAATATTTTTCCAGTGTATAAGATCCTTTTTCTTTATTAATTGCGCAAATGACTACCAGATTACTTTGAGCAACAACTTCATACTAGAAATCCTCGCCCACGGGTCGCGTGTATTGCGTAATTGTCACGAGATGTAACTAACACAATCATCGGGTTCCTGTGTCTCATAACATTTAACTGATGTCATTGTTCTATCGTGCCCCTATTTGTCTCTGTTGCCTCTTGCGCGATTTTCTTTATCTTCATGAATGAACAAATGCAGCTTAATCACTGATGCTAATTAATCTAATACTAACCTTTTTTGGTCGATTAAAAATTTTATCATCTGCTGACGATTGCGCCCAGTAGTGTCTTAGAAAACTTAAAGTACTGAGACGTGTATCCTGCGTGACTAACCTCGCGTGACTTGAATCATCAAAACATGGAAACTGGGCTATATTCGTGCAGCTGATTTTAGTTAATTTTTCTTTCAAAATGTACATTTAAACCTACATAATGCATGCACGGTGAGAAAATGTCACGTTTTCTTTTTACGACACAGAATTGACTTCGTAATTTTATCCGTATTTGTATCATTTTCTTTTTTAATCATTTATGTTTCCGGCCAGGTCTTATGATCAACCCATGGTTTGAACTTTGTTTCCCTCGTGGCAGTTAAGGGGAATCCTGGTCGAGCTGAAGCAGCCAAGCGAGATCTTTGTGCCCCAGTTAAACAGGTTGTGGTCCTCGTTATTTAAGAGAATCTTGTTTATCGATAATGTACAGTTGATGTTTTATTCTTCCGATTACACTGATGCCTTTTGCAGCATTACTTCCATGGTTGTCTGTCTTGTGCAGTTTTTATCCCAACGGTATGTCAATATATGCATAATGCTATTTGTTGCTGAAAGGCATATGATTTGCCCAGATGGTTCCTCATTTCGAGGATCTCTTCGGATCAGAGACTCGCACCAAATAGATTCGTGGAAAACAATTATGATATCGCTTTTTTTTCCGTGCTCTGTTAACTTTAAAAATGTCAGCAAAAACTCGTTCGAGTTCGTCCACAAGCTGTTGTACTGAGTTTGTAGCGCTGGGGTTGTGTGTTTCAGCAAACGTAAGAAGTTTTCCGATTATATAACCTCCATCTTAGCATAGACGGTGATAAATAGGATAAAAGTCAACAGATGTATTTGTTTTTGGAAGATTATTTCTTATAAAATGACCTTATTTTCCTGCTCAAAATACAAAACAAAAAAAATACAAAAATACAAAACAGTATACAGAGAGAGAAAAATTCAGAATGGTTAAAACTAGACTGGCTTGTTTTGATTGTACCTTTTCAGAGTTGTTTTGAAAAATTTTCAATGGTTTGATCTTTACTTGACTGGATTAATCTTGCTTTCGGCGATTCCGGTCTAACTCGAACAATCAAGAAGGAAATTTGTAGGAAGTTGTGTTAAACAGATCCACAACTACAAGAAGAAAGAGGAAAATATCAAATCATTAATCTCTGTTAGTCGCTGTAAATCATCAGAGCATGAAAACTGTCAAAGTTTACTTTGAGTGACTTTTGAGGGATCGTGAGTCGAATGTGTGTTGCATTGAATGTGTCACGCATTGAATGTGTCACGCACACCTGAGACCTGACTACAGTTGTCACAGCGAAGAGGAAACACTTGACGAGACTGAACAAATCACTCACTTTTTCGTCAATAACGTTTCGATTAGCTTTTAAAAGTTGTTTCACAGAGAGATTTTGCAAAGTAAAATTCCAGCTGTCTACAAAATATTGTAGTCCGACGATTAAAACTGATTTTTCGCCAAAATATAACCAACAGTACAACGTTTAAATTAAAAGCTTCTTTTAATATTATATGCATGAATTTTTAACCTTCAAATGGTGAAGGAATTATAAAAAAATTTGACGGTCAAGCCTGACCCGCAGAAATTTGATTGGTTGCTTTTGAAAACCTTGAAATCTTATCGATCTTGATGATCTAGTGTTGCATTTTCATTGACTAGGAAAAAGATACGATATAGAAAAAAAAAGCACGATTTGCGGAGAGATAGCACTGCTGAGAGGCCACCAGATTGCAGGGATCATCAGTGAAAGATGACAAACAGGCTACCCATAATCAAATTAACTTCATATTCGAGGAGTCTTGAGTTTTCGTTTTCTCAACTTGTTCCCGAATATTCCAATTTTTTTGGAAATCGGCTGTTTCAAGTGTTTCACATAAGAATTTTGCACGGAAAATTAGAGCACGGCTAAACAAAATCGATCCGATAATTATCTCTCGCTGTCATTTCTAAATCTCTCTAATCATTACTTTTTAGGTGCCCAGGCTAGACAATGGTTTGTCTCAAAGCTTGATGGGACCAAATCCAGTAGCTGCGGGTTTTTCGCATCCTCCCCGTGTAAAACCATACGGCAAGCTACTTCGCGTGTGATGAATGGTGACATCATCAACATAGATGGTGTAGGATCGTCACGTGACCCTTATGTGTGCGAGAGCGGAACAAAATCCCCTCTACCTAGCCTAACTATGCGAAGCTATAATACGACAGCATTTATCTCTTGCAAGAGAGGTGGCTTTCGATTTATGTGCAACCCAAGAGCGGACGCTTCTCGAGAAGTTTCTTTGAAAGATATTACCTTCACTAACACTTCGCTACATGTTGTCAGCTGTTCTGTTAAGGTCTCCGATTGCTCCTTTATAAACAATTCTGTTCTCGCGCTATCCACGAGTTTCACTGGAGATTCAATAATAGCTGTTCAAATCAATGGATGTAATTTTCGAGGAAACAACATAACTAGTTTGGCGATTGACGGAGGTTCCATGAATTTGTACATTTTCAATACCAGGTTTGCTTTCAACAAATTACACGGTGTAGAGGGCGCCTTACTTGCTCTGTTCACTAAAAAATTACAAGAGTCAAATAGTAGGATCACAATTGATTTCACCAACACAACAGTTACACAAAATGTCTGTCCTGGACGAGCATGCTTTGAATTTGTCGCTGGGATGGATGGAGCTGAAATAGCTTTAAAGATGGAGAAAGGAATGCTTGAGAGCAATGTGATTGCAAATGGCGAAGGAAGCGTTGTGGACGTTCATGGCTTTGCAAACGCTAAAGTTGAATTGAAATCGATGCATTTCCAGAGAAATAGAGGTAGAGCCGTTGAAATTTACTGTGGTAATTCACTTGAACTTAAAATCGCAAAATCCGAGTTTTCTTATCACAAAATATACCAATGGGACGGAGGGGCGGTCCTCGTCAGCAATTTTACGAAGAAAGCTTCTGCTTCCGTGGTCAGATCAAAATTTCGTTCGAATTTTGCAAGAAATGGAGGAGCATGCGCTTTCGTCGACATATTTTCTCTGGTACTGGATATAGAGAACAGTCAATTTATGCAAAACGAAGCGTTGATTTCAGGTGGTGCTTTAATTGTGGGTAACCATAACAGAACGCTTGAAAAGTCTGCTATCGATGTCCGTAGTTCAAAATTTATTCGAAACGCAGTTGCCATGGTAAATATTTCCACAAGTATTCCAATTACAAACTCTTCACTACAAACACATGACAGTGGTGCCCATTCATACTACAGGTATGCAAAAAAGGGCGGAGGGGGGGCCTTATCTATTTACGTGTCACAAGCGATGAGGTTATCATTGGCGGACAGCATTTTTGCGGATAATCAGGCACAAGCAATGAATTCTGGAGCTGTTCGAGCTCTGCTCAGTACACTCTACCAAGATATCGAGATCGTAAACTGTGAATTTCTGCGCAATTCGGGAGGTTTAGAGTCTGGTACTTTTCAACTGATCGTCAAGACACCGTTACCCCTGTTTCGTGCAATATTAAAAAACCTGACGTTTGTCAACAACGGTGGTAACAGTATTTATGACATTTATCTTTCTCAAAATCGCCTCTCGATGCAGTCTTGTAAAATGCAAAGAAATTCTGGCGGTGGAATATTCATAGGGACATCTTCAAAGGTTCTATTTATCCATATGGAGAATACCCTGCTAAGTGACAATATCAACTTCGGATGCAACTTTTACAAGGGTGATTTCAAAAATCGATCGGTGTACAAATTTAAAAACGTTTCGTTTGTAAACAATACCTGCAACACAAAGGATTCAATTCTTCGGATTTACATGCATAGAAATCAAAGTTTCTTTGGCTTGCAGCGAAGCAGATTCGTCGATAATTTCTGCAAATCTGGAGTGGTGAAAGTTTCAGTGAACTCTGGCTTGAGGTCTAATAATACTAAGGTAATCATCAACAACACTGAATTCCGCAATAATTCTGGGTTTGCCGAGAGCACCTTCACAATAAGTGGTATGAACGAGATAATAATCCAAAATAGTGTTTTTAATACCAACTTTGGTGCCACAGATGGTTCTCATATCCGAGTACAAATGCGGTCGAGTAAATTAACAATCAACAAAGCAACTTTCCATCAGTCTAATACGGAAAGAAAACAACCATTTCATGGTTTTTTTACAGCAACAAGCTTTGGAAGCATTTACATCAATGAGACCTCATTTATTTCGGACCTTTTTAGCGTCGGCAGTGTGCCCCTTATTCTTGTTAAAGGTGTGCGCGAGGTAGTGATGGATGATTCCGTTTCAATCAAAGCTCCATTGAGCACCAAGCTTAAGATGGATAATTTCACACACTTGGAAATGGGAGAGAACATTGGCTCATCGAGGATAACCTCATTCGCATTTAGCACCGAGCCGTGCCCCATGCGATCATACAGCATACATCGTGGCAGCGGCAAGGGCTTTACTCTTGAGGACAACATCACGTGCTATACCTGTCCAAATGGAGGCGACTGTTCATCTTCTCTTGCTGCACGACCCAACTTTTGGGGCTATCCTATCGGGGACAAGGTTTATTTTAAGCTATGCCCGGAAGGTTACTGCTGTCCAACTGTCAGTCAAACGTGCCCTTATCACCATGATAGCTATTTACATTCTGGTTGTCAAGGAAACCGGACTGGGATCCTTTGCGGACAATGTAAAAAGGATTTTAGTGATGGTCTGTTCACGACACAATGTCATCCGGTCAGAGAATGTAATCAGGGCTGGTTGTTCTCCATTTTCATAGTAGTTGGAACATTGTTTGCTTTGTATCTCATCACAAAACCTCCATTGTGTGAAAGATTAATGACAAATCTCACTTGGTTTCTTCCGAACCATAAACAAGATGATTACAACACCTTGAACGATGTCAAAAAACCTCAGACCTACTCCAAAGACGCATTCTTGAAAAGCCTATTTTATTTCTATCAAGTTGCTGGAGTCTTAACCGCTTCGTCTTATGGTGTGCCTCATCTGTTAAAAGATAAAATTGTTTTACCAATCACAACCCTGTTGAATTTCCAGATTTCTGTCAACAATGGCTGGAAGATCTGTCCTCTAACGGGTATCACACCGCTATCAAAAACTCTCTTCCAGCTCGCTTTTTTGACAGCCATATTCATCTCGATTCCAGTGATGTACCTTCTTCACAGCGGTTTGAACAAACTACGCAGGCGCAGCCCAGCCCTTCCACCTGGTGGTCCTTACCTAGGAGCGGCCCTTGAGATGTTTTTGCTTGGTTACTCAGCGCTGACCGTGACCGCCAAAAATCTGCTGTACTGTGTACCAATACAGCACGTGTCTCGTTGGTATTACGACGCACAATTCACGTGCTATCAGTGGTGGCAAAGTGCTTCTTTAATAATAATCGCCCTGTACTTGTTCCCGTCTATATTTTCACTGTATTTTTCTACGTTTCGACTGTATCAGGGGAAAATCTCAGCGAAGATGTTCCTATTGGCATGCGTATGTCCCTTTCCGTACCTACTCTATATTTTCATCTTGCATGTTAAGAAAGTAACTACACAAAAGTACGGCTGTCAAGAAATGACACCCAAAACCAACACCACTCTTTGTGGAGAGGAAGACACTCATTTTCCCAGTCGGACGGAAAAATCTCTTATTGAAGTCCTCTGTGGTCCATTTTCCAAGCCACAAAACTACCAATCAGCTGGTAGTATTTACTGGGAGAGCATTCTTATCGGCCGTCGATTTGTCATCATCTTAATTAGCTTGTTTCTGGAGCATGCGTTCTTGCGGTCTGTGTGCCTGACAATCATTTGCCTCACGTTCTTGCTGCATCACCTTTACAAGAAACCCTTCGCGCACTTTAGCGCCAACGTCGTTGAGGCCATTTCGCTAGCAACATTAGTGGTCATAGCAATACTGAACGTCGGTGTGGCATCATATTTCTCCGTGGGAAGCGAAGTTGGCGGTGTCAATCAGAAGTATATCACTTATTTTCTCTTGATAGAAGCAATTCTGCTGGGAATTGTGCCTCTCATATTTGCAGTGTTTGTCTCCTTGTCCCTTGTTTTGCAGCTTGTGAGGGTAGTGATCATTCTAATCCAAACCGTTCTTACGAGATGGCCCTTTGTGAGACCAAGAAACAATACGCAGTTGTCACTGGAAAATCAAGGACAACCTTTACTTCCTACTAACACATTATAGTTTTAAGATAATTTAACGAGGCCAAAAATTGGTGAAAATTGCCGACTTTAAATCTTTTATCGACGGTCTGATTTCTGAATTCCTCACTGAAAGCAGAATTATGTCTCATAAACCAAACAATTTTCATCTTTGCAAGCGAAAAGTGTATGTGATGATTAACCGCGTTTTAGAAACCTAAACGTCAAAAAAATTATCTTCAAATGTGCTCAAACACTCGCCAGTGAACGAGGCCATTTGAAAAACAACTTAGTAACCTGGCCATGTTTGTAAAAACTACAACGCGTGCATACAAAAAGTTCCGCGTTGGTTGTGCAAAAAACTCAATCCCTGTGTAGCACGGTATTATGAACTTCTGAATTGTTCAGAGAGATCGCCAATGTGGCCATTTGAAAAAACGTTTTTTGAAAGATGCGGTCTTTGGAATCTCAAAATTTGCACAGGGTCAAAAGTTCTAGAATACACTTTAACGGCAGAGAAAATTTTTTAAGTATATACAGCACCGAAACCGAAAAAAAAAAGTTCACTTGTCAATGTACCAAAAAGTGGTAGAAAATTGTTGACGCGTGATTTTGTCTCTTCGGCTGATTGGATGTGAATAGTACTTGCCTATCATTTCCGAACCAGTTAATCAGCGAGCGCGAAAAGCACTATTTACGTGTGGTATGTGCTAAAAACTTATAGTTCCTGGAGAGTATCCTTCCTGTAATACACAATTTCTATTCAGATAGCAGAGTGACAAGAAGTCTTTTCAGTGAGGTTTCCCTATAAATGATAAGTAAATTACCAAAAAGAAATGCTTTTAATTGTGCTAAACCCTGCACTAAAATGTGGTCGCACGAAGAAACGTTACCAGAGCAAAGAATACCTGAACCTCAACTGGACCATTTCGAAAGAATGCCGAAATATGTTTAAACTTTTTCTGCCTTGTCGTCCACTTATGAAAAAAGACTTGCTCTTGTTTTATCGTTTTCGAGTGGAGTAAATAACAAAACACTTAAACGAAAAAAAAAAACCCTGGGAATAAAAAAAGGCACTTGAACGCCCAGAAGATGTATATACATTTGCTCCGTAATAAATTAGTTGTGTTACTGCATCTGTCTATGAAAATAACATGGTATCTAAAGAAATAGTTAAAAAAAACTATATAAATTTTTGTGAGGGAGAGTTTGTCTGCCGAAATTTTTCATTAACACTTTCCATTAGAGTATTTCAAGTAAGAATTTCCAGTCATTTTTTTCACTCGATAAGCCAAGTTAATCGAATGTAGGAAGCGAATTCAACGATTCAATTTCGATTTAATTGCGCTTAGATCACCCACATGTAAAGAGAGGTTATGTTTAATACATTTTTAAATGTAAATCAAGAGGATTAGGAGAAGTTGTTTTACGGAGTAAATTGTGGAATATTTAAAACACCTTTCCGTTAACCAAAACAGTGTGGCCAGATTGACTGAACTTTCCATTTTGCCTTGAACTATTGTACGTCACCTGGATTCGTTGAGTTAGCTTTTTAAGTGATTGCAACAAAAATTATTGGTAAAAAAAATTGTCAGCTGCTAAGGTAATTAAAATACACCCAAAATACGTTGCTATGCGTTTCAACGTGTGACGTAATTTCTCTGACCCAAATCAGCTTCATAAGGAATTGGTTGCGAGACGGGATGTGTTTTGTTCCTTGTTTTCATAAGGTTCAGATGTCATCTGTATATTGGTGGGGGTCCCTCTCCGTTTCTCTCTCAGCTTCCTGACAATTAAGGCAGTAAGTTTCCCATACCACAAGTTCCTCATAATTTCTGTGAGCTTAGAATTCAGGGAACTTATTACCAGTCATGGCACATCTTACACAAAAACAAATACGATAAATTGCACATCCTGTTGCGTTATCTTCAACTTTACTTAATTGAGTTAACTTCACTGGATACAAGGTGTCAAACCATCACAACCATTTACAACTAAAAATTACACTTAAATAAGACTTGCGAAAAGCAATAAATATAAGTCAATTAGTTATTTATCCACTGTAGATGAAGCTGTAAGAACCTGAGGGCGAGTCTCTTAGACTACTAGACTTTAAAATCGGTTAACTTGTACGACAATCGTATATCTAACCGCATAACGTCACAAAATCACTAGCAGTTTAATAACAGACCTGACTTAATAGTGCAAAGTATTTCCTTTTCTTAGTTAAAGGTGTCATTCTATGAGGGGAATCTTTGTTTACATTTTTTGCTGGTGGGTATAAGCTCTTGGTTTTCCCATCAAGCCACAAAAATGTTGGTTCATCTCAAATTCTCTTAGCCACACGATGTTAAGATTAGGAATTTTAAAAAGAATGTATAGGTTCATTAGCGATTTTTTTCACCCAGAAAGTTGGCCGTTTCCGTTGATGAATATTTCATGTGAGTTTTACTCGTAGAAAGACCCAAATTTCACGTACTTTACACTACGAGGCACTAATTCGGTTTTTGAAATCACTCCTTCATGAACTCGACTTCTTTACTATAAAAAAAGAAATAAACAAACAAAAAACAGTTATGCTAAAAAAGAAAAATGTAAGTTATGACGGCAGCAAAGATTCCCCTATTGAAGAAAACACTTCTGCATCTTTGCAGGTTGCAATTCTGTCGATTGTTATCAAATTCACTGAAGAGTCATGATTCGTCTCACGTTCTGACTCAAAGCCAGGCACCTACACGAGATCTCTGTAGCTCTCTCACCCTTTACGGCGAAAACTTTATCTTCACTGCATACATCGTGATTTTATTTTTTTCTCTGTGCAAAATGAAAGATTCCGTATCAGTGTCAAAATACACGTGACACACGTGTTTCACCTTCCATTTCTAATACTACCTTCACGCGAAAAAGGCACTCACAAGCAATGTACATAAAGTCTGTCACCTCTCTGACCAACAACGAGGAATTTGTCAGAACAAACAGTGTTATAGACAATGACCCGACAGTGAAGCTATTAGCACACTATTTTATCCACTTTACTTAAGGACCTTCCAGATAATAAATTTCATTGAGAACAATTGAAAAACATAACAAAGACGGCATAAGCTACGCCAATCGCGTTTAAGAGGTGTGTGACAGTGTGACAGTGTGATCTCGCTCCACATTCCGCCGCAGATCACCCGTCGTTCGCTTGCGGGTAATGGAATGAGCCCCTTTCCAGGTGGATATCACAGTGATATGACAACCAGTTTCCCATATAATATCAGTATTTAAATAGACATTTAGGGTTGAAACCCATGGTGGATTATTATACTCTTTCATTCATATATATTCTTATTGGACAGCTACTGTAAATCACCGAATTCAATATTCAGCTACAACAGGTCATGATACGACATCAGCAGTGTAAACTGGTCCATTCACAACATGATCAACAACGCATTTCTCGTCACCAATCATGAGGTTCTCTGAACCGACAGCACGGCGATTCCAGGCTCTATAAATCGCCATGGAGAATCCTTATTTTGATCTGGTAAATGGGAAGGTTCGACAAGGCTGGCTGAAGCTTGACCTTTCTAACTTTGTCATTCTCTATTCCTTAATTCTAACTACGTTACATATATTTTGTAGATGCAAACTAGCAATAAATAACAATGAAGATTGACGTCTCAGCTGAGCTGCGGCTCGCTGGACTCATACGCTGGTCAACAGCGTTTGCCTTTTTCTGTACACTTCTTAATTTAGCGTCAATATATAGCTAAGCGCATGGCCTTTCAAACTTCCAAATTGACCCAATGAAAATTAAATACAAGTAAAAGCAAATGTCTACTCAGGTAGTACTTTTGCCCATATAATGAACAGAGGCTGCGATATTCTCAGTAGGCAAAATTACGATAACCACGAGAAGGGATCAAGGATAAAAATGCACAGCTGTGCACAGCCGGTATAACTTTAGCAAAAACCGACTCACATTATTTGCCCCCAAACTCTACTTTGAATAAAAATAATACATCCACTTTAAAATAAAAACCTCAAATAATGATAAGAAATCATTAAGATCCTAAAACAGTGATTAACGCCATTTCTGTTTGGGAAAAAATCAAATTAAATTACATCTTACGCAGTCTAATAACTAGAACTGTTACTCCGCCATTAGGCGATACTTAAGCGTTTGCGTACAGCTGCCTTATCATCACTAGAGTCATCTCCACTTTCTTAGATATCCCCAACTATAATAATAGGCCGATGCAAAAAACAGGTTAATTAAATCTCACTCTCCAATTCAGGGTCTCGTGTTTTTCTCCTTCTAAAGAAGAAGGAGCTTTTGACGGGTGGCGGTCCTTGAAGCATAGGGACCTGATTCTTGTGTGAGATCACAATCTGAGAAATATTAAGACAGCAAAAGGAAAATTGTATTAGTTGGCAAGGACACAAAATAAAAACATAAGAAAGAAAACGAAAGCAACCAGAGAAGTCAATTATAACGTGGAAGTATCACCAGGAACCAACGAGAACTCAGAGTGAAAACCAGTAAACTATCTAAAGAGCGTGAAAACGCGAGTGACAAAGTCGAGATTGGTTTTCGTTTTTAATGTAATTGGTTGAGAAAGTGGCGCAGGTTTCCTGGACCAATCACATCACGAAATACAGCAAAACCAGAGCAATTCCGATTTCGGATTCCTTTCGACACTCGATTAGAAAATTGCTCTCTATAAAGAAACAAACTTAAAATTAAGCAAACACAAATTCACAGACACTCCAAGAAAAGAAAAAAATTCGCAACCTTTGCACCCGAGTGCTATTTTCCTCTAATGGAGTTACGATCTTAAACAGCTATCGATAGCCGATAGAAACCTTAAGAAAGCATAATAGCAGCCTTGAATTTTGATTCTAATGTTTTAAAACAACTTGCGGCGGAATACCAGACAGTACTTCGACCAAGAATGTTTCTCTTACCTCGGCTGGTGGTTGCATCCATGGCTCTCCATCAATCTGCATTGGAAACAGCTTTTTGGTCCTGTTGCGGTCGAAATAATAAAGGATGTTTAGACTATAGAATCCTTAAAGTAGCACACAACTCATCAACCGAAGGAAAAAACTCTGTAAGTTTCTTTTAAAAGCGATTGAATAAATTCTGCTGTCTCTCACAGCCCCTGTTTTATCCTCTCATTGGTGGAGAACAGCCAAAGCCACAGCAAACCAAGATTAGAATCTTCGTGAAACTGGATACCCACCTTATTACGACTGAGGAGCATTGAGCCAATCTAAGGCCATGGGCTCTGACGCCGACAATAATCTGACTGACAAACAGAGTGTTTTCAAGTCCGACCACCTCCAGCTTCCCGTCTCCTATGTCTAACATAAAATAAACAAAAAACGTGCAAATGCCATCTAAAATTATTCAAAATGCTTATCATGGAGGTGAGTAGCGACGAAAAAATTTACCTTTAAGCAAAAGGAGGATGATCACCAAAGAAGAAAGGCAAACTACAACAAAAGACGACTCTGTAAACTAACCTTGTACAGCCCAGTCCAGTTCATTGTCCTTTCCGCCTGCTTTCGCACGTGACCGTCTGGCCTTCTTCTTGTCCGTTTCACCCCAGAGGTTTGCTCCACCGTATACGCTGGGAATATTTACCACAGCAATTCCTTCCAGCTGAGGCAGTGCTAATGGTGTATCATCACACTAAAATAACAGATGGATCATTATCAGACTATTTTGAGGTACAAACCGAAAGAGCAATGGATCTTTTTTTTAATATCAAGTTAATACGGAGTACGAAGTGGATCAAAATAGTTGGGGAAAAGAGGAAAGATTTCACAAGTTACCAACAGCTAATAGTGCAAAACTATAGTGCCTCGGAGACATGGCTTAATCACTGTTGAGGCCTGCAATCTTTAGTTGCTGATTTTTCTATCATTTCCCGCAACTGCTTCACTGTCAGTGAATTTCAACTGTTCACCATCATCCAGAGAGAATCAAATCGTCACCGAACGCAAAATTAAATACGATAATTTTGGTATTACAGTCCCCTTAAGCAACATAATTCTTACCTTTAAAGGCAAATATACTTACAATGATTTCAATTTCCTCGTGAAGATTCTTGCAAGTTGCTGAAAGGGTCTCCGATGTTCCACATTCAAAATAACGAAATTTATTTTTTAACCTTCAAAGTTGGAAAAAAAACAAATTTTATTCATCTTTAATAATTTAAACAACTATTCTCTACCAGTAGCAAAATTTAGTAAAATTTAATACAAATGCCTCGTATAAGACCTTTATCTTACGAGTCTGATTTGCAGAAAAGAGCTCTGAATTACTTGTTATGTTATCTCCTTTGTAAAAATATAATTATCGTCACCAAAATTGAAAATAAATAGATTCTCTGCAACACTCCGTGTTTATTTGGCCCTGAATGTAGTACAGCGGTACTAATACATGAAATATTTCTATTCCCTTCCCAAACAGACATCGCCAATATTATTAAAGATAATCTACCAAGTTTCAAGTTTCAATAGTTTTTTTTTTTTTTTTTAATTTGTTAGTTCACCTGCTGTTGAACTTTTCAGGATTCTTTTCTCTCTGCAGATGAAACTTGAGCGCAACTGACGCATCCTAAAAATAAATAAAAGCAATCAATAATAAAATTTTCTGCAGCTTTATTTTCGTTTAACCAAACTCTCCGAAAAAAAAGACATACCACGCCAATTGAGAAGTAGTTGTTGATGATGTCCAGTGGAGGTGGATCTCCACTGTCTTCTTTGTTAGTTTGCTTGAATGAGACGGACCATCTACAAAATAACAAAACGTGTAAAGGTTAAGATCATCAAACTGCTAGAAAAAGTCCAACTTTTAACATCAGGTCCTCAACATCATTTGTTTTTTATAACTCTTTCTTTAGCAAATCAGTCACAATACTTAGCATTTGTAAACAGCGTTTTATAAGTTGTGGTTCTCAATTAAATTCAGGTGAAATGATTTGAAATTGGCTTGTTTGTAATTTCCTCAGCTCAAGATACATTGCCATAATCCTTCAACAAAGAAACGTACTAATCAAACAATTTGGAAATCATTTTCATCTGAATCGTTTCAAACTAAAACACGTACGTCTTCGTTTCAAAGACAAGGCTCCAGCTTATACGGAATTATGTTCGAGAGAGGGCTAGTGCTAATCTCTGATTTATAATCTAACTTAGCTTTAATTGTTCTGAATGAGAGCATACTGAATGAAGGACAATAAATCTGTCCGCAGAACTAAAAAATCATATCATGAAATAACATCAACACAGAGTTAGCTTAACCGTGTTTTGACGAATAGTCATGCTGGAGATTCACCACAAACGAAAAAAAAATGCAAAAGTTCATTTAGACGCAAATCGGAGCTGTCTCTCGAAATTAAGTTTGAAAAAGAGGCAACCTCTGACCATGCGGTTGATTTGACTGTAAGCATAGCAGATCCACGAGTACCTGTCAAGACTTACAACCGAGCTCTTTTGAATCAGACTCAACACCTTGGAAATACTTCCACCTTCATATCCTGAGGAGAAAGATGTACAACAAGCAAATATTATCCTTCACAAAATACAGTGGTTCCTCTTTTCTTCCGCAAAAAAAGAAATCTACCGACAACGTATTCCCGCGGTTTTACAACTACGAAGACCTACACGCAAGACATTGAATCTTCATACTCCTGAAAGCAAGCTGGTCTCAGTAAATATACAATTACTACTATTACTGAAACAATCGACATCATTGCCTGATGAGGACTAGCAGTATTGCAGTCGAAACGTCGCGATCAACATCAAAAAGCGACTCTATCGTGAGACAAACGAACAAAGTTCATCTCCTATCTTGCACCAACAATAACCACATATTTTATTACATACAACTACTATATAACCCCAGAAAGAGATAGATTGAACTGGAAATATTTCATCAAATTCTGCACAGCTGCTCAGTTATCTGTTCAAGAATCTTTTTCCTCTTATAATAATTGGGTAACAGTAGGATCTTCAAAACAGCTTCATCCAACGTTTGAGTGAAAGAAGAGCTGTTCACTCATTTTTAGTTCGTTCGTTATTACCTCCTCCCCACTTCAAGCATCGAGCTAAGTCGTTTCCAGTTCCTGTGGATAGATAATCATAGGTAAATTAACCCTCAAAATCCCACTATCTAACTGATATTACCAATTCTCCCTGTAATAAAAACTATAATTCTCAAACGTGATTGGTTATCATCATCCCGATTTGAGCACTAATAGGACACTGTACGCGTCATGCTTGCAATTGGACAGTGTTATAGGACAATTAACACGTCATACCTGTCTAAGTGGACAGTACGCGTCATGAGCACGTGCTGTTGTCGCACATTTCACCGAGCTAACTTAAAACCGTTGCCTAGTTTCTTTTTCAAATTTTTTCACAGTTTTGATCAATTGGTAACAGGACTTCGTGTCGTCCAATTCTGTCTGTAATCAGTACCCGTGATTAACGGATCGGACTCCCGCTTCGCTGTCGTTCGACTTTGTTAACCACCCGTATGATTACAGACCGAATTGGACTCCACTCAGTCCTATTATCATTATCAATTTAAAAGGGTTTGTTGCCAAATCAAGAAGAAAGCACTATTCTCACCCCTCATCCCCTTTATATGTTTTCTGTTTTCATCAGTTGTTGAGTGGAAGGAATATCACTTGTGGGAGTTTAACGGTTTTAAAAAGGAAAAACGCCTACTTCGACATTATCAGCTTGTGGCGATAGGGCCAAATGTGTCAAGGCCACGGTAACTGACAGAGCAAAGTTGACTGGGCTAAATAAGATGGCTTTACAGGGTTTACAGGGAGTCCCTGTGAAGCGAGACTTATAGCGCAAACTCGGATTGCTTTCAGCACTAAATTTCAAAGTAGCTCTTTGATGTACAGGGTAATTTAGTAATATCAACTGACTTGATAACGTAAATTGGCCACCGCAGAGTTTGAAAGCTGACGTTTCAAGCGTTTCGCCATTCGCTCTGACAAAGGGCTCACGCTCGAAACGTCAACTTTCAAACTCTCTCTTAGCGTGGCTAAGTTCGACTGTACCTATTACTCACCAAGAGGTAAAACAGCAACTGGTGGTGGCTTCTTTATCTGTAATTTATCTGTTCATGAGAAAAGGGAGTTGGGTCACCATTTGACTGATTGTGATGTATACTTTCATCTCTTTATTTAACAGTGCTAGTTGCTGGGGTTGCTAGCAACAATCGGTAGGCATTATATTATCGACTTAGAGTGTGGGAACAAAATACTTGTTTCTCACTGATTTTTAGACTGAGCTGAAACAGCTCATTCCTTTCATCCACAGCGTGCTCAAAACACAACCAAAGGGAATCAATTTAACTCAAGCATAACTTGCCCACTTGCATTGTAAACGTCGTGCTTTTCGGAAAAAATTATCACTAAGCCTAGCACTGATCTTAACAAACACTGAAAGGAGTGTTCTTTCCTTATCAAATTTGCGAGTAGAAATAACAATAACATTACATACACTTAATAACACGAGCTACATGAAATGCGAAAATTAAACTTCTCCGTAGAGGACAAGTCTTTAAGTGCACATTTCATTTCACAGTGAATACAAAAACTTGTCAATGAGCTCACCTATGGTGGCTAGAACCCAGCCTACTGTTCCATCTCCGCCACAGCATAGGACACGGAAATCAGGCACACTTTGAAAGAACTTCAGTCTGAAAATAAGACAACAGTGAAACAAATAAAAAGGGGAACCTATGGTCTGTGTGGTAACTCAAGACTGAGGGGTCTCGGTTCAAGTTCTGATCAGGGTGGCTATGTTATATTCTTAGGCTTTACTCTCACACAACCTCTCCGAATCCAGGAGTATAAGTGGCTTGTAAATGAGTGTACAGTGCTGCGCTTGTGATCTATGATGGACTACTCTCCCATCAGCGAGGAATAAAAATTTTCTAAGTCACTTCAAACGCTAAACGAACAAATAACAACAACAGCAAAGCAAGACACATACCCTGGTGTGGGTCCACCATCGCCAAGATTGAAGACCTGCCGCGGATTGAGTAAGTATTGAAACTTGTGAAGTAATCTGATGGTAGAAGAGGCGGCCTATCAATCAACTACACTTAGTGCCGACCGAAGTAAAAATCACAAGTAGGGTAAGATATGATCCATTGACTGACTTTTATGTTTGATAGATGAGGCGAGATGAGAAAGTAATGCAGGTTTATTGAAAGAGCATAGGCGAAACAACAAGATATATAAGTGTAGAAACTATAGAATACTCTGGGACTTTAATCACACGTGATGGTGAGGTTTAGGAAAAAGAAATAACAATAGACAGCATTCATATGTTGATCATTGCAAACAAGTGGCACGGTCTTAAATGGTTTTATAGGCATTGATGGGCAAAGCCAGGTTGGCCAGAGTTTTCAAACAATCCTACCTTGCACCCTGTCGACCACCACTCTTAGGATTGATAAACACAGCCAAGGGATGTGTGCCACGTAATGGTGAAATCTGAAGCGACAAATTACATACAGCTGTACATTTGTACCATTGAATACACGTATTTACATAATTTTCCTATTTTAAGAGGGATTTAGATTCTTCCAGGAACCGTTTTTAATCGACTAGTACACTGAATGATCTTCCTAAAACATCAACTTTGCATCTTTGCTTTCTAGTATTCCACTAAGGAATACCAACCAATAAAAACATTTCACTGAAATAAGAGATAAATTATCCAGTCCATGGAAAAGCAAACTGTATCAATAGCATCTTTGGCGAAAAAATCCAAGAAATGACCTGAGACGTTGTCAACAATGAACTACACAAGCTTATCTGTCATTTAAGTAACACAAAATGAGAATTTGTTATCAGCCCAAATTTTTAGGGTACAGTAAAGGAATTAAGGGCAATTCCCCTTCATTCTGTTTCTTTACTTTCTTCTCGAAAAAACTAAATAAAACTCTTTTCACCATTATCAGTAGCTACATATGTACATGCACGCTATCTATTGTTATTTATAATTAACCTGCATTGGTATCCCCTCAAAATTGACATAAGAGTTGGCTCTCTTCCTATGAGCTTCAGGGGTGGAGTTGTCCTTTCTCCTGTCCTATGAAATTTAGACAGACTAATTACTAACACAAGAACTTTCTGATGAGGAACTATTTACATGCAAATACATGCAAGGGTAACATACGTCATAACCATGTCTACTATAATTTGTAAAGCTTCAAGGACCACAAGTAAATATGTCCCTCCAGATGTGTATCATTATCATTATCATTTTCCTACCACAGTGTTGAAATATTTCTTGTGCTGCTCTTCGTAACTGTTTGTAGTTCAAGTTTCTTATTAATTCATGAGTTGATTCGAAGAAGTCGAATGACCCAGCAACAAGAGCTCTCCTGTTTCAAAAGCAGGAAGCAACTAGGAGTATTATTACTTCTCCTTCATTGGATGTTAGTTCATCATAGGTGGCCCACGACAGACTTGTCAAGTGTGACGAGCAGTTTGTGCGGTACAATTCATATTCCTACCCTGCATGAAGAGGGAGCTGCCTGAGGAATTTATCATATTTCCATGACACAACACAATCTTATGGCAAAGGCCCAAACAAAGACCTCTTCAACCAAAGAACAGTGTGTTGACAACTACGCCATGGTGCATCTTGCACTTCCATTTACCAACAAATTTACTTTTTATCTAAGTTTAGTATGCGTGGTAGGTTAGTCTGTGAACATACCAGCCCACCAGCTGGAGAGATGCAGACTGGTGGCAAGATAAGCTCTCTATGTTCTCCAAGGTTACACTCTGGTGCCATATGAGTTGCGCATTTGTTGTGAACCTACAAAGTATGAACATTGATTTGGGGAGATAAACATGAGTTAAATTTTACTTGAAAGATTATTCTTAGTTATGTGTGAGTAGTTCCACTTTAAGTGACTGTTCAATACAAGTGGAGGACAGTTTTCAAACTTATGTGAATTCATAAGCACCCTGAATCTTTTCCCACCACTCCCTTTCCCAGCACTCACTTTCACATTGAAATTTCCAGTTCTTAGTTTTATCTAAGTGGTTCCACTTTAAGGACTATTCAATACGGGTGGGGGACAATAAAAAAAACCCATAGGGACTCAGTCAAGGTTGACCACCACTTAATACAGGTTTGACTGCATTTGTTTTTTGATCAATAAAGACACATTGAGTGCACAACCCACCGTGACTTGACACCAAGCACAGCGTAATCCAGTAAGACAGTTGTTACTCTTGACAGCTTTACCACACTTGAAACACTTGCCAGGGCAGTTTCCTTCTGTCCAGTGATGATCCATGCTCTGCATTTGTACAAGAAAACAATTTGAGCAGATGTTGTAAAACGCAAGTAGTAAGTAATTACATTTATCATATGACCCTGTTGGGCCCTGCTTACAGAATCCCTAACAAAACCATAGTGAAAACTACTGTGTAGGCCAGATGTGTTGACTTTTCAAATTTCCAAAGATTAGTGGTCATATGATAAAATGCTTATTGACTGACTTAGTCCAGCCAGACAGAAACTATTTGGCTTTGCTCATGAAGAATGGACCTCACTGTGCTCGGTCCATACATCATGACCCAGAGCAAAACGTTTTCCCATCCAGCCCTTCCTCTCAGTCATTAAGTACATATTATGTAGCAAATCCATTTTACAACATTACGTGACTTTCCAAAGTTGAAATAACCATGAACAAAGCAAAAGAGAATCAGTTTTGCTTTAAAAAAAGTAATAAATGTCACATTTTGCAAGTTCTGGGTTAAATTTTAACTGGCCCTGGTTTCCGTTGTTTAAAAACTTGTAAATTTAGTGAGATTTGAAAGTTGTCTTTGGACCAGCTAAAGGAAAAAAAATGTAACCAGCATGACTGTGCAAAGTGATCACAATGAATCAAAAATTAAAACATGCCCTGGTTGAACTAAATCCTATTTTAAACAACCTAAATCAGATTATCAAATTTTCATCACTCAACTAAACAATCGTTGTAAGCAACACTACCTACCATTTTCCCACTTCTTCTTGAAGACTTGACATATGTGGTGATACAAGACGCTGGTACTCTCTCAACACAACGCTCATGAACTGTATACTTACAAACTGTAGAAATTCAACAAAAATAAAAATCATTTTAAAGCCAAAGAAATTGAATAACTAAGTCAAGTAAAATATGTTTCACAAAACAATACAAAAAAAAACATAGTGGAAGCATTGAGCTAAAGGTGATAGCAGATGGTGACAAAATGCAAGTCAAAATTAGAGCAGTTCATTTATGCAATAAACACACTTTTTTTCCAAAGCCAATGGTGTGGCAATGAAGTTAGAACACCAGACTTGTAATCTAGACTTCATACATTCCAGTTCTTCACCCTGCCTCTCACTGGTTTTCCTCTTAGTTGCCTAAAGTTTAACACAGCTGGGATCCATGCTAGTTTGCATCTAATTAAACTGTTTGTTCCATATTTTGTTCACACTTGTCCTGTAGGCCCCCTTTAAAGAGGGATGGAGGGGGTTGGGGGGAGATGAGGGATGCCAAACTGTTGGTATTAGAATAGTTTTTTGGTTTTCAAATACATTTAGATTTGGTACAAAGGCAGTAACTATTGAAAAGGAGAATAGAAAGCTACATGTATCCCCTCATAACCACCCCATCTACTGATCACAGAAGATGTTCAGTTTAATGAGACTTAATAATCCACTTTGAATTCTGGGAGAACATTAGGAAAGATGTAATCAAACTTTTCTTGTGCTCTGTCCACACCCCATGTAAGGTGTTCAACTGGTAAACCCATCAGACAGATAGATATAACTATAGGATGTATGTTTATGCCAGGATGACTTACATGGGCACTGAAGACCTTGATAACTAAGCGCAAACCCATTCAGGACATTAAGACATCTGTTACAGAAAGCATTTCTGTTGAAGCGTTTTTGACGCCACTAAAAACCAAAAAAAAAAGACTGACCTCATTGGGTGCAGATATAACTTAAGCATTAAGTGGGGCAAAACATGCTTGGATATTTTGTCTGAAGATACATGTAGTTATTATTGGTTCCAAAAATAATTATCTGTTTACAAAAAAGTTGTTCAGTTGAACACATGGACCTTACATTAATTGTGAGAATTGTTTTAGTCTGTAGAGAGTCACCAGCCAGTTAAGCAAGTTAGTGAAAACTTTAGACAGTCTTGAGCTCTGTCCTGTTAAGCAAATGCAAGAAATTTCTGCCACCTGAAACTAATTTTTTAAATTATGTCATTTAATAGCTTGAATCTAGAGTCATATGGGCCGAAATAATACAAAATGCCAGCAGAAAAGGGTTAAGGTGACTAAAGAACAGATACAAACAGTAACTTAAAGTAAGTTGTTTGCATTCCCACCTGATGCTGACCATCATCGAGAATTTGCTGTGGAAAGAAAAGAATACTAATTGACTCACAGGGGCACTGAAGACTGCTGAATGATTTTTCTTATGATTAGGAATCAAATGACAGAAAGCATGAATTCTGTCAATGTATGTTTTTAAATCACTCAATTTACCATTGAGCTCCAGGAGTATTACGACAAATTAATGTATGGTATGCAAAGAAGTCAAGTTGACAGCTAAGAAAGAGGTGGTTTTGAACAGAAAAAAAACCTGAAACATTGGAGACAAGTAAAAATAAACTAGATATAATTTCTCACTGGACTACACTGTTCAGTGATGGTGAATTTCTGCACCATGTACTTAGAAAACCTGAGTTTTAAAACAAATTAAAGTTATTTCTTAAAAATACCAGTGGAACTTAAGAAAATTAGCTTCAATGTAGCTCCATGCAATAAGTGACCACAATATAAATGTGGTCATTGTCTACACATTAAAAATTGTCATTTTACCAGTCAAAGGATCATATCAACAGGTACTCACAGTTTCTAAGCCAAGCAGTACTCTAAGTGGTATTGTATTACGTCCTCCTCTGATCCACTCATCTAAAGATATCTGGCCATCAGCATCATCATCCAGCTCTACCAACATGTCCTGCAAGATCTAATGTACCCCAGGTATACCAACATGTCACATTGTAGCCAACTTTAATCCATTAAATCCTAGTCATAAGGCCACTACACAGCTTTATAACTTAGTTTACATGTTGGAATACATACATCTTTATTGCCAATAACTGTTTAGTTATAACATCAAACAACAGTATAGTGTAAGACTAAATGAGATTAGAAAGAAGGTAAAGTTTGTCACTCAGAAATGGAATAAAGAAAGATATTACTTGTCTTGTCACAAGCATGGGACATAGAGTCCCTGTGAAGAATTGAACCCAGACCTCTGACCCAGGTTGTTTGAAGGGTGGATAATGCTATCCACTGAATAAATTTCAATCTAGCACAGTAAGTTTTATTAGTACTTATCTTGTTGGATAGTGTTATCTGCCCTTTGAACAACTGGGGCCAGAATTCCATAATATAACTATTTATTTCAAATTCTAAGTCAATCTCGTACAAAATGAATTACAACTATCCCAGCACAATCAACAAGTACATGACTAACCACAAATGATCATTGAGAAAAAAGTTTTTGTTGAGCCCAAATAAGCTCAATGGAACATTGCCTGATTGCCTGGGAGAGACACATTGGCAGTTTACACCAGTATTAGGTACATGCAAACATGATCAAGATTACATGGACAGGTGGGCTACCTGACCTACAGGTACATTACATCTCTCTACTTCACATATTCAGGTTGTTACACAAACAGAGAAAGCCAAATACTGATTTAAGGAATGTTGTTGCTCAAGAAAACCAAGCCAATCAGATACGAGAAAAAAAAACTATGGGAAGTTGTGCTTATTGTTTACTGGCTTTGTGGTTTGCTTAAATATCCATATTACAAATGTGATAACTGGTTATTCATTAAAAAAATAATTGCAAGAATATATCTACAGATGTTCACATTTTTCCAAGTTTTAAAGTAATTCTGATTATTGACTTACATGTGAGTTTACACAATTTAAAAATAACATACTTACTGGTTTGAGTTCTGTGACATCCCAACCAAGATATTGAGCTACACTCATCATTTGCTGAGTAATGCATTCCAATTCCTTCACCAAATAAAAATGGAAATTTAAGTTATGAGAATTCCCAACAATACTACAGTAAAGTTATCATACCTATACCTAGTCGTGCAGAAACAAATTATGTTTTACCAAAACATTTAAACAAATATTTGTACATAACAAGGAAAACAGCTGCATTAATTCTTGTTTTACTTGGTTAAATTTTTAACTGTAGAAGTCTTTGTGACAAGTTGCACAACACATGTATTACTTGTAAATTCTTCCTGTGGCTTTTCTTTTTGCATGGATTCTTGAATTTCTAATTCCTTGCCTCAAAATTTCAAACAAAGGTTTTTCATATCTGGGTGAGCTAACAATTTAGCCAAAAAAAACAACATATATATTACACAATTCAGCATTCCTTGTCAAAGCATTCAGAGTCACTTACAGAAAGAAAATGTCTACAAGAACCATAACCAATAACTGAAATGACCATTAACAACTCAATTCAGTTAAAAATATGGCAAAATGATATGCACCTGGGAATCTAGATACTCATTTCCATCACTGTCATACACTCTGAAAACAACTGGAAGACAAGAATCACACTTGACACTTACAATAACATCACTAACATCATACATTAAACTAGCTGCAATAACTTAGAGTGAATTTCAATTCACAGTAAAATCAGTAAAATGCAAATCAAGCACCTTGGCAGCTGATGATAAGCCCTGTATTACTGTAATACTGTTCAATATGATGTGATAACAACACCTGTTTATGCATCACCTCAGATGTATATGAAACACAATGGTAACATGTAGCTGTAATCCTTATCACCATTGATAATTAATTAAAAGTGACACAACAAATCAACTTAATTTCCTGACAAAACCTAGAAACACTGCAGCTGTTACTTAAATTTACAAATCATATAGTTCTGCAGTAATTTCATTTCTACATCTTATAACCTTACATGTACATCTACAAAAGGAACTTTCAGTAAAAGTGCCAAAATATTCACTTGACAGATTGACAGAAATTAAAATGTCACAAATATGGTAAAGCTGGGAATTGGTACCAAAAATTGGCAAAGAATCAGACAACATACTTGTAACAATAGAGAGATCATAATAAACTGCAGGGAGTTGAAGTCTTAAAATTTGTCTTTTGCAATTTTTTTTAAGACAAGATGTTGAGTAAACTATTGGTGGCACACCACCATGATAGATAATTATAATTGACGATTAGAACATCAATTATGACAAAGAAACAAAAAACAAACATGACTCGCATACTGCAACTATGAAATAGGACAAATTGTAGAAATTATAAAAGAATGTCAAATTAAAGAACCTAACAGCATCAACGAAAGCAAATCATTCCTCATTCTTTGTAAGATCTAAATAAACTTTAGGATCCCTACCAAGTGAAGAACATGCCCGTATTTACCTGCAGTAAACCACATTGGCAAATCAGTCTTGGTTACTAATACTTACACTCCAGCTTATCCTCGACTTTTCCACCTTCCAGCATGGAAAGATAACAAGCAATCTCCCTGATAGAAACCATAGGTACTGTTTTGGCCTGTGCATTGGCATTCAGCAAGTTCACTTGTTCACTTGACATTTTCTTTCTCTGTGAACTTGAGCGGGGGTGGGCAGGAGGGTGTTCATTGGCCACTTTAAAAGCTGTTGACGGAACAAAATCACACCATGATTTTGCTGATGTTTAAGACAAAATTTTTCAATACAAGCAAACAGTGAACACCACCTTAAGAGCACTTGCTCAATACTGCTGATTTGTCATTACAGCCACTCCAGGCACTTTGTAATTTTGCAGCAGTTCTTTTCATTAATCCAACATATTGAGGAACATACCCTAACGATAACCTTAAACATTTAACTCCCAGAAGTGACTACCATTTAATGTCTTCCTATAATATCCATAAAGCATCTGGCACACAGGTATTGAGAATACTCAAACTTATCAGGTTCAAGTTAAGTTGTTATCATGACCTAACCCTAAATTCTCGTAACTTATTTACAAGGAAATGTATAGCAGCTAGAACAGAGAAGTAACAATCAAATCTTGGGAGTTAAAAGGTTGACCCTGATGATGCATCTTGAATATAGTTAGCTTACTATGCACTATCTTGAGTTATCCCTGGCCAGCAAACAAACAAAATACAAGTGGGAGCTATGATAGAACCTTGCTAACTCTACCTCGGTTAAGTTCAACTTTTTATTTGAATAATTAACAACCATTTCCTTCAAGCATATTTTTCTACCATTCACTTAAATGTTGTACTACTTTTTCACAGCAGTGTGAAGTAGTGGATAATTCTGACCAAATTCCACACTTTCTCTTTCTTGTTGAAAACCATTTATCAGGATCAATGATCTATTTAAAGTCAAACATTGTCCAAGTCAACAGGCATTTAGTTGGAAAAATACCTTTCAGAAAAATACTACCAGGTAATCCCAGGTTTTGCTGTGTTGTGACATCATTAAGTTTTTGATGAAAGACATTTAATAAAATTGTCTGTCTGTAACAATTTTTTTTCTGAACATAGGCATAATTAAGGATAGTTTGTTCCTGTGTCAGGAACAAACTATGGCTTTTCCTCCATCTGAGGACACCCATAACACAAATGAGAAACTGGTGGAAAAAAACTTGTACAACTTTAAGTCAAATCATTGTATTCAGTTCAGAAACTTCATTTAAGGATCATTAAGATGTTTTCCACTTCAGTATGCAATGACCACACTGATCTTCTTTTCAAAATGACCAGCTGTGCTTTCACTCATACTAATGTGTCATTGGCTCAAAGGAGTTTAGGAACAACAAAATTGTAAGCTATCCCTTTCTTATGATTTTTATTTAACTTTCTGGTGTGGAACATCACAACAGCCTCTGCTCAAAGAAAAATGTCAAATTCATTTATTTTTTTCCTTGAGGTTAAAGGTGGATATTTGTTTATAGTGTATGTGCAGTACTGCTTTTTACAAATATGTTGGATAAAAATTTTCTTGGTGGTTGGATGTGAAACAAATGGAGAATATAAATCAGTTGATTTCCATTGCTTAAATCAATTTTTCTGGGAAAAAGGAAACAAGGAAACATCGCTGCAGTAACTCATTTTGACAGAGGGTTTTTCAATGTTTAAATAATTAAAACATAAAAAAAAACAGTAATTACAGACCAAAACTTTATGGTGAGATTACATTTTAACATCAATTAAATTGCAATTTCAGCTTTAAAAGATTTTTATATTTTACTTTTCAATTAAGTCACATTGAACAATAATTTAATAGAATTATTTATTTGAGTCTGCTAACACTGTAGCAAAAACATCACAGCACAATTTGTTGAGGAAAGTAATCAACTGCTGTACACAATTTCAAAAATGAAGCCCAACACCCCCCAATTTGTCTTATCTTTTAATTCTTCCTAGAGTAATTTTGTATTATTCATTTTTAACTCCATCAGGTTCACAAAAAAGGGATAATGTTTAAGGGATAGCTGTGTAATTCTTTTATTTCTATTTCTCATTATTTGAAAAGCAAAAATCAGTGTAGCTCAAATAAAATTCTTCCTAAAACACCATACACTCAAATTATCACTGTACAAAACGTAACAGTAATTATTTAGTTATGAGGTACAATTATAACTATTTAAACATTTCCACATATAGGAAAGTTAAGAAACATATCTATTTATTAACACATTCATACAAAAAAAAAACCAAAATGCTGATCAATGCTGTTAAAGAAAATGATGTATTTAAAAAAAAATCAATTAGCATGAAATTTAAAATGGGTTCAATTTGTGATTACAAGCAGCTGTTAAAATGTAGCTACTAACCCATGAACGAGCCACTAGAGTGTCTTCGGAAGTGATGTTTTAAATCAGGTGATTTTCGCCCCCACGTACCAAGCCCTAGAGTGTCTTGAGCAGGCGCTGGTGACAGTGTGAGGGAAGGTTGTATACTGCCTTTAGAATCATTATTATTAGTTTTAACTGTGGGTGATCCATTAGCTTTAACATTGGACTCGGCAACTTCATCATTGGCTTTAGATAGTGTTATTTCAGGTTTATCGCCAACCCCTATTGCAGCTGCTGTGGCAACCAGCGCTGCAGTTCCAGCTCCACTGTGGATACCTGGAATTTCTGAAACTGAATGTGTAGTTAAAGTTTCAAATGAATTAATGTGAGTTAAGAGTTATTTTGTTGACATAATTATCAAATGTAATTTATAATTCTTCCAATGTGTCTTAATGTATGCACATATTGTGTAAATTTAAAACAAATTTTATAAAAGGTGATAAAAACAATATTAACAGACATTACTACAGGACGCACATAATAAGTTATGATTAATAAGTTTCTTCACACCATAAATGTTATGAAAAAGTAAGGACAAATTTATCAATGGCTGTGATGTACATTAAAACAAGATATTCTCCCTCTGAAATAAGAGAAGCGATGCTGAACTTCACTTGATGGTGATGTGGAATGAATATCAAATTAATGATGGTTCATTATTTATTCAACTCTTAGTTTTGCTTTAGTACCAAAGCCTTGATTGAAATTTGAATCGAATAGTACAAATTCTCTTTAATACTCAAGCGAACTTTACTGAGAAAATAAATATGTCAACTTTAAATTTCAGTCTCATTTAAAGCAAGTCAAATTTTTTACCATTTATCTCCAAAAAGGACATTAAAAAATCATCAATGCAAAAAAGGCTAAAATTCAATCATTATAATGTCATTTTTTTCTTGTTGGTGTAACAGACAACTGAGGTGTCACATGTAAGCCCGTGTATTGTTGCCTGTGTATTATACAATCTAAAATGTGTGCGTGAAAATGAACTGTCAACACAAATGTGAGTTTATGTTCAGTGCTTTCAACAAGATTTGAAATTCATTGTAAGTGGCTTCAAATCAGAGGCTTGAAACATACTGTATTACAACTTTCACAAGAATAATAATATGATTGTGCAATTGAAAATGCATACATGCAGTTTGCAAAGGTTTAGATGAAGCCAACAAAATTGTTGATGTTTTCTTTTATACCCTAATGTACATCAATATTGTGAACCTAATTCAACAGAGGGTTTTCATGGCAGTAAGGAAAAAGGAAAAGAAAGATCCTGGATCCTCAAGGTGTCAACTGCCTTTGTGAAATGTGCAGTCATAGTGCATGTGCAGCTGTAAAAACAAGGGTGGATGTTGCATACTTGCCTCAGACTTCAGAATTTATTTGTTAGTATACCAGAACACCAGTTATTGAAGCTGCACTCTCATTGGTACAAAAGATGGTGCTTCACATATCTTTTCTAAGTGCACTGTGCATTTTTTTAGCTCTAACAAAACCACCAAATACAAGTATGTACACAATCTTCGCAAACAGAAAATATGAATTCACCATCTTATTCATTTCACAAAATTAGCACACAACTCTTACTTGACTGGTTGATCACTTTTTCAGAAATCCTCCCCAAAAATACCTGTTCACAAATAAACCTTCACTATTTCTTGGGTACGCAATGGATGAAGACTGTCAAATATAAGAATTAGCACACAACTCTTACTTAACAGGCTGATCACTTTTTCTGAAATCCTCCCCAAAAATATCTATTCATGAATAAACTTTCTCTATTTCTTGGGTATGCAATAGATGAAGACAGTCAAATATAAGAAACTTGAAACAATAAAAAATTTGGTGAGTCTGGAATGGTATCATTCCTGACCTGCTTTCCCATGCAAAAGCATGTCATTTAAAGTACACGAGATGGACATCTTGATTATCTCTTAGACAAAGAAGATTTGCAAATCATACTTATGTTTTACTTACACTAAGTAAAAACCAGGCAATTCTTAATCTAAGTTTGTTCAACAATTAGAACATGACCTGCAGTGAAAGCCAATGGCAAGAAAGTACTTACGTCTCCTGTCATGTTTGTTAAGGTCTTGTTGGGAATTGGATGCAACCACTGATACAGCCACACTATCTATGATAGTTTGTGACAGAGATGGAGACTGCACAGCGACTTGTTTATGGAATGCCCAAAAGAGATGTTCACATAAATCCTCACTCACATTACTACCAAGATAAGCAGACATAAATAATTTGAATCCCTCATAGTCCATTGGCTGAAAAACAAAAAACACCAAGAATGAACAGCTGGCACTTAAAAACTTGAGGCTTTAAAAGTTAAAAGTGATCCAAGTAAATTTAAAGATTAATGCTTTCTTATCAAAATGTTCCTAAGGTCTTAAAATGCCAATATTTCTTTTTTCTCCTTCTATTTCTTCCTTAATAAAATAATTTTCTTAAGAAAAATATATGTACAATTACTTTGTTCTTAAAATTTGCTGTTCCATGTACATTGTGCATGTATCACTTCAGCCCAGAACATAAACCCCAATGATTGAATTTTGTCACTTTCTCGTTTTCTAAATTTGTACTTTTTTTGTACTCCACATACCTTAAAGTTTTGTATTTTTGATGACTTTGAAAATTTACACTATTTCTGATGGAGCACAATTGTTCTTGCACTGAGGGAACTGTACCGTACAACCTGGTAAATGTCTTCCATGAAAACCATTCAAGCTGATTGATCAGTTCTTAACATTAACACGTCTTGAAATGTTTCACAAGTATAAACTTTTGCAGAGCTTTTACTTGATGGATTATCTTAAATTACTATTAGCAACAGTTTTTAAATATGTACATAATCACATTGACTTTCACGTGTTAGAAGTGACTATTCATTTACTAACCATCTGGGAAAATATTGAAACTACTGGAAGACTGACAAAAATAAGCATAAGGAAGGTTTTCAGTACTTTTTAACTTTGTTAAACCACACTGAGCAAGTGATAAATAAACCATAAGATGTGCAAGTTGTAAACAATCTACAGTGCTTGTCTAAGAAAAGCCATGCGGCCATTGGAGGAGAGTCCATGTAATTCTAAAATACTCTTGTGAAAATTACATGCCCAGAAAGAATCACTTCATAAGTACAAAAATTACATTTTCAGATATATGTTTATTGGCAGAAAAATTAAAAAAGTTAACAATGCAAGTATATTCCCTGTAATGTTAGACTTAAAGTTAGCGTTATTGTATACATTCTGATTCATGAAAAAGCTAACTAGAATGATTTCAAGTTCTGGCTTTTCTAGCTCAAGATCAATTTGCCTCCATTTTAAATGTTCTCCTAAAGAAGATAGTTGTATTTGTGAGATTCTTCTTCATGTAACACCTTTCTTAACTCTCAAATTGTCTTTGCTGATAGGAAAAGCCCTGATATTTATTGAAGCTCACAGGAAATAATTGGGGCAAAAAATTTTTCTATAGGACTGTAGATAGTGGATTGTACCAGTAATTACTTCGGAACATACAGAACAGTACGTGACCAAAACACCTTGTGATTATCTAGCTCACACTCTGCTTCTTGTTGATCATTACAAGAAACAATATCTATTTGACACTTATAAGTGTCAATTTAGAAGAAGTCAGTGCCCCAACTCACAGCGTGACATAGACCCTTTGAATTGTTGTTGATAATCATGAACCACCAAACTGTATGTGAGTGTTGCTGCCACAAAGTTTTTTAAAGGGTCCATCAGAAAAAAAAATTGAATCTGATTAAAAAAAAAAATCACATACCAAATCTCAGATGTAAATTTCAAAGGTAGAAAGTAACAATTATTGTGTGCACAATTACACATTTGCAGCTGCATCATTTTTCAAGAAAAAGAAGGTCAAATGTTGCATGGCTTTAAAGAAAATTTATTATGAATTCTATCAATAATGACAACCAAAAGTTTTGACATGTTCAAGTACATTCATGTAAAATTATGGTAGACTGTCATGTTAAAAGAATTGGAATAATTATTTATGAGGGTTTAAATGTTAAATATTACAGCATGTGGGGAACAAAGTGTATTGACACTTACCTTCTCTGGGTTATACTGAGGATAAACCCCATCGCGGAACTGTTGAAGAACATCTGTCAATCGACGTGTCTTGGCATCTAGAGGTTTTAAAAAATGGTGTTTAATTAAAGAGGAGACTTGATCAAAAGCTAAATGCAAAATAGAAACAAAACAAACTGTACAATGAATACCACATGGAGATGTCATTTTAAACTGTATTCATTACAAATGAAAATCACTCAACAGAAGAAGCAGTATTTATAAATGCATAACATCAAAAAAACACAAATAATTTTCATAAGCAAAACAGCTTTGATTGCAACTGTTTTCATTTAGTCACCATTTTGGAACATACATTGCAATACCCAGAAATTTCAATCTGTGGATATTCAAATTACTAATGATTATTTTGTAACAACTAGGAATGAATAATGCTTCAGAATGTTTGTTCCCAGAATGAGTTACATGAGTTACATGTAACATCTGACATTTATAAAATGTCTCCCATTAAAATCATAACACATTTATCATAACAAAAATCATTAACACACATTATACTTTTGTCTAAAAGCATTACAAGAACTAAATATCAAACCTTTCCGAGAAATTTCTCAATTTATGAGAAAGCTATGCTACCATAATTGCAAAAAAGAGTCTAATTGTCTTTAAGAGGAAACAAAAAGGCTTGATAAAGTTTACTTGGTTGCTATTGGCTGACACACTCTCCAGAACAGTAGGGAATCATTAATACAACCAACCACATTTATAGATGTAAAACATGAAATAATGAAGCATATATTAAAATTCATCAATTAAGCACCTAGCCAGGAATTGTACATGACGTGTATATTTAGAAAGTTAGTGAAATAAGCGAAAGAACATGTCGTCTCTAGATAAAAATTCTCACATTCATTCACTAATGCTGGTAACACAAAATTTACAACAACATTTAATCCCATATTTATAGAGTAACAGACTAACATGCATTGTGCTTGGTTTTATAAGCATAGGCCTGATATAACACAACTACACAGCAGTTTAATAAACAACTGCAGGTAGTTCAAAGGGTGTTGACTTGAATATTGAAGACTACTTAATGCCACAGTTGATAGAAAACTTAACAGCAATTTGAAGAAAACTTTCAAGAATCATCAACCATAATAATTTACAAATTTGAGGATGGCTTCCCAAAAATTTATTGAGACAAAATTTTGATAATGTTTTCAAATGTCCTTGCCATTCATATTGAGTGAAAAGAGTGATATTTTGTTTGTCAACCCGTGTTTGTATGCCAAAAGCTATAAATATTTTATGACAACACTTAGACATTTCTTTGGATAATATTAAACACTGGTGGGTGTAACTGGAAAATTCAAGAAATATAATTGCTTGAAAATCTAAAATTTTAAAAAACCTTATCACAAAAAGAAAAGATATTCTAGCAGTTTATTTTGAATGAATATAGTCAAACATTCTGAGTGAGTATATATCACAAAGAAACGCAACCTAGCTCTTATCTTCCCTAAACGAGAAGGAGATATAAACGCGTGTATTTGAACAAGTCAACCTTTCCTTGTAACCACAAATCAGAAGGGAAGATTAAAAATCAACTCGAAAGTTTTCGTTTTAGCTCCCGGATATAAAAGATTCGAAAGAAACCGCCAACAAGTCGTGGACATAATGTGTCGCCATAAACTGTTCATTTAAATTGCGTCAGGAACATTTAAATAATATGAAAAGCAAAAAAAATTGATAATAATAAATGTGACATCGTAGGAAATTTAGTATTGAGAAAGCGTTTATGAAAAATGCTCTTTTGGCTGGGGAACATGAGGATCGAAATTGAGAAAATTGAAATAATAAAAATATGAAAGCGAACAAAAATGCACCGAAAAACGTCCACCGAAAAAAAAGTCAACCAACACCGCACATCAGTAACACCGCATATCTCAGAATTTAAATTTTTGTTCGTCTATTACTACAGAGGCAACGAAGGGCTCGAACAGAAAATACTCTCACGAGAACACCCACCCAAATCTTCCCTTGTCTTTAAAAATTACGAACATTATTGTTTATACATGTGAAAATTAGACTAATAACACTAGCCGCCATATTATTACTGGAAGAACACCTAAGAGCATAAGGCTTAGTGTAATACTAAAGTATTAAAATCCGGATTCGTTTTTCGTTAGGCAATCTACGTACGTGTCCAGCGTTTTGTTATCAACTCAAAATGGAAATGTAGTTAAAGAGTATCACTGAAAAATAACAATATTTATGTCACTTTTTTCAGTGCACACCATAGGAAAGACATGTAAACACGGAGACCCCAGTGTAACCTTCATCTCATACCGTATTGTATGGCGTTGTACGCAGTATTTCTTTGATTAAAATTAAAAAGAGTACACCACGAACGACTCTCACTTCAGATTATATCACTTCGGCCACGTTAATATTTTATTGTGAAATAATAAGGCATCAGTATGGTCTCGTATGCTAATATCCGAAAGGAGAAATGGCATAGAAATTTTGAATATCGGAGATAGCTATATACGAAATTCGAACGGCATGATTCATCCGTAACGCCACGGTTTGTATATCACTAAACAACACCAAACATTAACTGCGCGTTAAAGTACTTTGTTAACCAAAAGGACAAAGAAGGGAGGAAAATCTCTTACACTTAGTGTACTCCTGGAGCTGTTGAAACTCTTCTGGGGACAATCGATTCCACACTCCCGTCGCATTCGGGCTTCCAGATGTATTTGATTGAGTGACAGTCGCCATTTTTACCTCAAACAATGACCTACGGCCGACCTTCTTCTTCTATTCGCAATCGGCATTCGTTGGATGAGCATTCTGAGCGATGGGGAACGCCGAAATAGATCAAACCCGACTTCCCACAACGAGCTTCACCTGCAAGCCATAATACACTATTAGTGTTGTAAATGTATTCACATGTATGTCTTCCCTAGATCGTTTCATTTCTTGGCAGTGTACGGAAAGTAAACAACGGCGGGAGACTGGAAATGACTGTTGCGCCTGTTACTTTCTCTATGTCTTTACTTAACACGAAATCAGAGTAATGAACGCTTCTCTGAGGCTCTATCGTCGTATTCTAAAGCTACATAGGAACCTTCCTCTAACAGCTAAGGCTTTAGGAGACCAGTATTTAAAAGATGAGTTTAGAAGACACAAAAATGCTACACAGGAACAACTCACAGAATTTATCCAAGAGTGGAAGGTAACTTGCTTGCACTTCTCGCCAAGTATTATGTAACGAAAACGGTCTTATCGAGAAAGTAATGGTCGTAGTTTTGGAATTGTGGAATCCTATTACACAACATGAATTCGTTACTAGATAAAAGTTTTAGAATGTATCTATTTACAGTGATTTATTATCTACTCTGTAAATTAGGTCTAGCTGTACGTGACCGGCAGCACAGTAATATGTTTTTTTTTCATTCCTTTTCTTTTAATTTTCGCCGTACCACGTTGAGAGACATTTGTATATTACTCTTGAATTAGAAAAGTGTTAGTTAGATTCAAGTGTCAATAATTTCAAGCAGTTTGTAAAAAGGTGCGAGTTTTGAATAATGAGGGCGACTGTGGCACGTTTCATACTATTAGTAAGCTCAAGGATTGGATATTTCGCTTTATAAAATAATCCAAATAGTACGCGCGCTCTGATTGGCCATAAAACCATTTTACATGAGCGTATGTAAACACGGTTTTCGTTCCTCTTTCATTAGTTATTTTATAAAAGAACTGTAAAATGGTTTCTGTGTTTACATAGCCTGATGTAAACACTTGGGTGGTTGGGAGAACACTCAACAAGCTGGAAACCACTCCGCTTCATGTTGTGGTTTCCTACGCTTATCTCGTGTTCTCCCAACCTCCCGTGTGTTTACATCAGGCTATGTAAACACGGAAACCATTTTACATTTCTTCATTATCATCCAACTGCACAAAGTAGAGTACAAATAACGCGAGAATAGGGTACAAATATCCTGCGATATTGTACAGTTATTTGGACTGTTGGTTATTTTTTGCAGTAAAAAAACCTGTTTAACTAGTCAGCTGAGCGTGCTATAAGTTCTGCTTTTCCCGCCTTATGAGAAATGAACTGAAAGACTAAGCAGAAAAAAAAGCAGTCAGATAATAAATAACTTACTGGACATTTCAGTGTGTAGTATCACTGAATATTTACTCGTTTGTATTTTGACTTACCCTACAGGCTCATCAAAGTACGGCACAACTGGTTACACTACTTAGTGATAATACACACCAAAAAGTCTAATAAGATAAATTTTTTTTTTCTCAGGGAGCATGGTAACAAATCTTACAATCTGATTAGTTCTTAGCATGGTCACTAATGCTTTTGTGAGTCACAGAGAACATCCCTAGCTTTCTTGCCATTCTTCTTAAATAAATTTTGTTTTTCCAGCTGGGCATTATTTTGAAGCAAAGTATTTTTTAACAAATGAAGCCGATTAATAACTTATTGTCTCTTTTCTCACTTTAAAATCTCTTTGGTTGCCAGCTGAAAATTGTTTTCTAGAAATACATGGGCAAGAGTTACTTTTTACTTCATAGGTCACTTCTAGAAGACAACTGAAATAAAATATTTATGCCCAAACTCAGCCTTACCAATGCATAATAATTTAAGATTCCTCTGTCAACATTAGAAGTAAAAATGACATAAGATGGCATTCTGTGTGGTTTAGGGAGCTTTCTAGCATCAGCAGTGTTAGCTGAGATAAAATAGTAGTGGGCCATTGAAGCTAAAATTAAAAGAAACTAAAGAGGATTTAGTTAAATTTTATGCTAGAGTTTCTATGGAGAAGTTTGCTCCAAGGACAAAAGACATGGAACAATTGGGCTTACATCAACTACCACCACAAAGCAACCAAAACTATCCATTAAGGAAACTTTTAAAGATGTTCTCTGAAGTAGCCTGTTTTATTTATTATTGATGCTGCAATGTGGTGGAAATCAACCCATTGAAACATACAACATCTAATATCTTGGAATTTTAAAACTTCCAATGCTCATCTTCATCACATTTTGGAGCCTTGGCTTCTGTGGAATCACCATCAAACCAACTAGGGTTGGGTGAGGGTTGTCTTTTCTGTATGTATCCTCTTTTTCTGTGAGTAATCTCACTCATAGCTGTTAACCAGACCCTACACCACTTGCTGACAGGAAGGTGAGTCCCAACGCACCTACTTTGTGAATAATGGATTTTTCAATTTTTTATTCATTTGTAGATGTATGCTGATATGTTAGAAAGACAGCAAGAACTAGGAAAGGACTTTGGAAGCTATTTATCAGAAGATCAATTGTCAAGTGCGAATGATGAGCAGTTGTGTCAGCTTTACGCACTACACCAAGAAATAGCCACTGACTCAGACACAACCAAAAATCATTAGTTCTTAAATGGGTATGAACTAAATTTGTTGGAGAGTCTCATCTCTTGTGCTTTGGTGGAATGGAAAATGGTGGGTACCATCAATAAATGAGCAACAGCAGTCAAGACTTCAAAAGAATACTTCACTGACATAGTGTGAAATAAACTAAGGATTGTCGTGTCCATTCATGGATCCAGAATCCTATGGTTCATGTTTTATTTATAGTTGTGTATTTGGCCGATCAGAGTATGTGCGTACATGTATCACTTAAAGTAAAACTATGAAAATTAAAGAGTGATGGTGTTGCCATCAAATTTGAACATTCTTGTGCATGTTTATGCTGTGGTTCAAATTTTCTCAAGGTGTGAAATTTTTCAAAACAGCTTAATCCTTATTTTCATCATCTGTAATACTTATGATTACATGAGTCAAAGGAAATAATAATCAAGCTAGTTTGAAAAAATTCAAACTAAGGAAAAATTTGAAATTCTTTTACCATATTTATAAATTTTTTTTGTATAATGTGCTAATAATGCAGATAAAAACTTGAACACATGGAAATAGTTCTGTGTGAGGAAAAAATAAATTTTTAATGAAGCAAATTAAATATGTGCACCATATCAATAGAATATTACAAAATGCATGCTGTGAAAAATTGCTATAGTTCATATCTTCTGACATTATGATAATTTTTCCCTCTGGGCATGAAATGACAACAACCAAAACCCAAAATTGAAATTGTAACAATCTTATATTCTTGCAAATAGAAATTAAATACTAAGACATGAGGCATATGTATCAAAAAAAATATTGTGCATACATGCAACAGTCTGTAAAGTAGTATCCACTCTTCTTCTGGAAACCTACTTCTGCAATTGCTTGTTCAAAAAGTAGAACATGACAAAAAAAGAGAACTATTATTTTCAAATTTCCTAATTTGTTGGGTGATAGAGAAAGGAGCCACATGGAAGTTGAAATGTAGATCAGTATTTTGAGTTGGTTGAGATATGAAAAATTTATTTTTGCAATGATTGATTTGCATGCACATTTGGTAAAGGTTTTTCTCTTGGACCAAGGATAACCCATAAATTAGGATAAAATAAAACCTCACAAAATGTTTATGTAACATGATAGTCATAAAAATTACAGTTACATTTCTGCTACTTTACATAAGAGAATTTCCACAGCCATTTGGTGGATCAGAAGTAGTTAGTTGATGAACTTCTTAGCAGTAGGTTGTAGAAACATATATAGTGTAGTTGCTAGGCCAATCACAAATGGTGCAAGTGCAGTCAACTTTGTGTCAAGTCCCTTTGGAGGAAGTGTATTTCTCATAACCTAAACAGGCATCTCTCATTGAGTTCATAAAGGTTGGCACTCCAGTCTGAGGATAAATAAACAAAAAATTATCAATGACATGCAGAATACTTAAATGAATACATCATTAGTATTCTTGGTACCTCAGGGTGCCATGAAGTCAAGGGCAATAGTAAAGTTTTTGGAACACATCACCCAATCTCAGGATATTATTAATAGAGAACTCTGATTTGACAGTAAAGAACATGTACCAGTATTCCTAGGTTGTATTTTAAAAGTCTAGGAGAAGTGATCCAAACTTTCTTTTCAGAATGTGTGTCATAAATAGCTTTATGTGCATTCTTATTTATTAGAGCAAACCTTTGCAGCCCAGTTAATAAGCCAAGTTGGGATACTTCCTCCAGGATTGTCAAAGTAATGCATGAATGCTAGAAGAAGTTAATAAATAAATGTCTCAGAATACCACTGGTTTTTTCGTTACAAACGGTAGTGCACATTGATAAAAACTATTTTAGGTAATTTAGGCAAGCATAGATAGTTCTTGAAATGAGTTTCTCTCAAGGGTGCAAGATGCTCTTTTAAAGCCATGCAAACAATTTCATGTTATTACTTTGATACATAAGCCACCTGTTCAGTACCTTTTGTTCCTACTTTACCATCACTCTGAATTACTAGACTTTGGTGAAATTCTTTCACTCTCACAACCCCTGATTTTTCTGGAATCTTGGAAAGTGAATTACTTTCAGCTAACACAACAACAGATGGAATACTGTTTATTTCCATTTCACGCATTTCTCGTGTGTATACGTACTGTCAAGAGTAGAATTTGAATACAGAATTTTTTTGTCAAGGAACATAAATGCACAAGAGAAATTAAGCTATACAAGCTTTTCTAGTGGTTTATCTGCAAGTCTTTGGGGTGCAGATCAAATCTCCTGGTCTTCCATCCACTTCTTTAAATCTCCCAGTTCATGGCAAATTTGACATTTATTAAACATAAATGTGAAGAAATCAATGACAAGCAATTTTATCCACATCAATAGTAATTAAGTTTATTTTCTACAATGGTTGTATTTTTTGTGAAGAAATGTTTTATACTTTTGATTATGTGCCTCCATTGTCAGTTAGTGGGGAGAGACTGGAAAAAAGAAAGTGAATCAACTAACTGTGGGAGTGGGGTGGGAGTAGATGTGATCCAAAGTTAAACATCTTCCGATTCCAGGTTTAAAAAACTTAAGAGAGGCTTTATTCTAAGGATGGTATGGACCAAACCAGCTTTAATTTAACATTTAGAGCCTGATTACCCTTTTGTGTTAAGAGGCAGATGGCAATAGTAATTACATGATGGCAAAGAGGATAAGGATTGTTGGAGGGATAATGACAGATACAGTGAAGTTTGCATTTAGAGCATGGCCCTTATTGATTGAAAAGCACTTTTTAATTTCAAAATTAGGAAAATTATGTGGAAGGTTACTACAAAAAAATTAAAATTACAATGAATACTGGCAGTGATTTCCAAAGGATACATCTCTGTTTGACATGGGCCATGGATAGTTTACATTCCAGTAAATACTCTTGACTCCATCATCATCAAATTCATAAAGTTCTAATTAAGACACAAATCAGTTCATGGATTCTAATTTTCTAGCAATAATATTAATAACAACCTAATTTTCTAGCTAGGATATTTACAAATAAAATTTTTGAAAGTAACAAACAACAACCATACATTGTCCAGGATAGTAAGATTTAATTTTCAGTCTGTTAATTAAATTGAATTAGGGGCAAATTTCTGACCAAGCCAAGTAGCATCAGTAAAGGGCGGGTCCCCATAATGTTCTAGTAGAAAGGGGGTCTGATACATTTTGGTGGGATCATGACCTTTCCCTGCGCTAAAGAAAGCCCTTGGTCTTTGTTCTGACTTTACAATTTCCTGATTGGAAAAATGATTAAATGTGTATATTGTTGCATTTTTATTGTTAAATACAAACTCTATTGTATTGTATCCAGAGTTATGTTAGACAGCATAAGTGGACAATCATATTACAATTATCCATTGACAAATACTGAAAAATGAATAAATTTGAAGTGTGAGTGAACCTCACCCTTGACGTATCCATCCCATTTCTTTCTGTATTCTAAGTCCATATAAACGTTTTTACACACATCTAGACCAACATCTTCAAGCAATCCTGTTATTTTGTATTCATATAATCCAGAAACCTAAAAACAGCAACATTAAGCTGTAAGCCTCTGATTATAAACACCAGTTTTTTTTTTTTCAACTATGAGGGAGCAAATGTATAGGATTAACAGAACTATTATTTAGTAAGAACAATCCAAAGCCTTCTGTGGGTGGTCTTTTTCAGTTCTTTTTTAATGTTTCCCATGACTAGCACCAATAAAGCAGAAAGCTGTGAAAACAATTCATTAGTTTCAGCATTTTTTGCTTTAAGTTCCTTGTGAAATATAATTTTCATTCTGTCCATCATTGAACATATCTTTCCAAAAGTAAATTTGCAAAAAAAAGTATATGGGTGAGGTGATGAAGATATTGAATACAATATAATACCCTTTTCCTTGATGATTACCAAAGCAAAACCTTGCAACAAACTATTCAGACACAATAATAATTTAGGCTAATAAAGGTGTTTAAGGTCTTTTAAAAGAACAAGTATCCAACACTTGTAAGTCGACAGTAATTCTCAGTAGTCTTTTGTAAGTTCTGATCGGTAGCACCATTCTTGAGTCATTAGAATCCCCTTAAATTAGATTTAACTCTTAAACAATGCCCTACAGATACCAACACTAACCTCGTCATACTTTCTGTATATCTTACACTGTACAGTTTCCTTAAGAGACTCTGTAAAGAACTCATACCCATCCACATTTACATTGTCGATTTCACGCGCTGCCTCCAAGAATTTGGCTTCATCAAACGCCATGGGTCCTCTATATGTCTTCTAAGTTTGAGTAAGATCATTCAAATCCTGAACATTGAAATTTTTGGATGGAAATTATTTAATTACATTTTAAATATCAGCAGAAATTAACAAATGTTGGTGTTTTGTGAACATGTATCAGAAAAAAATTTCAGGTCTGTACCATACTTGTGATGACAGTGAGAGTCATTAACACTGTTTTGAGGTATAGATATTTTCCTTGAAAGCATATTGTTCATACTCTTTTTTTCTCTAAGTGAATTAACACTAAAAGGAAAAAGAAACTCTCATCTGCACTCAATAGGGACACACCTATGTGTAATGTTCACCACAACAGATTGCTACAATAACTTTTCCACTGGTCAGAGTTTCCCTTCTTTTCATTCTGATACTGTCAAGAAATCTGTTATCACAACAGCTTAATTATATGAAAAAAGTTAGTCTTTCCAAGTTATTACAAAGGAGTGTCAATTTCATCTCTGAAGAACTAATCACATTATCATATAAACAGCGGAAAACATGTGAGGAACGATACAAACTCAGACTCTCTGTAAAAATTTTATTTCAGAGGGAACTATGAATTCAACCTCTGAGTCCCACTCAGGGAGGGTACCCATAATTATGGCAAAAATTCCCGAGGAAAATTTCCTCACAATATGTCTGTTAAGAATTAACTTGGAATGGGTTTGCGAAACAGCGATTAAACTGATCCCAGCCTTACCCTAAACAATGTGTTGACAGAAAAGGAAACTTAATTTCTAGGAATAAATTCAACATTGTAAAGGATTAGGGAGAGAGACGATTAACTTGTTTTACTCAGACAATTTTCTTTAATCGGCATGTTAATAAAAGTAAATTTGTATTGAAAATCTAATTGTATTCTTTACTCTGGGTTTCGGTGTTTTTTTTTCTCATACATATTCCTTAGCCTTACAGCAACGAAGCAGATACCTAACGGGACCTGTTAGATCATACGCTACCTGCATCCTTAAGCCTTTATATACTTCTGTTTACATTGGTAAAAGCAATTATATGGGAACAGAAATGATAAGGTTTGCTCTGCAAGGACACTTGGAGAGCTCATTCGAATAAAAAAGCCACAAATTACAAACGAAAGAAGAGGCAGGAAACTAATTGAAACATCACGTTAACAAGTGTCCAAACGTGTTGATCTCAAAATTCAGCTCAGATATAATCTTTACCTTTACTTTTCCGGGCATATAGGGTTAAATCAAATAATAAAATATTGATACTCACCCGGGATTCATCGTAGTTTACTCAAGAAAAATTTTCCGTTGACTCGCCAGTAAGTTTCGGGAAAAACTGTGAACTCTCGACCTTCAAGTAAACGTGTAAGGAGAATTAGGCTTTTGACCAATGGTAGAATCAATTTGTTCCACTGCTTTTTTAATATAACAGGGACAAAAATGATATCGATTTCAAAGAAATGTTTTTTATAAAAGTTTTACAGTGAGGAAAAAATTTTCCTGTGATATTCTTTCAATTTATTTCTTTAAAATGTAGCTTAATTGGCAGAAAGCTTGATCATTTTCGATCCTCTTAAAACATGATGTTGACATACATGTGCGATCAGATATCCCGTCAGTTTCTCGACTCATTTAAGGTTGTCACCAAAGCAATTGGATCATGCTTCTAAAAATGTTCTCGTCCTCTAATTATTCGCAAATATTTACAATTTCCCGCTGTCAGGGGAGTTCATCGCTCATAGGAAAGTTAAAAAATGCTGTGCAAGTAATATCAATATGCGATTTGATCCGAGAAAATCACTTCTGCTGTCCGTGGTTCGTTTTGCTCTCGCCTGGAGTCAACTGCCAAATCTTCAGCCCGGGGATACCGCACCATCATTTGCTCTCCAAACGGTTAATGGCAGGATTGTGTACAAGAAGAATAATGGAAACCCTAGAACGTCAACGCACCCGGTCATATTTCACCTGTTCACCAAGCGATCGGCTTTCTTGGAAGCGTTGTGGACAAATGAAACTTCTCTGCAAGAGTTCATTGAGTATTCACCAGGGAATACTCACTACGTATTCATGTCATCCTCGGACTCTACAGCCCTAGAGGACGTGCTTTGGCTACGAAAAACTCTACATAAAGCAGTAGAGGATTACTTTAAAAGGTGAGTAAAATGTGTCCTAAAACCTACGAAACGCGCCTAAGGCGCTGGGGAGGCTATACCTTAAAGGGGTAAATTTTGTAGCCATGTGCAACCCCTGGGGTGTTTTAAAAACCCATAATGACGGCTGCCAGTGCTGTCAAAGTTATTAACGATCTGAGAAATGACCGTAAGGTAAACATTATTTGTTGTGCTGGTGTTTTTCTCACAATATGTAGGCTCAGGCCAGGACTCTAACCATCTTCCTCTAAAACTGATGATAAAATTCCAAGAAATAAGCGCTTGAAATTTTTATTTCCAATTTCCAAGAAAAATACTCAGTTATGTCAGGCCCTGTGTTTACCTCAAAACTGTTGCAAAATACAAAATGCTTCTGAAGAACGACATACAAGAAAAAATTTTGTGTCTGAATTTTTTCTTTCAGGTGAAAACTCTCAATGGAGTTTGTGTACCCTAATTTAAAATAGTTTCTTGTAAATTCACTGTTTCTTATGGGGCCAGTTGTTAAGTGCTTGTATTAAATGAGAGAAAAAATTACATGATGATACAGAGATAGGTACTTTATTCCAATGCCAACATTGAATGATTATTAATAAAAACAAATAATTTATGCTCTCAGGCATAAATATGTTATGGGCCTGACTCAGACTCATTAGCCAGAGTGTTGTCAGGATGAGTTTGACCAAGGCCCAAAACATGTTAATACATGGGAACTTTGACTGTATTTCTATAATTCTCACTTTGGGGGGCACTGAAAATAAAATTATTTAAATAAAAATAAACATGAAAATAAAATAGCCTGAACATTTACGCAAATGTGCAAGTGCATTTAAGCTCTCCAAAATCTTTATTTTAGCCTGCAAAATGTGCCATAATGCCAGACAAAGTGATAATAATAGGTAACACTTTGTGTCCTTAATAGCTAAGCCTGTGAACAAGAATGAGGCTTCATGTAAACCTGTTGATATCCAAAAATTGCGACTTTTTATATCTAAATTCCTCAGACTGTTAAAACTGACTAGTCCTTTTTCTTGAGTATATCAATGTCACCCTGGACCTCACTCCTGTTCATAGGTTTGGTGGTTAAAACTAGATTATTGATACCTCTATAGGTAAAATGAATTTTGGCTATATCCACAAAATGGGATTCTGCATGGTACCTAGCTTTGTAGGATAGTTTTTTTTTTTAATTTTTCAATGGAAACCTTCACAATTTATCTTGGAGGAATGACATTTACAAAGGTGCTGACAAGGAGAATTTGTCTAACAATCAAGAGTTTCTTTAGTTGGTGATGATTTCCTTTATTCTCATGACATTAATGTGTGATTCAGTGGTAATATATTGTAAGGAGAAATTAGATGGGGTTAAAAAAAAAGGGTTAAGAGGGGATGGTAGGTTAAATAAAGAGATAACAAATGCTGCTACTTAATTCAAGAATTAATATTTCATTGATTAACACTTCTACTTTTTAGGAAGACAAGTGTATTGCAACAGGATTTGAAAACAACATGCCAGAGGTACTATAAAAAAAACAGACATGATAAAAACAATGATTTTGTGGAAAAGGAACCCTTTTTCAAGCTGTCACAACTAAGAGAGCACCATGCAACTGTAACTAAAGACAAATGTGGCAAAAGTTGGGTGGCATCATGGAAAGATAGGCTTCATTTTGCCAGCCTTCCAGTATATGACTTTGGAAACTGGATTCCCTATGCATTAATGCACTGGCCTTGCTTTGGTACAGGCTGTGCACTGGCTCAAGTTGTCATCAAATCACAGGAAGGTAAATCGATTCTGAAGGTGTAAGGATTGGAACATTTGAGATTATCATAGTAATTATGGTGCGTGGCTGGCAAGAACTAAGTAAATGTCAAAAACATTTTCATTAAGAACCAATTAAAAAAAGTGAGGACTTTATCAGTGGATTGATCAAGGAGGTCTGACAGTCCACCATAATGTAAAAGATGGTAAATGGTACATCTTACCATAAATTTAGTATACAAAGATAGTCAGACATTAAAACCATGGGTGAACACTGACCCTCCAAAAGTAACCCAACAAAGTTTAGGTTACATTTTACAAAAATTCAGTTTTCTTTGTGGACTCATGGGATTGTGTTCTGGTGAAATTTACAGCTTCTTGATGTTAAGCTTGAGAGAACAAGTGAAATTTTAAAGCATAGAGTGTAATATCTAGACAAAGTATGTTTGGCACATCTCCCAAAGTTAGTATGACCCACTCCTTAAAAAATAAATTTGAGGGACAAAACTTAATGTTTTGGAGGTAGTTATTGATTCCCTTGATAGGTAAGGCATCTGAAGAACTTTCAAGCCATTCACTGTCTTAAATTGCAACAAGGCTTTGGTTTCAATTAAATTCTTTTGATCATCATTTTTCAGGTGAAGTGATGCTGGTAACACAGAGGTTGGATGCAAGATATGATTGGCTGCCATCACCTCACAATTTGATTCACAAGGGTGCTCATTATCATGTTGCTTATTATGGAAATGCTTGTCACTTTAAATCTGACTGGGAGGAAGAAAACAGGGATGGTGTCAGTGACAAAACACATGAAGATCAGAAAACAAAGGCCCAGGGAGGGCATATTGCTTTAGTGTCTCCTGGTGGAGACTGCTCTTATTTTACTAAGGTTATGAAAATGAGGAATTTTGATGAACTATGCTTACTTGAGCATGGCTCTTTTGTTTGTCCCTCAAATTTATTTTTTAAGGAGTGGGTCATACTAACTTTGGGAGATGTGCCAAACATACTTTGTCTAGATATTACACTCTATGCTTTAAAATTTCACTAGTTCTCTCAAGCTTTATACCTTGAAAACCACAAAATAAGGAAACTAAGGATTTCATCATTGCAGGTCCTATAAAAACTACTCTCTGTTGTACTTCAAGTTATATTGTTCTGAATGTGCAGGGTTTTTGGAGGAAACTCACTTAATTTTGCTTTTATGAGAACTTTTTAAAAGTGATAACTTGGATTTCTTAGCCAAAAGTTGTGAGGTCCTTGTGATTCTTACAAGGACATCTTTTTATGTAGTCACTCACAAGTTCTTGATCACTTAAACCCTTTCACTCCCAGGAGTGACCAAAGCAGAATATCTCCTTACAATCCCATTATAGTTTTGGACAGAAGAGTATTGAGAAGAAAGAAAATGTCAATTAGTGGATATTGTCTGATGCAACACCAAATTCTCAGGGCTAAAATCATACAAAACATGTGACACAGTGTGGAGAATTGAAATTTAGGTCTTGAGAGTGAAAGGGTTGATTTCTTATTCATTTTCAAAGTCTGCGTCCTGCAAAGGATTTGCCATTTGCCATTGTACTGTTTTATCATTTTTTTTTTTATAGAAACATTGATTTTAACCTAATTTTATCTCTATAGATTCACAACATGAACAAGGTGGGAGTTAAGGCAGTTATAATATATTCTGAAGAAGATGCACCAATTAAAGAACTGAGTTGCAAGGGTCACCACTGCTTCATACCTCTATACACACCAGCATCAATGATTTCACATAAGGATGGTATTCACATCAAACACTTGCTGCGTGCTAAAATGAAGCTTTACGTTTCCTACCAGTTTACACCTCAAGAAAATTTTTTCTTGGGTATTGATGGTCAGGGAAAACTGGCTGAAGTGGGTTTGTTTCTATTCCCTTCAATGAAGTTCATGGCCTATGAGGCAAAATGGTGAGTTTGGTAGCTCATAACAAGTTGTTTTACTGTTTTACGTATTTTCAAATTGCCACTTAAAAATTTATGCAATTAAGTTGAAACTTGTTTCATGTCCAGTTACTGGTACAAAAAAAATACATGTTAATCAAGTCTGGCCAGGGGTTTTGGGTATTCAGGACAGAATATGCATTTAAGTTACACATCTTTTAAGAAATTATCAATGGTATTTGGTATGTAGACAAGAGTCAAGAACCTAAGGCAGTTTTAGTTATTTAGTACCTAAGTATTCACAATTTGAAGGTATACTTGTATCACTGGCATCTTTTGGGGAAAAATGAGTATAAATTTATTTTCCTACTCAGAAAGGGGATGAGCCCTTTTCATGAGATGTTTAATTTAAATAATTTTTAAAATTCATCTCTTGTTCCATTAGGTTTAATTACAAAACAGACTTAGTCCACAACTTGACTGGCAGTGCAAAGATAATCCATGTGTTTAACCATACACTAATGGAAGGAAAGACTGGTGCAGTGAGAAATATAAGTCTTCCACCGCTTGAAGGTCAGTTGCCGCTATTTCTGAAATACCTAACCAGTATTTTGCTTTACGCCATGCATTTTCAATGCCAAGTGTTAAGAACATGGTGGGACTCTCTTCAGAGATATAGTTATAGGTTTTGTTAGTGACCTTTGAGTGAAAAAATTTATAAAGTTGTTACTTGTTTCTTGTGCATAATACTCCAACCTTGCACACCTCTAATGAGATGCCTAGAACATCTTTCAAAAGGAAATATACCATTCCTATCTTATTTGAAAAGGGTTTGAAATAAGCCAAATATTTGTTTTAATTTCGTGGGCTCTTCAATCATAAATTGATAACATTAGCCTGGAAAAAGTGAGGGGTTTTTGTAGTAAAAAGCAAGGACTGGATGAGGTTGAGCATGATATCAAAACTAATCAAAACCAAGGTCTGATTATTTATGATATCATGCAAAGTGAGCTCAACAATTGTTTTCTTATATATTTTTTTAAACAATCTCGAAAAGAAGACTCTTCTCACTAAGTTTGCAAATTTTTATGAACACTTCACAGATGAGGGACTTGGAAACTAGGCAAACTTTGAACTTGACAAGATAAATGCTGTATTATATATGATAAGTGCATTATACACTACAAGTATTGGGTTACCATGTCAACTTCACATGCTATTGTGTATGAATTGAATGCTCTTAACCAATCAGATTTTTCATAGGAAGTCTAATTTTTATTTTTTTTAACCCATCCTGAATTTCTTCCATTTTCCTGTAGAATTACAAATGTACAGAAATGTAGAACTGGACATGTCCTTGTACTGCCCTGGTAAAAGTGACTACTCATGTCCTCATTGGGATCATGTTGTCCACCTCACTGTTTGTTGTGATAAAACCAGTCCACTGTGTGGGGAGGAGTTGGGCCGCTGGATAACACCCTACAGGAGGTGAGATGCGCAAAAATCTTGTTGCCAATTTCACTTCCTTCTTGAGTTCTTAAGAAACAGTATCTGGCGTGAAAATGAAACTCATGAATTATGATAACAACTTGTATTGTACCAAAAGCCTATAACCATTAAAAGGAACCTTGAAGTTTAGCTTTTGATAGCATTCAGAGCTAAACCTCAAGGTGCTTCTTGTAAGTCGAAGCACTGTCAGTGATGTTTTACCTTGCTATGCTTTTGTAGGTCTGTAGGACGTTGGTTGACAAACATCACACCTTTATTACCTCTGTTTACATCTGAAACCTGTACTTTGCAAATGAAACATCCTTTCTGGGAGCGAGCTTGGAAGCCTTCTCTTGATATCAGGCTGTCTGATCATGTTAGATGTAAGTATGAATATCAAAGGTGGGCCTGAACCTTCGCCTCTTGCTGGCAAGTGCTTTTACAAATTACTGCAGCTTTATAGGTTTTCCCTGAAAATTCAGTACATTTGGAATCACTGGTGAGAGAACAGCTGTGATATACGCGACGAGACCGTTAGTCTCGAGTGTTACACAGAGAAAAATTTGAGTGTCAAGAACCTTAAAAATTTCTGAGAATATGGTTGGGAATGTTACAAAGTATTTAGGAAACGGGATGTGGTTCGCATTTTGTGAGCGATTACGTTTAGACGAAGGACGCAGACATGTTTATAATGACTCAAGGTCATGAAAAGGGTTGAAATTGACTGAAATTCATTGTTATGTCTCTAGTCTCGACACAAGCGTACAGTGCACGACAAGAGGATCAATACAATGTTCCCTTCAAGATCATCAAATTATTCAGAGGTGGCAAGTTTGACAAGAACTACAACAAAAAATATCACACTCGCATCGTTAGAATTCCACCTGAGACCACTCAAGTTAAACTTGTGGCCACCATTAGTGGCCATGGCAGTGACAACAATGGTTGTGCGGAGTTCTGTGTCACATCTCATCATTTCGTTGTAAACGGACATTCAAATGTACAAGTATTTAAAAACGCAGCTACAGCAATGGGCTGTGCCAATCGAGTCGAGGATGGGGCGGTGCCAAACGAGCATGGTACATGGCTTTATGGAAGGGATGGGTGGTGCTGTGGAATGGACGTGGTGCCCTGGGTAGTGGATATCACAGAACAAGTTCGTTTTGGAGATCATAGAAACGAAGTCAAGTATTTTGGTTGGTTTAATGGTACTGACCCACAGCCCTTCAGGGATCCGGGGGAGATAATTATGCGGTCGCACTTGGTTTTTTACAAATCTGTACAGGATCAATTTTCTGACGAAGTTTGACGATGGCATTACTGTCACCGTGCCATATTATGCGCGGTTAGCATCTATAAGTTTTGTAGTCTTTCAATTTTATCAGTAAAGAGTATGTTTATTTTCGATTTGTCTTTCCGAGTCGTTCCTGGTAGACTAACGATGTGATTTCATTTTTACGTAAAAGATAGACGGGAAAACCATGTTTGTTAACAAGGGAATGAATTATTGTTCACGTTTGATCGACAAACTAGGGATTTGCCACAGCTTCTTTAGCCATTCTCTGGGAAACCTCTGAAAACTTCTAGGGAAATATATATCGGCTTTTTATCAAACCAGCGAGCCCGCCTTTATGAATCTTTGGATTGGTTTGTATCGCTGAATGTCCGAAACTCCATAAGCGTATATCAGTACTACGCTAGTCTAAAATTTAAATGCAATTTGCAATCCTGTTCTCAAAACATACCCTGGCAAGGCCAAGACCTTCTATTTCCAGGGAACAGTGCCGTCGTTGCTGAAGTATAACGAGGTGCTAAGGAGAACAGTCGAACAAAAAGATTGTGGTATATGCTTTAGAGCCTTTGTTGTAAAGAACCTTCATCCTGGTCTAAGACTCGTTTATTTTAACCTCTGACTTGAGTGCTTGAAAACCCAGCCCTTCGTAGTGGTACATACCCCTTAAAGCCTGGCCCAATTATGGCGAGCTCGAGGCGAGGAGTTCAGTCAAGCATGTGGCAAAAGAGCTGATAAATGCTGTTCGCGGTTATCTTATCTGCACATTACAACATGTGAAGAGAGTTTCATAATATTTCCAATCGAACCACTCCACTAACTCCTTGTACACCCGACAGACCAGATTCATAAAAAGAGGGTAAATGAGATGGTGTTCCCCATTTTCTGTGAGGACTGAGAAACTTTTAACATCGTAAAAACTGAGATAACTCAAATCTCAATTCACATCAGTAATGTACTGATTTGTTCAGAAAGATTATTACTACAATCTCGATCATTGGCATGAAAAAGCTGGTGATTATCACCAGCAAAATCACACGGTTTAAGAGAGGAACAGAGCAGGCATACTTCAGTTGGCCACTGGAGTCCATAATCCTACGCTTGACTGGAATGGAAGGAAGTACACTTACCTTCCGTTAGTCACAATTAAACCAGATAGAGACTTGAACGCCGCTGGCCACTGGTTCACCCGACCACCTTAACCGTAAACTCATATCCAATTTCATTGAGAAAAAGGCTACACGCGTAGCCGAGAGCTTAGTATTCAAAATAATGTAGAATTCGATAGAAAAGTTCGCTTCATAAGCAACAAAATCAACATTTGTGTAAGTTTTATTTTCATCAGTGATACACATTATGAATTTAACCTCAGTGAGGTATTTCCTCAGGCGAACGTACATAACTTATATACACCGGAGAGGGGCCAAGCGTTCAGTTTTCTCTTGAAAAATTTCGTACCCTGCTTAGTTGAGAAAAAATTATTACTTGGTTTACATGCACATCTTACATGCACCAAGGTAAGTTTTGATTCTGGATACGAGCTACAAAATGGCCTACGCCCTAAACTACGCATGATGTGTTTGTGCAGATAAAATAAATAGTTCATTAAAATCGAGGAATTACTTGTTCACATTAGTTTGTCGTTATTACAAAGGATTCATATTTTGACAATTTCCAATTACGCTTGCAAACATAATCACTAGCAGTCACTCCCGAATTCATATGTTAGTTAATTAACCCAGTTTCAAAGTGGATTTATTTTTATGTCCTGTCTGTGGGCCACGCCCTACAAGAGCTTGGTGTTGAGCAGCCTCTGCCATTCTGTCAAAGGAACTAGTAAGAATAACAAAAATTCAATGATCAGTTGTTTCAATGATCAGCAGTATTTCCACTTCTTATATTCTTCTACAGTTAAGATATACTCTTATATGTAAACTAGTATTCGATTGCACAATATAGTAAAGAATCACTGCCTCCTTACTGCCGGTTGTAATCGTCCTGTGGTATAAGTAGGTCGAGTGCAAGTCAGTAAGTCAGTGTAACACCGCCTTAACGCGAATGCGAGAATGTACATAAAGAACATGTCTGCCTTCTGGCTGTTTGTAAAGCGTTGTGAAAATAGATGAAGTTTTTGTAAAAAAATAAGTATTAATAAATTTTTCCGATGGTGTTGCTTGGGAATTAGCAGAAAAGTTAGTGAAATCAGAGGTAAATTTTGCTGTTGGCGTTAGCCGTATATGTCCTTCTTAATCTATTCAATAGAATGGTGATTTGCTCCCGTATTGTACAAAAGCTAACAATGCTTGCATGCCTCGAAGGAGGGCTCAGAATACTCGACCGCAAATTTTTTTACCTTCTAAGCGTCTGTTCTCTGATCAAGTCCCTCACGGCCTGAGAAGTTCGAGCTGCATCACGGTTCTAAAAATGACATTACGACATAATTATTGGCGAAAAGTTAGAACATTGTCAAAGATATCACAGAAAAATTACAAGGAAAATAGAGCAAAGCTATTGGCAAAACTCACCAGTCTCCGGATTTCCTCTTTTTCTGCATTAACCATTCTACTTCGCTCATCTTTAACTTCAATATCTTCTTGAATTTCCCTTCTCCTTTCTTCAAGAGCTTGTTTTACTCTGCAAAATGTTTGAACCTTATTACATCGAATTTAGACAGTCTTTGAGAAAGCAAGAAATCGTTTCGCGACAACTCGTCTTCAATTAAGAAGAAGTGTATGTTTCTTTATAAAGTTAAAAACGTTTACTACGCCCCTAGTGGATACTGAAATGCAGGCACAGTTAATCCCGATAACTATATCTTCATTGTACATAAAAAAAAATCGGGAAATTAGTGCAAACACAGCGTGAGGAAAAATATGTTTCGGCAATCACTTGGGAAAGCAACTTTTAGGTTCAAAAAGGAATATTATCAGAGACATCTTAATATGGAAACAACAAATTGTATAAATGGGACGTTTTTCGCAGATATCCCAAAACAGATATTTTCTTTGACGTCATATTACCTTACTAGATTTTGTTGATGTTCGTCTTTCTCTGAGGCAAGCTGTGATTTAACTCTGTGCTGTTTGGATGCTATTACCATTTTGGCAGTGCCTTCAGCTTGCTTGTCTTTCTACAAAACAAACAAAGTATGTTACGTTAATTAACTTACATTAGTATCTGAAATACATAGTGTGTCCTGTGGCGAACAATATTTCAGTCAACGTCTTATCCTGTTAACCCTTTAACTCCCATGAGTGACCGAGACAGAATTTCTCCTTACAATAGCAATACAATATCAACCAGATAAGTGATGAGAATAAAGAAACATTAATTTGAGGATAATTACTTGATCTAATGCAAAATTCTCTGAACTAACATAAGAATTGTATGGTTGACAGTAAAGAGGATTACACATTTGATCTGGGAGTTAAAGAGTCAAGCTTCACCCTGGACTCCAAACTGGCCGTTAAGAGAACAGTTATAAAACTAATAAGCAGAATGAAATCAACCAAAAATGTCACTTCTAAACATAAAACGGTAGCCTGACCTCTCCCCTGAAAACTGTGAGTTCTCTCCTCCATTCATCCATGTCATTCGCCTTCCTCCTCAACTGTTCCTGCTGCCTTTCAATCCGCTCCTCTCTCTTTATCCTTAAAAACAAAAGTCCATTTGTATACATATAAATCAGTAATGCCACGCCCAAATGAAAAATTCCATTCGGCAGTTTTTCTCCTTGTCAGCATATTGCATATTGATATTAGGGCGTAGAAGGTTTAGCATAATATCTACTGCATGTATTTACCTGTTTAACGCCATCTGGTTATCTTTTCGAGTTAGTTGTCTCTGGTAATTCATCACAGCGTTTTGATGTTTAATTGCCACTTCGTGTTTTAGATTCTCTTCTTCTTGGCTGTGAATCAGTAACAAGATGAAAATGTAGATAATTTGGTTTTGTCACCGGAGTTGAAAATGTAAATTGGCCACCCTAAAGAATTTCAAAGCTGACGTTTTGAGCGTTAGCCCTTCGTCAGAGCGAATGATGACACATAGTGACAGCATTCTGATATGACAGCAACACGCGCAACCTCTCGAAAAACATTCCCTAAACGATCGAGTTGTAATTTTTTTCCTTTTAATCTTCTCTTAAAAACTGTCATCAACACCTTTTGATCGTCGCACGGGCCGCAAGAAGAACACAAAGAATTTGATGATATGGTACAAAACTACATTGCACCAGCAATGCGAGCCATTTCATGAGTTGGCGCAGGTTACATTGCAGCTGTTATAACTGTTAGCTTAGCAAGACAATTTTACCAGTTGCCTTGTTTGTGATGTGTACTGCCACTGACCTTAACTGTTGAATGAACTGTTTTCTCGTACTAGCGTGTCTGGTTTTCGCACTGTGATTTCGACTTTGAAGTTTCTGTCGTACAAAAGTTAGGCAAATCTAGTGTAAGCAGAGGATGGTTCTCCCGATCAAAGACACTCTCACGTCGAGAAAGTACACTGTCTATGAAAACACCCCTTTCACTTCGGTGTTTGGAAATGGTCAAAAATATTCATGTGGCAAAAGACAGTTTCCCGTTAGTCATGTCAAGGAGATAAATGAATTGAAAATACGGTATTGTGGAACTTCTTGAAGTGGTTAACCGGAAACCTTGTGAAATTCTGCTCAAAACGAAAACTCTTCTGATCAATGTTTGTTTACTTGGGCAAAAGTCACAGATAAACTCGTGACGATTCAAAGTTACTCATGAGGGTGACCGTGCAACGTACCATATGTTCTTGAGCAGATAAACGATCCCTCTTCTCAACAGCAGTTTTGTGTCTGTCTAAAAGATTAAGCTGGGTCATGTTGCGATGTAGTTCGTCTTCCCTTTCTTTCTGCCAGAGATTTTCTTCCTGTTATAACAATGACATATCAAAGAAATGAATAAATGTAAAAATATGTGGATTAGGAATGTTGAGTGAAGATAGTCATTAGATTTGTACAGTTACATAATGGCTCTTATCTTTACCTGCTTCTGTTTTTTCTCGGTTTCTTTGATTTTCTTGGTCAGCATTTTTGTACCCTGGAGTTTTAAAAAATTGAATCAATACATGACTAGGAAACCTTTACTGTGCATTTCCAGCGAGTATCGTAAAACCAAAACCAAGATAATCATAAATAACAATCAGGACAAGGAAAATATTGCAAGGAACCAATGAGGCCTTAATAACCGTCTACAGCCTAATATCAGTATGTGTATTCTCCTCACTGTTCTCTTCACTTTTCTTGAGGTATTAACAAGGAGAGTTTGTCAAACAACCAACAGCTTCTTTGATTAGCGATCATTTTCTTTATTCTCGTGACCTTCATGTTTGATTCAGAGGTGATACAGTGAGGAGAAATTAGATACCGGTCACTTCTAAGGTTTAAAGGGTTCAAGTAAAGACAAGAAAATGCCTGTTAGTGCAAGAGGTAACAAGTCACGCCTTGTTTTAATTCTAATTCTAATTCTGATGAGGCGAGTTTTCAAGACCACAGATCATAGTTTGTTTTCAACACACATCAGAAAATGGTATGGAATCTTGAAATAAGGCAAACGCTTCGAGAAAGGGGTAAGTTTCGAAAAAAAGAAACTGTGGCGCTGTTGGGGGTATACAAGATAATTTGACTAATAAACTAAGTTGATAATGTGAAGTGGCTATCGTAAAGGCTTCGTAAAGTTGGTGTTTCGTGGGTTAGCCCTTCGTCAGAGAAATTGTGGGTTGAGAGTGGTCCACTTCACCAATATTCACCATATTTTGCTCCATGTACATGAACGTTGCACCTGCTCCTAAATTCTTAACTGTGACTTCCACTTCCCCTTAAAAACCTCACATTAAAATTCTGGAAAAAGATGTTTAAATTGGTAAGAGATGTGAGCAGCAGTCTGATTCCATCTTTGCAGAACCTCTTTCTTCGGTATAGTATACCCATGTAACATCGCTAACACATCAGTGTAAAATGTGGGTTGGTTGTCGACACTGACCCTTATTTGTTCCTGTTTTCTTTTCTCCTTCTGCCAAGCGCTGTCCTTTGACAACAGCATCTCAAGTTTATCTTTTTTCAACCTCTGCTCATTTCTCAGTCTTCTTGCTCGTACTTCAAACTAGAATTGTGAAAAGCAAAACCGTTTAGCGTAATTTTTTTCTAAAGGAAGATGGTCACATTCACATTTAGGGAAATTTGTGCTGAAAATGTCGACACAAAAGATCACTCGACAAATAGTGTCATTGTTTTTGTAGGAAACATTGTACAGTGAATTCCTGAGACCTGTTTAGAATCTTTGGCCTTATATGTGTCCCATATTTCAGCTTGTCTCTGTTGCTGTCGAGCTTTTTTCATTTGTTCTTCTATTTTTCTTTGTTCGTCCCACTCCAACTCTAACATCAATCGTTCTTTGCGGGCTCTCTCTTCTTCTTCGTGTCTGGACATCATTAAGTTAACAATGCGTTGATCCTTCACAAAAAATCAAGTGTTACAAACATGTCAAATTAATGAAGACAAACAGGTACAGTGAACTATATGTAGTCATTAACAACAGGCCGTTCCTGAGCTACCAGAACCCCTGACTTTCGAAATAAGGGTAACTGCAAAAACTGGAAAATGTGTGTTACTAACAAATGAGAATAATAAAGCAGTGCCTTGGTTATGAAAAAGAGGCTTGGCAATGTCTACAATGGCCTATTAGCTTGATCTAAATTTAGCAGTATCAAAATCGTGGCTACCTTTTCGGACAAACCCTTTCCACTTGACGCAAGTGGCACCGAACGTAACAGGTCGATGCTATCCATAGAAGCTGTTCTCTTGATGAGCGAAGTGTTTCTTTTTCTAGAGGATCCTGCAGACGAGGGCTTCTTTCTTGTTCTGGGTGACTGTTCATTTGAATAATAACCGCTTGCAGACCACGTCCTCTTGCTGTCTGCCCCAGTCTCCGAGTCAGAGCTCTCAGGGTAATTCATACTAATGCCTTTGGGGCTTACAGGACTTTGACTCTTTTTACTTGAAGTATACTGACTCCTGTAAAGAATTGAATCAGATAGACCACACTTAGCTATTAATAGTTTATTTAGTCAGTAACAGATAGATTTAGGGCCAGGTTTGCTATGAACAGGAACATGTAATTTTGCTTCTTTACCTCTGATCCCTAAATACACTGGAAATACAACAAATAAATTAGACAATATTCATTAAATCAACCCCTTCATGCAATCAGCTGACTGGTATGTTAGTAATGTCCGCAGCAGAGAGATTGTTCAAAAATTAAATTTGAAATGAACCCTTTAGCTTCCAAGATCTGATTGTTAATTCTCCCCTCTAGCTGCTACACAACTCCTTGTAAATTAGTTATGAGAACTTGGTGTTAGATCAAGATAACAGCTTCTACCTGATAAGTTTGAATATTCTCATTACCTGTTTGCTAAATAATGTATGGATATTGTAGGGAGAAGTTTATGTTGATCACTTCTGGGAGTTAAAGGGTTAATATGTGGCCTTACCCTTTACACCCTAACATCAGTATCCATATTCTCCATATTGTTTTCTATTAATTTCTTAATGTGCTAACAAGGAGAATTTGTTTAACAATCAAGAGCTCCTTTAATTTGTTATCATCTCTTTTGTACTAGTAAGCTTTAACATGTTTGATGCATTGGTAATATTGTTAAAAGAAATTAGATGTAAGTCCCTCTTAAAGGTTCAAAGGTCAAAATAGCTCATTTTCACAGCAGTGGAAATTTAAGGCAGACAGTAAAACTGCAATCTTCTTTCTGCCTTTGGTGTAATCGCTGTTCTAAATCTATTTATTTTCTTACAATGTAACATGGCCTTGACAAAGAAGGCATCAGCAGCATGGGGTATCTACTCAACTATTCATTTCTAACAAGAAAACCAAACAGTAACACTCATACAGTACCACACATTAAATAAAATAGGCACAAGTAGTAACAACATCAAACTTGCTGCCTTGCCTGGTTTATGAATACACCATATATAAGAAAACACCAAATTACTAACCTGTAGTTTGTGTGCCCTGTTGGAGGTTTCAAGGCTTTACTGTCCATCATGTACATATTTTCCTTTCCTCTTCCATCCAGTGGACTTGAACCTCTAAAAAAAAATACTAAATGTATAAATTTAATGTTACAAATTATAAAAACTGTGCTTTTAGATCTAAAATTGAGCAATCGAGTTCATTTTGAAAATATGCATCTTCCACCTGAAATCCTAATCATCAACTTGCACTGTTTTTGTCCAAACCTCAGTTAGAACCTGCTAAGTTTGTCTTTTAATTTCTTTTAATATAATATCATCTTTCTGCCTCTTCTTCCACTGTACTTATGTTGTACTGATGATTCTCTTTGCTTTCTTTTAAATTCACTTTCTACATTTGATCATAATATTAAACAAGAACTTATTTTATTTTGACTAGTCTGGAATGTATAGAAACATAACAAGCCTATTTTCATTGTGGTACATTTGGTAATTGAATTTGTGACAATTGTGACAACTTACAGTAACACTTTAGGACCACATGCACCTTATCTTCTTAGTACAGTGGTTGTCCAGCAGAAAATTATAACATCCTTTATTACCATAATATACATAAGCACACACTCAATCTCTAAATTGATAATATTAACTTGAGCACCACATGTACAGTAGCTGTAGGTGTGCATGTAATAAAACAGTTCAAACCTGTGATACTTCTGTCTTTCAACAGGAGAGGGTGTCCTTCCATTTCGACCATTTTCCTCATAAGATTTTCTCCATCTGTTGTCTGGTTTGTTTTCTGATAAAAGCAATCAATATCCCTTACAAAGAAAATTATGCTTTTAACCCTTTAACTCCCATGTGTGACCAAGACAGAATTTCTCCTCACAATATTTTATGCAATATTAACCAGATAAGTGATTATGATGAGAAAAAAGAAAAATATCCATTTGGGGATACTTAGTTGATCCAATACCAAATTCTCTGAACTAACATAAGAATTGTATGGTTGACAGTAAGGAGAACTAAAAATTTGATCTGGGAGTTAAAGGGTTAATAAATCCAATATCAAGCACTACAATTGCGGCACAAGGATCAGAGAACCAAAAAAAAATCCTTATTTTAAAAAATAAAATGCAAAAAGTGAAATAATGAACTCATCATTATAATGTTATGATTACTTTTCATTATCTTTAAAATTATTACTCTGTCTGTCTTTAGTTAATTAGATTGTCATAACTTTAGGGTGGGTTGGTATGGAAATTTAAACAGAGGTTAAACTTCCTGGCAATATTTGTTCCTCCTTAATGTACAAGCAGGCATCATAAGGCCTCCATTTTTTTTTATACCTGTTAAGTCGTGTCAGCATGCTATTAAAAAAAACTAACTCATTATATAAGAAAGCCTCTCACCAGGGCTTAGTGACCTTGATGTGAAATGTCTATGTTGACTGCTGGTGACAGACTCTGAACTTCTTTCCCTAATTATCCTTTCCCTTTCCTCTCTGCAAAGCTTTAATTTTCCTATCAGGACACACAAAAAAAAAATGAACTGGTAACATTGTCAATCCACATACTGAGCTCACAGAGTTATATTTTATGGCTGAATTTTGACATTAACTAGTGTATTCAATTGTAACTGTGTCTTTCACGTCAAATTTTTAGTAAGACCCTCTGGACTGGTGATCATTTACATGTACTAATCAGGAAAAACATTATCAAGCTGTGGTGTTGGTGTACCCGCAGTAAAGTTGACACGCATGTTAAAAGTAGCACCTTGTATGGTCGTATGGTTGTACGGTCATACAACCAAATTTTTTCAGCTTGATGGGTTACTACTACTTTGTATAATTATGGGCTACGCTATAGCTTTGTCTCTTCTGCATTATCTGCCATACAAATACACTTATATCAACCATACAAAACATAGGGTATGTCATTTTTGCTTTTAAAGTCAGAATGAGGATCAGATGAAAATGTAAAAAACTCTATTTTTTTTCAAATTTCATATAACCTGTGCACTATTATCACAAGTATTAAACATACTAAGTCTTTGTCGTTCATGTTCCTGGAACACTTGTCGCACAGCATGCAGTGGGTAGTCAGTATCATACAAAGATCTGAATTCCTCAACAAACTCCTCCAGTGACTTGTGTAACAGTTCTACAGGCTAAATATTATAGCAAGTAATTACTTAGAAATGAAAGAGAGGAATTTACTTAATAAATTAAATTGTGTATCAATATTTTTAGACATACATGTAAAAGGGAATATAAATAGAGGTCACAATTGTAATTTCATTCAATCAATTTTGCTTCAAGCACAAGATACCTTTATTCCAAACCTTCCACATGCCTAAAACAAAGAAAAAAATATTTAGTATTAATCATTTTGGTATATATTTGAATTATATGATAAAAAAGTTAGATACTGTCTAGTACACAGGACCTTTATCACAGACAAAATACAGTACAAAACTATTATTATATAATAAAACAAATTTTGAGTTGGGTTCATTATTTCTTTTCCATCATCTTTCTGAAATTTTGGGAGAATCGTATTTGCAAATTCATTGAGGATATTATGCAATTTTAAGATAGAGACATAATTAGACAAAAATGGTAACAAAGTAACTGTTAATCACAGTCTAAAAACACAACTTGAAATATATTGTGCTCATGATACCAATAAACTTACACTGTAACATTCAACATAATACAGGTACATTCAATCATAATTAAGTATCATTAGAAAAATCTACACCTGCCCATTGACTAACCCATGGACACCACACTCATTTGAAAACAGTTCAACAATTAAATAAGCCTGTGGTTAGGAAAGAAGGCAAGGGTCTGGATACGCATAAACAACACAGACGCCAGTAATTTCCAACAAGAGACAACAAAAATCTCAAGTTTGTGTCATGTGACATTATCTCACCTCCAGAGACCTTGGACTTGTCAAGACATAACGACTCAGCTGCGCTGTAGGTTCCTCAAAATTGTAAAGATCAAGATCTGCTTTAGAGGTTTGAGTTTTCCCTGCCAATGAAAAATTAGAAAAAAAATCCATATTTGCCATTGATCACTGCTCTCTCAAATATTTTAAAATGTTACACATTGTAATTAATACTTGTCAGGTGGAGTAATCCAAGTTGTAATAAAAAAGTTTCTTTTTCCAACTATCCTGCTCCAGCATAATACAATATTATTATAAAGAGAAAAAGAATCCAAATTAAATGAACTGGACCAAAATTTTTTCACCAACCCATGCATGTATTTGTTTTAAGTCCTAGCCAATAGATGGCTCCTTTGACATTCAATCTCGATTCAAAGAATCATTCAGCACAAAAACTTCGCCTGTGAAGAGTCATCAGTATGGCATAGAAAGGATTGTCACTGACCATCTACAATTTACAACAGTATGCTAAAGTATCCAAAAGACATTAGGGACATAAGCTGGTAGGTTGTAAGTTCAACAAGCTGTTACCTTTTCCTGAACGCTGTCTTGAGAGATCCAGGGTGACAGTCTTCATTTTGCATTTTACAAAATCATTTAGTTTATCACTGATATTAATTTGGTAAAAAATTTATATTTACTAGATTTTTCACATAACATTACAGACATTTTGTCAGACAAAATAATTTAGTTTATCACTGACATCAATTTGGTAAAAAATTTATATTTACCAGATTTTTCCACATAACATTACAGACATTTTGCCCTGGAGGTTGGTTTAAGATACTGTGTACAAACAACGTAATTAATGATATTATTGTCAAATTATATAGCATAACCTTCTAGCAAATGTAATCTGATGAATGATAAAAGATAAACACAAGCTGTATACAAATTCATGTACTAGTGGTAATAAGAAAGTGAGAACAGATGCACATGTACTGAAATAATGTTAAGATTAAACAACTTAGTGGTTTGAAGCCTTTTTGGGAATTTTTATACCTCTTTATAATTACAGGTTTTCTGTGGAACTACCACCTGGTCAAACAATTTCAAGTCAAGTAGCAATCTTAGAAATCATTACAGGTAAATGAACTTTCATGGTCATGCAGTAGCTTAATGCCAAGTTACATGTACAATATTATGCTTCATGTAAAACTGCTGACAATACGATCTGATCATATTAACCCTAGAAAATATGAAACATCTGAGACTCAAATTTTACAAAAGTATTTTGGAGTTGTTTCAATAAGTGTACATGGAATGTAATACACTGTACATGTATGCTCTGAGTGGTGATTTCAAAAAAGCTTTCTGCTCTAGCCTCTCCTTTCGAAAACCTCACAAAACAATATATAAACAATTTTGCCTAATGAAATAATGACGATTTTCCTGTGGCCCTTAGTATTTGGAGTTATGTTGTTTACTGAACACTGCCTTATAGCATCAGAGATAAAAACAAGACGATGATCTCACTTGGATGGAATTTTAAACTACATTTAATTATCATGCAACGTTTCATAATAAAGGTTTTTCTATTTTTTAAAATACACGACGAAGTTAAATATCAACCTTCAAATATGAATGAGATGATTCGCTTTTTTTTCTCACTCCACCTTGCCGACTGGACATAGGCAAGCAGACCCGTTCAAATCCATGTTTTGCTTTAAAGATTTAAACCAAACTTGATCGGACGTTCTTTTCGCAGTGGCAAAATGGAGTCATTGCATCGCCGTTGGATACAGTCTTATATATAATTCAAATGTAATAACAAGAGGGTAATAAAGCTGATAAATGAATTGTAGTCATGTACCTTTGTCAGTTGCACTTGACTCAAATAATGTTTCCCAGTCATCATTTGAACTACTGTCAAGAATCCGCTCTCTCACTGGAGAACATTTTCTTCCGTGACGCTCCCTTGACATGACCCTTTCCACGGATCTTATTGCCTTCTTTAGAAAGGATGATAATTACATCATCTACAGTACCATCCCGCGATATTTTATTTTTGTGTTATCCCAAAATAAAACGTCTGACGGCATTCCTTTTTCTAACTTCCCTCGTTCGTTAACCACAAACTAGTTACCAGTTTTTCTCCAAATCACAGGTCAAACTCCGCTGATCACTTTGACGAGGCTCTGGTTGATAACAGACACTCAACCTTCCATACGTAGGAATAAACCATGCGTTTGGTGGGAGTTCCATCCAGTCAGAAAGTCCTGCAATTATACCGTCAAATTTTGAAACAAGGAAGGTCACTACGATATACAGATTTCGAATTCTTTCGAAGATCCATAAGAAGAGAGTTTGAACAACAAAAAGATGAGGTGGAAGCCAAGGTTATTAAGGAACAGTACGAGGTAATTTTGACACCAAAATCTCAGTTGGTAATGTTCGTTTTTAAAACTTCTTTAGTGGATGGAGATGATTTTTATTATGGAGCCTGCTAGTATAAGAGACGTATAAAAGGATGTGACCTAAAAAACATCTAATTTGTAGAAACTCCAAGCTCTTAAAACCTGAAATCTAGAGATGTTCGATTTTTTAAATCATGATCTCTGTTGTCTCTCCCCACACTGAAGACGTACAGAATCCCGAATAAACAGAAAAGCACAAAAAACCAACAATGTTTGAGTTGAAAACTTGCTATAAAATATATAGAGATAAGATATGCCTCATTTTCCCTCGGCCTCTTAAATGCTTTAAAGAATTTTATGGAGAGGTTGTGAACTATACCGGAAATCAGGAGATTGTTTATCTAAGACACTCTTAGATTGTATGGATTATGAAGTACAGTTGTGTATTGTTACTGTAACCTTAAATTTGTATCTGTTATTTGTTCTGAGCTTGGGCCAAAATATCTTTAAAGGCCTGATTAATTTTAAAGGGAATCAGAGCTTTTGTTTTCCTGAAAATAAAATAATATTTAGTCCTTCATAATAAGCACTTGTGTTAGATGGTGTATAAACTCGAATATGTTGTCTTAGTGACTGGTCATCAGTTTTTTTTAATCTTTTGGAGTTGTTTGCCACATGTAAAATCACTCTCCATTTTAGATTTAATTCAAACAGTACTCTATCAAACTGAGCTGCCAAGAATTTAAATGTTTTCGTAGGGCATTTGTTGGAATTATCTATTGAAATTTACCCATAGAAGACATGATCAGACACAAGATCCAAATAAGAGTACTTTTTCCAACAGGATGTAAGGCTAGTCTTTGTTATGATATTGTTGCATTCTTATATTTGTTTTTGTTTTTATGTTTAGAAAGGGATGTATTTTCTGGAGACAAAATTAGGTGGGTTGCAATGAAGGAGACAACATGAAAATTCAGGAATAACATGCTGTCATAGGAGAAGTCGCTGCCTAAGAACAAGTGGCTTGGGTTCCTGTGTTTAGGAATCCTGTGTAGAGGAGTTGTTTGAAGTGTTTCATAACACAGTCTATGGGACTCTCGAGCAGTGGCAGTTTTCAAGGGACTGTTCGAGATGCAGTGTTATGCCTATTTTAAAAAATTCAGATAAGAGGTTTATATAGCAGAGGTTATAAGTCCACTAGTGTGTTTGTTCCATGCATGATGTTAAGCTCAATGCATTGCAACCAGAACAGAAACAATTTCATTTAATTTCTTCTTGTTTTCTTGTTACATACTTGCAATTTTGAAACTTGTGCACCTTGGTAAAATTTTGATATATTAAAAATGCATCTATTTGCAATAAACATTTCATTCATTTAAATTATTTTTCAAAGTAGTGGCTGTTTTCAACTCTCACAACAATAGGAACATCGTCATATGTTGTAGAATGTGGCCTCTTTCTTCTCCTCACAATTTCATCAACAAGTTTCTTTTTATAAATTTTCCAGTCTCTATCATCAGTGTAAGTCTTGAATGCTTGTTTGTGAGTTAGAAATGCTTGGTTCATTCCCTGTTTCATGGCCTCCAGGCTTTTTCCTCTCTCCTTTTTCATGAAGATGAGTTGACTAATCAGCAGACAGTGTACCTGTTGGACATTGAGGCCACAATTTTACTCTGACATTCATTTTTTACACAGGAACAAGGTTTCTAGGGTACTAAAACTAAACTTTGGATATGTTTTATTGGTGTTTAACTGACCTACATGTTGATTGGACATTCTGTTTCCCATCACAAAATGAATCCAGTAGAAATATCCTAATCTTGCAACGGCTTACACAGAGTTTTGAGCCATGCTATAGAATTTCCATCTGCCTCTAATTCACTCACCCTTCCAACTGAGATGATAAAAGTCTTCTTCAAATCCTCACCTACTCCAAAGAAGTCTCCTTTGCTTAACATATGTACACTGAGAAACTTTCTGACTACACGTTCCTTTACATTGTTGTCAATGTTGTTTTCATTAAAGTTAATGGGCGGTAATTTCAGCTGGATTTTACCAAAGGACGATTCTTTCTTGATCATTGTTATCTCTCTGACTACTCTACATTTTCCAGATTGAATGAGGTACACGTCATCAGCAGGTACGTCCATATCGCCCAGAATAACCTAAAATAAATAACAAATCAACAGTGTTCTGTGTAGGGTAATTGAGGAGAACAACTCCCTGAAAAAACCCGTCGGCCAACAGATAACCAACAGGCCACCGACATAAAACTGACAGCTTACCAACAGGTTACCAATTGGCTATCACAAGTCGGCTGCTTAACGGTGGACTGTTGGCCAGCGGTTGACTGTTGGCCAACGGTCAACAGACTTGCAAAGGCCAACTGGTGATCTGTTGGTAGCCTGTCAGTTATACGTCCGTAGCCGCATTTTGGGATATCGCTCAAAGTGCAAATTACAAATCACAAGCACGCTCTTAAAACTGCTTCTGACACAGATGTCTCTCCATTCTCTTAGCTAAAAACTCAGTGGGTGCGCAAGGGAAAAAGGTATTGTGTTACTTTTGCTTTCAATTGTCCCTCATACTTCGCATTTGTAAATAGTCCCCCGTCCTTGTACTTCGTTCCCAAGTGTACGCCAAATGCATTGAGGCGAGGCTGGTCTCCCAGCTGACATAGCAGTACCTACCGTATTTGGAGGAAACTCTCTGATCTTTGTATGTGCAACTGTATTTCTGATTTCAGTTTTTTCCCACTCTTTTAGAATGGGTTGAGAATTAAGTATGGACAGTCTTCTCTCCCACTCGATCTGATGACTGTTTCTCAGAACCTGAAGAGGAAACAAACAAACCAAAAGCAAAGCCAATGAGTTACCTGAAAAAAGTGCCAAACCTACGCCAAAAAATTTTTTTCGGCCGTTGTCAAACTTTTTTTATATAAATATACTTCTGTCCTACGTCAGGCGGCTTGTGAACCTATCTTTCAAGGAATGGGTAGAAACAGGAAGGGATGAAATCATAATGAAAGCTGTTGATCACGATTGTAACAAAAGTGATTTCGTAATCTCTGGTTCTCTTTGCTGACTTTTTTTTACGAAACCGATGTGGTGGTTTGATTTTCTTTTTTCAATTTCTTAATTCAAGAAACAAAGGCTATGATAATTGGCTGACCTCATCAAAGTCAGGCTTGTCAACCCTCAGGAATTCCGAGTTTTCTTTGCATATGATAGTGGCTGTTCTCCTTATGTTATGAAGCAAAGCAAGCTCTCCGAAAGCATCTCCCTCTGCCATTTCTCCCACGACCTGTTATGAGGATAATTTCAATCATAATTAAGCAAGAAATCCGACTTCTAAGAATATCACACAGAGTTAAGTACTCTGTCTGTAACCGGCGATTCGCTCTGACGAAGCTGCTAGCGCTTGAAACGTCAGCTTTAGAAACTCTTTACAGTTTATGTTATCAACTCAGTTCAATTGATAAAACCAAAGTATCTTACATCACCCCCCACCGGCGCATTACCGAAGTTTCTTAAAAAAAATTACCTCCTTTAGTCATAAAAATTTGAGGTCAGACTTTGATCTCAGGTCTTCAGTCGTGTATAACCAAGGTTTTCCCCTTTTCCCAGTGTTTGATGAGGAAGTTAAAATAATTTGTCATACTGCAGGGAGAATGGGACATCATTAGAGTGTTAAGTCAACTAAGGGGTGGGAAGAGGGTCACCAGAGGAATACGACTTCGTCAGTGAAATAGCTTTTTGGATTGTATGAGCCTACAACAGAGGGATGGGGAAGTGACGGGGGGAGAGGGCATATATCCCGGTAATTTGATACTAAGAAGTTTCCTTTGACAGACCTGTTTATGTTGTTCACCAGTGAATTTGTCTTCTTCCATTCTTTCCACGATCACTGAACCGGACACAATAAAATAAAAAGAAACACCAACGTGTCCTAAAGAACAAACGCGGGGGTAAAGTACATTGTTTTTAAACAATTAACTTCTGTCTAGTTCAAAGCTATTAGTCTAAACGTACTAAGTTCAAAAGCAGATCTGACTGATGTTTAGAACACAAACTACACACTATTATATTATTTCGATTACGACAGACGAGAACAAATTGAAAATGATTTGAAAACATGAGTCTCCGAAGTAGCGATAGCCGATTTTAAGGACCGCACTCATTGTCTGTAACGGGAAAACCAGTCCATGTCTGCTTTGCGATGTCAATCAAGGCAAGAAAGAAATATTTAAGTAACAGTCAATCTGAGTTTTTCAACTGAGCACCTTGTAGCGAGTACGGATTAAAGGGGTTAGTGAATAACCAGGTGCCAAACAAAATGCTAATCCATCGAGTCTGTTTGGAGGAAAGCTCAGTTGAGTGAAAAAGTTAATTTCCGACGCTCCGTTCGTAACCCAAACGATGCCTGTTTTTGCCTCCCATTTGCATTATGACATACTCCAGGATGGAACTGGTTCCAGTGATTGTCATCTAAGCTTACGAGAGATTGTCATGAAGAATTTTACGATACACTCGATGTCAAATACGTTGACAACTAAAAAACGCGATCAATGAATGATAAGACCTAATGCCTCTATGGAAAATGTTTGCACAGTTACATAATCAGTGGTATTCATTATTCATGATCGTTGTTTATGATAATTTTTTTCTTTCAGGAAAGCGTGGGTAGCTTCTGTCATATACAACGTGCAACTAATTGTGGTTATCATGTAAATGCGTACCGATGAAGCCGTTGGGTCTCATCGTTCATTACTGCCGAACTGTTGTTAGGTGTCAACGCTTTTGCAATCGTCAAAGCGATGAGGAAGCGCTAACGCTCGAAACGTCAGCATTGAAACCCTTTACGATGGCCAGTTTATGTTATCAACTCAACTGATAATACTAAATTACCCTGTTATACTCTCCCACCGACGCAGCACCACAGTTTCTTTAGAAACTTACCCCCTGTATACACAAAGGGTTATGAACTAAAGCAGAAGGGGAGCACTGATCCCCGTATAAAATTTCTATAAGTACCCTCCTTCCCTCCCCCGTGCCCCACGAGAGTCAATCACTTTACACTAACCTTGTTTTATGACCACCCTCCCTTTCTCAAACATGTCGTAGTACAATACTTTGGCTAGTTCCCTTTTGACGTACATAGGATAGCGGCCAAAGCATTTCAACTTTTTCACAACTTGCAAGACCACTTCGACTTCCTCTTCGGTCCTACTCCAGGACAGAGCTCTGAGTGTTTCCTTCACAGCCGGTGATAAAAAGCCACAAGACTGGACGTGAGATTTAAAAGCTTTAAGATAAAAAAGGGAAAGAATACTGATGGAAAATTAAAAACCAACTTTTCACTGATTTGAGAAATAAATAGTTCTTAAAATGGATCCTCCCTCTTGTTCGGAGATTTGTATCCGTCCAGGTATATCTGAAAGCACCAACAGGCTTTGGATATCGGTTTCCTATTATACCTTGCGCTTAAACAGCATAAATTACCTCTCTGCGAGGCCTTCCCTTCTTTGGTGAAAATCTTAAAAACATATTCAAACTTGAGCGTCATGTTGGACAAAACAAAAAAATGAAAACAATTTTAAATTACGTTATCCTAGAGTTTGTACTCCAATAGATCATAGCCACTGACCAATCGCATGGCGCTTAGTATACAGTTAATATAGGAAATTGGAGTAGTATTGGAAAGTGGGGGTATTTGAGCCTGAAATGTTGTTAACTACAGGTCAGCTAACTTACCATTAACATTGAAACTCAGACGTCCTTCTCCGTCTTCGGGATTAGCAACAAATCCTCGAGCACGAGTATGGTCATCGGATTGACGTACTTCCTGTAACGGGAAAGTCAGCATGAAAATCAGACCATACGTGATTTAGGTCGATTGAGCCGTACAGCGCTGAGACTACTTAAATATATTGCTTTAAAAAAACCTGCCCAAAAACGATTTAATTTCTAGATTTGTTTCTTCTCACTTCGGTTAATAAAAATAAAAGGTTCCTTTTTCTGAAACTACGCGTTTGAGAAAAGGGTTGATTGGTGATGAATACATGCACGCCAAAAATTATGGCTGTCTCATACCTCCTTACTTTGTGAACAAACCAGCCATCGGCAATATGTACCAAATTATATTTTTGCACGAGTTAAGTCGCATTTCACGACTTTCAGCATAAATGTACATCGTTTCCCAATCGACCTGGAAACAGTGGACATGAAGAGCCAGCTCGTAGAATGTCCACTGATAACTGATCCCATTATTATTATTTTTTTTTTTTTTTTTTTTTTTTGAGTGATTATATCATCAGGTATGTTCCTATTGAATCACTTTAAAGTACATTCTCAGTGAGTTGGGTGTTAGGTGCCTTTAACTACCTGACTTAGCTCAGTGTGCAGAAAAAGATACCCTAGCATTCAGATATTGCAGGATTACTACTACTCACGCTAACTGTGGAACTGGCTCCAAGTATTTTACAAAAATAGGCAAAAAAAAGTGTTTAGGTGGAACCACAACTGTCGGATCGCGTTGATCCGATAAATAAATTCTTTGTTAGTCTTGGTAAGGCGAAGTCTGATTAAGACGCCGTGATTTGCAACTCACCTTCAGTACCGTGGACCATTTCCTTTGTTTGGTAATGGCCTTGGCAACTTTTTTAAAAGTAACTCCGCCACTTCTAGACTGGTTTGGCGGCACTGGTGCGGTCAGAGATGTTTCCGGTATTTCGTCGACGCTCGAGACTGGTTCGGCACTCGAGTCGTAATTTTCCTCGTCAAATTCCAGTAAAAGAAAGGGATTTTTGGCAACGCTCGTTTTTCGGTCATCAGTGATGGAAGACTTTTTTTTATGCATTGCAGTCTTGTTTTCTTTCATTCTAGAGCTGTTGCTTTGAAAAACAGGCGGTGACTACAATTCAGTTCTATCGTGGGAAAACGCAAGAAAGCCGGAAAATATCCCACAGAAAAAGGACTTTTTAGTTCACGACAGCGTGTGAATTTAATTGGGTAATTTAGTATTATCAACTGAGTTGATAACGTAAATTGGCCACCGTAAAGATTTAAAAACCTGACACTTCGAGCGTTAGCCCTTCGCTCTCCCACCGACGCAGCACTACAGTTTCTTTAGAAACTTACCCCCTTTATCCACGTGAGTTTCATAGCAAGGCGTTGGTTCAAAGTTATTCAAAAACGCCAGAGCGGTCAGTTTATGAACAGTCACTCTATCAGGTCTTTAAGAACGTGTAAAGTGTATACATGTCAGTCGCTGTTGTAAGGGCTTAGCTACAAATGTGGTTTTGGTGTTTATAATGATAGGGAAAAAAACGAACAAAAACGAAATCGACAGAATAACAAACTTACCCGGCTTTCAGATTCATTCCGAATTGTTTGCTAAGTTTTCCTTGAATGATTTTAACTTAATTACCGAATTCTAAAGTTTTGTGACGAACTTTAATGAGAGATGCCGTCAGTAGCTGGAAAAGAAACGCATAAAGAAGCTACACCAACAATTGAAAATGCATTTACTACTGAGGAAGTTGGCGCAAGGAGCGCTCAGGAGACACATAGTATCCTGAGATATCATCTGTAAGTTATCCATTGGTTTCACCTCAATGCTTAATCCGAATTTGATAAGAATTAAAAAATAAGTTGAACCAAGATGTCATACATGCGCGGGCTTTAGAATTTCAGTATGATTGTGCGCGCGCAATTACTGAGTTATGACGTAGTGCGCAGCTCACTGTTGTTTTGTACAGATTTTTTTGGAGAACTCTAATTGTCACTTAACATTCACAAACCTTAAGAGAGGTACAGATATGTCTACGGAAACAGAGCAGTCTAAACCGTCCCCGTTAGAAAGGTTCCGTCGCCTTGCTCGCTCCGTCCAGTCACAAAGTCGATGGACGAGAGCTTTGCAATCAAAAATTGCCGATGAACATAGTAAAGTGTTCCAGATCAATCAAGAGAGCGAGAAGGTTTTGTATTTCAACAGCGGTGGTAATCAAACTTTCGTGTTTGTCTTCATTGGTCTTTGTTCACCTGTTGTTCTATGAATCAGTCATTTTCTTAGCTTATTAAAGATACTGTATTGAAAATTCACAGCCCATGGAATATGCTGATCCGGGGATAACATCGCAGACTAAATACAAACTTTCTTCCTATTTGTTTTCAGCATTTAAGTCTCCGATTCACCTGAGTAGCAGCTTATCCAAGAAGGCTAAACAAATTCTGTTCAAACCCTCGTGCCAAAGGAGAGAAGAGGAAATAAAGGTACTGACAGGAATAGTCTTAATTCTTGCATCTTACCTCTGCGCGAGGTTAATTGTCTAATTTTCTCCCTAATCTCCATGTCGTCCTGTTGGATAAAATTAAGATGTTTCAAACGAGGCCCAATAAATACTGTATTTGGTTAACTAATCTTCAGAGCTTTTTCCGATCTATAATTTTTCCAGAAACAGTAATTTAAGATAAAACAACACGATTAAACAGTAGTTTTGAGGCCTCAAACAAAAATATATGTCCCACAATTGATTTTATCGGAAACATTCCAAAACCTATGTTTTTTTTAGCTTACTTCAGTCACTTTCACCATGCATTATGAAAACGCCACTGCTTATGGATTTTATTTCATGCCATTGTCTGCTTTCTTTGATAGATTGTAAGGTGTTTCCTTAAAAAAATTGCAAAGATTGAGAACGTGATTAGTAATTGTGAGAAACTTCGACAAATGAGCTTGTGTTTCCCATAATGACTGGAACGTGCACATCAAAAGTCCTAAATTGATTAAAAAGTTAAGATCACTTCTGTAAAAATGACAATCGAGGGATATAAACAAATTTTAAAATAATTATGATAGTGCAGCTTTTGTGTGCGATGTTCGTGTATGGTATGTCAGCTGGAAATTGCAAAATATCGTATTAGTAGAATATGTTGGCATCCATAAACATTTCGGTTGAACTGTATGTATTGGTGGACAATTCAGTCAATATCAAAACTGCGCGCTCCGAACAAATGACTCACCCAGATTAGGAAAAAATGAAGGCGCAAGATACAATATAGCCTAGCTGAGAGGTATCAGTAGATACTAATAGATTGGAATCGACACTTTGATTTCACAGGTTATCTTCGGCATTGTCGATAAGCTTAAATGTTTCAGTCGTTACACACCACTCATCAAACGCGAGATCGCAAAAGTTGTATATTTTCAACAGTTTGAGGATGGAAGAGTGATCGTCAAACAAGGTGAGTGTCCCAGTGTATTCTGGGGCTGAAAACTTACTACTGGTCATTTCGGTTCGCAAAAGTTATCTTGGTTGAAATTAAGCAGTAGACAACGACTCCAGAAAGTCTCACTTTTCAGTTGATTATGAAGATTGAAAATAATTAGACTGCAGAATTACAGAAGTTTATCGGCTGTCACAAATCGCTGTTCTATTTGACACAGGCCAACCAGGAAGGTCCATGTATTTCATCTTGAGGGGAACTGTATTTGTTCAAGTGGCAGAGACAGATAAAATCGCAGGACTCCGCATGAAACAGGTCTTTGAAGTAGAAACTAGTTTTTGAATTTATCACAAAATTAACATATGTTAATAAATATGGACAGCAGATAAAAATGCACGCACTGACACGAGTATTTATTCAGTCACATTAAGAAGGATCAAGGTTCTTATGAAAGAGTTTCATAAGTTAACTTTGGAAGCCATGAAGGCGTAGCATATCCTTGTTATCTTGAAATTGTTGGAACTGCAGTCATGAAATTATGGATGCTATATTTCAGATCGTGGGAGAGATGTTCGCTGGAGACTCGTTTGGAGAGCTGGCACTGCTACACGACATAACAAGGGCAGCGACCGTCATATGCAAAGGGACGGTTGAGTTCCTGACGATAGATAAACCAGATTTTGATATGGCATACACTTGCCCTTACAATTTTTACATTCTCTCACTAATAATTATTGAGCTTTACCAAGTTCACGCAAAAACATTTCTCTGTGGTCTGTAGGTTTTAAAAAGGAGTTATCAGCAGGAATGGGAGACTAAGATGTCTTTGTTGACATCTTCGCCATGCTTTAAAGACCGTTCGCCCAAAGAGTTGCAACAAGCGAATTCTGCAGCTAAACTTGTGGAGTACCCTGCAAACACGGTAAGTAAAAGATAAAAAAAGCGCTATTCAGTAGACAATAATTGTTAGAGCGAGACAGACTACGCGGGATAACGAGCTTGACGTCAAAATGCGTGGCCAACAGATCGTTTTGGAGAGCGAGGCTAAAAAGGTCCGTGAAAGGAAACCCCTGAATTTGAAACTACACATGAAACTAAAACCAGCAGCTTTATAGCACTCTATAAGTAGCATTCTTACTATCACCAAGTCAGATGTGGTTTTTTGAAAACAAAAATTATTACATTTTATGCCGGAGGTATTTGCAGCCATGCAAATGCCCGTAAATTGGAACCTCAGATGATTATTTGTTTAATGATATGAGTTTCATCGACTTTAAGCCTTCAGGTTATTCTAGCTGGATCATTTACATTCTTGCTATCCATTTCCCTATGATCAATCAGTCTCCACACTGCAGGAGGGTATATTTTGTGTTAATGAAAAAAGTCCGCAAACAATTTGCAGCCAAATAGCGTGGTTTACGATTCTGTTCTTTCAATTCAGTCGCCTTGCACCATGCACAACTTCTGCAACTGATGTGAATGATTCTACACTAGACTCGCTCATGTTCATGAAGTTTTTTTAGGTGGCACTATTACTGTGCTAAAATCATTGCGCAATTAAGTTCCTCTTCACTTGGTGACTGTAGTTCGATGGCAACAGCCAAAAGGCAAACGAAATCAGAAGAAATTCGGCGGACCATGCTTCACCACCGCATCAATGATAACCACACGTTACCACACGTCTCGTGTAAATTATACTTTAAAAAATTTAAGCTTGCTTCTTTAAAACTTATAATGTCAAAAATCATATTGAATAATAAAAAATTGAATGAAAGAGCCAAATAACTAAATTTAATATCGTGAATAACTTGGGCAGTTCAAGTATTTTATCTGCAATAGGATTTCACTCTCCGCTGAGCGTGGGCCAGTATATCTTAATTAAGTGCTGTTGGAACTTCAGAGAAAGTTAATGACATGTACAGGTTATGCACTAAAGAGGTTATTCACTGTCTACGAACAGTGGCGGAAGTTTATTGTTCCTTTCCCTATTTTCACGTGAAGATTCTCGGAATGGAAACATACGACAATTTTTCTTTCACATTTTGTGTTTTAATATTTAGAATTTTGAACCCTATGTAATTTGTAGGTATTGAGATTTTAAAGTAAATGATTTCATATATGTTTGACATAAAAAAAAAAAACGCATTTACTGCTGTTCTCACTCAACTCAGTGATGGAAATGGAAGCAACAAAGTAATTCGATTGAAATTTTAAAAATATAAACCGAGTGCGATCAAAACGTACGTGAATACGAGTCGAGTGTTATCACGTGAACTAAACTGAGAGAAACCTGTCAAGTTTTCCCTTCCTCACCAATAATTTTTAATTTATGTAGTCTTTAAAGCCATGGCCAGAGTCATGGGTATTAGTACAGACATAAAAGATTCAAAAGAGGAAAGTCAGTTTGTGGTTTGTGAGAATTTCCTGAGTCCGAATTGCGGGCAAGACACTTTTATCACAAAAGAGAGGGTTTTTGTTTTATTTTATTTTACTTTCGGCGTGGTTTGGATCGACCGAATTTCTTTGTTTACAAAAGGAAGTCTGCCGTCGATGTGAATATAGCTGGTGATGTACGCCAACGCTGACTGACAAACGTAAAATCTTTTGAAATCTAAATGCAGTCATTAACGTTGGCTAACTCTTACTTTACCCACCAAAATATTAATTAGTTACGCGACTATCACCAATATCATTATTGTTAAATTTTTTTTCTTTTTGTTGTGCTGTGAAGTGAGTGCGAGCGTCGATTACAAGGTTTCATTTTGGATTCGGTTTTGAAAATTTTATTTACAAATGTAATTTTATTAAGATTCTTTTCATTTCCTCCTTCATGTTCTCCTTTAATACGGGTACTGATTTTTAATCTTCATGTCGCGTTTTTGTTCAAAGCTTCTGTGATATTCTGTCTTTGTTCTGTAATATAATAGTTGTCGTATTAAGGCTAAAACACAACATGTTATTAACTTGCCTTAAAGTGATTGACTACGTTGTCGTAAGTGGTGACAGGACGCCAAGAGATGTCAATATAATACCATGGCGTTCCGTCTCAAGTTATTTTGTGTGTTACCATCTGAACAAATAGAAACCATGTCATAATGTAAAGTGCTATCGCATCAAGTTAAAAATTTCATTTTGATAAATTCCGAAAGTGTGTGGAGTAACAGGATCTGGAACTTCCACGTTACGGAACCAGTCTGTTGTTTTAATGCCTTCTTTTTCCGTTTAATTTCAAGTTTTAATTTGGATGGGTACGAGTCGCAGGAACTCCGCCTACTATGGCGTGAGTGGGGGCCTTTATTTGCTTTCAACCTGTCTTTTCAAAGGACACAAAGAAACTCGCAACTACACTGGCTTAGCGTCCTCTAAACTGTTATCAGTTCAGCTTGTATTCTTGGCCACTTTTAAAACACTTAGGTTTGACACGCTGATCGATTCAAATTCTCTTTGACAAAAATGAAATTCGCTTGTGGTTATTTTCTGATTTTGACCTGAAACGTGGATATTTAGCATCATGACATTTCGTTTTGAAGAACCATAGTATCGATAATTTTTTTCCGGAAGAACTCAAGGCACGCCGATGGCTCCTGCTACTAACATCACATCAACGACTATGAATCAAATGGATTGCCGAGAGCCGACCATGAAGCCATTTGTCGCCCAGTCGTGCTTTCTCATTTTCATAGCCATCATAACACTTTTGGGAAACATCTCAGTTTGCTTGACGGTATTTCTCAATAACAATCTGCACACTTTCACCAGCTACCTCGTCGCTTCACTGGCTTGTTCAGACTTAATGGTTGCTACCCTCTCGCTACCATTTCGGATCCATCAAACAATTCATAACACCCAGTGGTGCCTTAGTGAATCTGCCTGCTTGTTTTGGATTTGGGCAGACTTACTTTGCTGCTGTGCCTCGATAGGAAATCTAGCATTGATAAGCGTCGATCGGTTTTTAGCCACCAAGTATCCTCTGAGATATCACCAAATAGTGACTTGTAGGACTTCTTGGTTGATGTTATCGTCTGTGTGGATCTATTCGATAGTCGTGGCATCCTCTGGTTTAACCAACTGGACTCCCGTTGCTGGGAAGCTCGTAGGCATCAACAACGGCTGCTACAAGCCCGATCCTTATTATTACACGTTTGCAGCAATTGTTGGTTTTTTCGCTCCTCTCGTAGTGATAATGTGCGCTTACTGTTACATTTTCAAGATCGCCATGGAACACTTCCGCGCCATCTCGAGACTAACCGTTCCCGTTATGCCTCATGTGTCAAATAGCAATGAAAATCATCAAGCCTTGTACAAACAGCAACTTAAAGCCACGAAAACTCTAGCTATAGTGGTTGGCGCCTTTGTTGTTTGCTGGTTACCAACTTTCATAATTCTGTTGGTCAAAACATGGTGCCGGTCATGTTTAAATAGTCAACAGAATCCTGAATTGAGCGGTGTATTTTCTGTTATTAATGTGGCATTTGTCTATACTCTGCCGAATATTAACTCCGCCATCAATCCTTTCATCTACGTTGTTTTTAGTAAGGATCTGAGACGGGCGTGTATTAAGACTTTCAGATCGCTTTATCAAGAACTGTGTGAAATAAGGACGGCGACAAGACAGTCGAATTTTTAGTAAAGTTTACACTTATAAGGTCTATATTTTTTTCACTCGATGAAGAATAAAGATATTAAAGTTTGTTGCTAGCGGCTCAATATATATGACGTGAAATTCAGAGTGTAATTATCACCTTTCGGATATAGTATCCTTTTAAGATTAAGATCTATTTTGAGATCGCAGTTCTCAGGAGGCTGGTACCTCTAGGATCAGCTTTCATATGCCGTAAAATTGTATCCCTCTTTGGGAAGATTTCCTCTACTTTCGGTTGGCAGTACTTTCAGAAGTTTATGCTAATTTTATCAATCTGCATAATTTTTCAATATGTTGTTTCTCTTTCAGTTCTGCGACCGCCAAAATATTCCTTACACTGATTCTCGCCGTCTTCATGATACCTTATCCTGTGAGGCACTTAGCTCTCTTATTCCCCTCACTGTTGCGCTAACATCTAATCTATATTCAAATGCATGGCAAAACATACACAAAATTAGGAGTCATTACAGAACGAAAAAGGCGGCACTTTGTTGTAGTCCTCACGATTTATTGATACGAAATTCACCAGAAATCCGTAGACGATCAGTAAGAGTGTTCCCAAGGAACTATTTGGTCCTAGCCATGTTAATATCGAAGGATCATTTCCCTGTGATATAGCAGTATCTGAGAGGGAAAAAAACACGTTCTAGTATCTCTGGTGTAAATTTCGTAACAAAGCAGACACGTGTGTCGGGAATAATTGTGTTGCTGACTATTTGGAATTGAAATCGTTGCCATTTTTTCCCTTTTGTACTGAATATTCTTCTCAATCATGATAGTACATCTCTTTTGAGCACCACCTTCTTCGAGTTGAAATGCATTTTGAATGGAGTTATCAGGAGTTATGGTGAAAACATGTAGAGATCAATCGACCCAACGATGGAGTTGTTTACATTGAGTTCCCGTTTAACCATGAACGAATGAAATGCACTCATACTTGTCGCCAACGAAACGGTTAGACCGAGGAATAAGACTTCGTCCCTGTTTTATTTTGTGTTTGATTTTGTTTAATTTATTTTTTTTAACGAATAAAGTCGTTCAAGACTTAATCAAACCAATAGGTTTAGAAAGCCGTGCCGAAATCAAGTTGATTGTCATTTTCTTTCGAAGCGATAGCATGACTTTCTCGTCTTAGTCTTCTCCGGCGCTGATCAAAAACTATTCTCAAATTTTTTTTATCTCTGACTTCAATTCGCAGAACACTTTTAATCACGGTTAAAACGACAAAGACAACAAATAACACTGAATAATACAGCAGATAACCTTCGTGTTCAGTTTCATTTTGATAAACTTCAACATGAAGCAAGTTTTATCTATTGATGAATTAATTCACGATAAAATTAACAGCACCCATTCTTAGAGTTTTCATACATGGTGTAAGAAATGAATCAAAGAAAAGCCCTTACGTTGTTTAAAGCCACGCTCAGTTACAAAAGGTAACTGAGCCCTAAAATCTTGGATCGCTTGCTGACGATCGTGTTTCCTTTCGGGAATCCAGAATAAATGTAGTGGGAAATTTTCACAAATTCACCGAATAAAACGAAGAAAGGGACCTGGTTATCCTGGAAATGAGTTCTGAAATCATTCCAAACAGCATTATCTCGTTTATAAGTGCACAACTAACGCAAATCCTAGGTGTTTTGATCACGACGGGAAAACCAGCGAAATAACGTTCTGAACTTGATGGGGAGAACGGCAACGCTAATACCGGAAGTTGAAATAGCGTCGTGTCCAGATTATCCGAGCGTTTTCCCGTTCTGAAATGACGTTCCCGTCCGGCGCACCGCTCTCGAGTCCAATCGGTCTAAGGCTCAAGAAAACGATTGGGTTTAGTTATGCTGGTCTGATTGGCTCTCAAACGAAGGCAGATTTAAGCATCTGATAGGAAAATGTTTTTTTGTCATGCAAATAAAAATAACATCATGAGAAAAGTTTTTGGTGCGTTCCTTTTGTAAGAGAGGGTCTTGATGAATGCGAAAAATATCTTTTTGACTGCTCACTTTTCATCCGTATGCTTTTATACTCAGATAGGTTACCCAAAGTTTATCAAGTAGGTAATTGTTAAAATACATGGCGCGAGTTTCTAACACTTTTAGCATTTAAAACAGATTAAAATTTCTCTGTTGAAAAACGTCTTATTGTTACTGTCTCTGATTCAGTATTTTTTTCGTCTCTATTTGAATTTTAGCGGTGCCTACCAATCACTTGTCGCCGATTAGACTATCATTCTGTTAGTTTAAGAGTCTTTTCGACTACCCAGGATCCTTTGCCTTGTACCTTATCTGTAGACAAGAGTCTTCAGCAAGGTTAGGTTAAGGTTAAGTGATTTCACACAGACAGACCAAGCTAATTTTGCAAATTTACTTTCCCCAGGTGATTCTTCGAGACGCAGGAAACCCAGGGGAATGTATTTACTTTATAAGATCTGGTCAATGTCAGGTGGTGCGAGAAATGACTCTTGTACGAAGAACGCCTCCGTTAGCCAAAAGAAGGCTCATTTTACCACCATTGGAAGCTGAAGGCGATAACAGCCACATCTTCAAAATCAAAAGTTACGATTACGTTAGAAAGCATTTCCTCGTTGTTTGTCTCTTTGGTAAAGGGGATTACTTCGGTGTTGGAGAAGATTTCACTAAAATGAGCATTATATCAGTTAATAAGGTAAGAAAGTATATGTGGGTGAACGTAAAAATCGCGGCGAGTGGTGACGGAGCTGTATTGCGAAGGAGCAAAGTGCTTTAATTTGAAGTTAGGAAATAAAGCTATTTTCATTTGAGTGTCGAAAGTAGTCCGAGATTGCATTGGTTGTATTTTATTTCGCCCTTTCATTGATCCTCAAAACTCGCCCCTCCATCAATCAGTTGCAAAATAAAACCCTCGTTTTCTCGCGCATGGGCAGTTTGGTTTTTTTTACGCTTATTGCCTCTTGAAGGTGTTTTCTTTCTTCGATTGGTCCTCGTGATTACATTGGTTTTGGTTTTGCGACACTCAATCAAAAAGCGCTCGATATTCTTCGCTCTATATATGTCTTGAATTCATGTCCCAGTTTCACGCATTCCGTTTTGTCCAAATGAAACAATGAATTGATTAAAACGAAGCCACTGTCTTCACGTGGCACACATTTCCCTCTTGATATGAAACCCCGCTGCTAATGATCAAAATTTTGAACACTTCATTAAACTGACCATTTTAGGTGGAAATCGTTTTGGTTCAAAAGAGGTTCAAGGAGCAGTTTCACTATCAGTATTGCTGGTCGAAGGGATCGCTTGTTTATCTTCGTAAAGATACCACGTCTCGAGCCATCAAGATTAAGGATATCACGGACCTGCACCGATTAACGAATGGACGTGAAGGCTAAGTATTCATGTTGATGTAGAGTTGTTTGTCTGTTTTTAGATAATAAGTATGAGTGTTAGCAAGAAACGTGTTCGTTGTACAATTAAATCTACCCTAAGCGAACTTCCATACGCGAATGTTGAAATTATTAGAGCTCATGGACAGTTTAATAACATTCTCAACAGTGACTTACCGACCAAGAAGTACTTAGACAAACTTCATAGTATTTATGATTTAGATTTGTTTCGCTTAAATACCGAATCAACATTAAATCCCGACAGAAACTTAAGCATGCAACAAATTAGATGTAAATATTTCTCACCCTATAGTTTTTCTATGTTTAAAGAGTCTTTGTTGGAATCAGATAGTCAATGTCCTTTCTCTATGCTTCATACTAACGTAAGAAGTTTGCGGAAAAACATTGATAATTTTCAAGTCCATCTTTTAGATGAACTTGACTACCAATTCAGTGTAATCGGTATTACAGAAACAAAAATTACAAATTCATCTGGGCTAGATTTCAATGCCTGCATACCAAACTATCAGTTTGAATATGTCCCAACACCTCTATCATGTGGAGGTGTTGGAATGTACATTAATAATTGTTTGAAATATAAGGTTCTGGAGAGAACATCTAAAGACGCTTTTCAGGCTTTATGGATCGAAATTGAATCCCTAAAGAGTAAAAATATCGTTTGTGGAGTGATTTATAGGCAGCATAATGATCCGGAACAATTCCTCCATTATGTTGACTTTACTTTAGAAAAACTTAGCTCCTCTGATAAAGTTGTTTATCTTATGGGCGATTTCAATATTGATCTCCTCAAATCTGAAATTTCCGATTACTCCCAAAATTTTTGTTATCTTTACAATGTTATTCGTTCTTCCCGGTAATTGATAAACCAACTAGAGTCTACAATAATTCTGCCACACTCATTGATAATATATTTCTGAATAGATTTGATCATAAAATTTCAGGTGGAAATATCGTGTCAGACATTAGTGATCACTACTCCCAATTTTGTTTTATCCACAGTCTTATACCAAAAAATTTTACTGCTAAACATAAAATTCGCGATTATTCCAACTTCTCTGAAGAATGCTTTATTAATGATGTCTTGGATACTGATTGGGATAACTCAATGACATATGGATCTGTAGACAAATGCTTTTCTTCCTTTTACAATAAATTTAACAAGCTCATTAATAAACACGCTCCTCTCAAAATCTTATCTAGGCGCAAGGCTAAACAATTTTCCAAACCGTGGATAACTAAGGGCCTACGTAAATCTATCAAAATAAAGAATAGACTCTTTTATTCAGGAGATATCTCAAAATATAAGCTGTATAGGAATAGAATTGTTACTCTTTCTCGTCTCAGTAAAAGATTGTATTATGAAGCTTACTTCACTACAAATCTAAGAAATGTTAAAAAAACGTGGGAGGGATTAATGAACTATTGAACAGACAGCGTAACAGAAAAACAGTATCAGCCCTTCAACGCTCTAACAACTCTGGAGTAACACAAAAAATCCGTCTGAAATAACCAATATCTTTAATCAGTACTTTGCGTCTATTGGACCGCGGCTTGCACGCAATATATCACCTTCCAGGATAAATTTCCAGGACTACCTTGTCGGCACTAATCACTTTAAGTCTTTCTTTTTTGATCCCGTCGTTCCATCCGAGGTGGACTTGGAAATCTTGGCTATACCCAGTAATAAAGTATATGGCCTATATTCTTGCCCGGTTCATCTTTTAAAATCTGGGCGCCATATCCTTTCTCCACTCTTAGCTGCCATGATGAATAAGTCTATCTCAACGGGTATTTATCCCCATCTTTTGAAGCATGCCAAAGTAATTCCTATCTACAAATCGGGAGACGAAACTGATCCATGTAATTACCGCCCAATTTCCCTCCTTTCTGTCTTCAATCGATTATTTGAGAAATTGATGGCTAAACGTCTTAAATCACATTGCGAAAAAAAAACGGTATCTTTTTTTACTTCTCAATATGGATTTAGAGACAAGTGTTCAACCCAACATGCAATTTTAGATATCTTAAGCAAAATTCAAACTAATATTGATGCAAAGTTATTCTCTTGTGGTATTTTTATTGACCTAAAAAGGCTTTTGATACGGTGGATCACTCAATCTTACTGCACAAATTATATCATTATGGAGTCAGAGGAATAATTAATAACTGGTTCTCTTCGTACTTGTTGAACAGGAACCAGTCGACTCAAATTGGTTCAACCGTGTCGAATATAGAAGAGATAGTTTGTGGTGTCCCTCAAGGGTCTGTACTTGGCCCCTTCTCTTTTTGATTTATGTTAACGACATTTACCGTTGCTCCCAGATTTTTGAGTTTTACCTATTTGCTGACGATACTAACTTGCTTTATTCAAACAAAGATCTTAAGGATCTTGAAAAAGTTGTTAATGATGAACTCGCAAAAGTGGGTGACTGGTTGGACGCAAACAAACTTTCTCTTAACACTAGTAAATCTAACTTTGTTATTTTCCATCCTTACCAACGCAAATTGGACTACATAGTTCACTTGAAAATTTATAATAACGATCTTAAAAAAAGTGTATCTCTAGAACAAAAAACTTTTGTGAAATATCTAGGAATTCTGATAGATAATAACCTCTCTTGGAAGTATCATATTGATTATATCTCATCTAAAGTTAGTAAAGGAATTGGTATAATTGCCAGGTTAAGACATCTTGTCCCATTTGCCACACTTCTTAACATCTACCGCTCCTTAATTGAACCCTATATCTCTTATGGTCTTATTGCCTGGGGACAAGCTGCTAACACTCATTTAAATAAGGTTCTCATTTTACAAAAACGTGCTCTACGACTAATGTATTTTGCGGATAGCAAATCTCATAGTGCCCCGCTATTTGTTAACTCCAGAATCTTACCAATAACTATGCTCTATTCTCATTTGGTTTCCTCTTTGATGCATGACATTGATAATCACCGTGCCCCGTCTAATATTTCTATGCTCTTTATCCACTCCGAGCAGGTTCATCACCATTTCACAAGATTCTCAGCAACGGCTAATCTGTACGTTAAAGCGTCTAGAACTAACCAACTTTTATTTTCTTTTGCTAGAATAGGTGTAAGATTGTGGAATAGCATCCCAAAAGAACTTCGTATTAAAAACAGAACCCCGTTTAAGCGTGAACTTAAAAATCGCCTGTTAAAACTTTTGGAAATTGAGGAGATGAATGTTGATATACGCTGCTCTGAAATTTGTAAATATCTCTTGATAAAGTAACTCTTCGTTTAAGTCTTGTTTCAATTGTATTATATATCTTGATAACTTTGCAATTGATTATTTAATTATTCAACGGACTTAATTTTATTTTATTTTATTTAACAATTGTATTTTTATTAATGATTATCTTTGTTTAATTGTATCGGTATGTGATCCTTAGCAGAGACAGCACTTGTTTTAGAAGGGTGGCCCGCCTAGAATAGCTTGCTAATTGCGGGTCACCTAGGTCTGTGATAATATTGTATTGCTAACAAATAAAATTGAATTGAATTGAAATTGAAAAATTGAATTGAATTGTTCCAAGACATGTAATGGCTAAACACGAGAAAGGACGCATATTAGAGGAGATGAAGGATAAACTCAACAAACAACTGCCCTCGAGGAGAGAGGTTTTTCGTAGTTTTGTAGCAGGGGAAAAATGGCGACATTACAAGTTAGGCATACGGAATGAACTGCGGACCAAGAAATGGCTGTTGAACCCAACAAAATTACAGGATGTACCCTACTCAATCCAAGAGCAACACTTGTATTAACATTTTTTTAAATTCACTTAAACGAGAAGCGTTTACAAGTTATAACCTTAGATTGATAAATCGAATTAATCTTTTAAATAGTATTTGACAATACGAGTCATTTGTGATAATTTTCCTCAATATGATTCAATTTCCAATACGATGAAAATAAATTTAGTGGATTAATAAAAATAAAAAAATAAAAAACAACTTAACGAGGTCAGCAAAACAATGCTTTTTGAAAGTTTGGACTAAGTTTAAAACTTTTGCCACAAATACAATGTAACTGCAGCTTATTTCTTGGGATGGCTTCGCATTCCAATCACGGATTCCTTATGCCTTGGATCCAGGCCTGCTAGGGCTCATACTCAGACCCCCCTCGTCCCGAGGCGAAGAAACACTGCATGCTCCGAACTATTTCCAGTTGCGAAAGTTTGCTTGACACAAAAAGGGATGAGACCAGGGAAGCCTATGTTACACTTTTTGTCGCCCAAGCGCTTGCGCTCAAAAACAATTAGAGAACGACTAAAGGGAATAATATTGGTGGCTTTCGGCGGCTATTGAAGTGGAAAAGGGGTTTGGCTTTTTGTTCTTTCTCTATAGTCAATGCGTTTAGAAAATCTTATATAATTTCAGATGAGGGAAATCTTGAAACTTAATAAAGACTCAGTTTTTTTTTGATACAAAGGATTTTAAGGGCCCAAGACATATTTAAGATTGTTGGATTCAAAGTTTCTTCCCGTCATAATGTAGAAGGGTTTATTAAAAAGTATTCAAAAATAGCACCCCAGTGGTGAAATACATGTGAATTTACAAGTATACTTTAAATATTTAAAAAATACGACAATCTTACATTTGACTTTAAAATTAAAAGTCTAAGGGGACTGGGAATTACAAGAGTCAGTAGTTATATACCAATGAAAAACGCTTAGGTTTGCTTGACTACAAGAACTGGGCGTTAGACGCCATTGTTGGAAAGAAAGATTTTTTAAATCTTTCGGTCCGGCATTTAAAGAGTGATACATGGTTTTTGTTGCGCAACTCATAAACGTGGCAATCGGCGCGCTTTGGTGGAATAAGGTGGTACAGCCGTGACCCAGGCACACAGATACCGTCCCAAACTTTCTTGCAGAGTTCGTCTCTTCTCACATTTAAGCGAGTGGAGTTTGCAGCCACAATGGCGTCTTTGTAGCTCAGCGCCGGAAATAATATACGCAGAGCTCTTTTCTGAACTCTTTCGATCATGTCCTTGAGGTAAATTGGTAGGCTAGTAGACCAAGTGACGCAAGCGTATTCGAGGACCGATCGTACCAAGGCATAAAATATGTTAATAAGGTCTTCGGGTGGAATTCCGGACCGCTTGAGCACTCTTAAGATGTAAAGACGTTTTGAGGCTTTGGAGACAATCTCACGCACGTGCTCATTCCACCCAAGAGTGTCGCTGATAGTGACTCCAAGGACCTTGTGTGAGGAGACCCGTTCTAAGGGACGTCCATTGACGCACAAAGGGCCAAGATCTGGCCGTGTTCTAAGCGAACAAATCACAAGTTCCTTGCACTTCTTTGGGTTGAGGTTCATATTATTGCGCGACGACCACTGTGCAATGGCGTCAAGATCTTTCTGAAGGGACGATGTACCGCCTGATGGGATGACCTCGGATATTGTTAGGTCATCTACATATTTCCAGTGGCTCGATAGTAATGGAGTTTCAATCGCGAGATCGTTAATCATCAGGAGGAACAGGATGGGGCCAAGCTTAGTGCCCTGCGGGACTCCAGCGTGCACGGGCAACCAAGGGGATACAATGTTCTTAATCTTAACAGCTTGGCGACGGCCATAAAGAAAACTGCAAATCCAACGGATAATAAAACCACGGACCCCAAGGTGGATGAGTTTATTGACTAAGATAGTGTGGTCAATATGGTCAAAAGCCTTACTAAAATCCAGGAAGCAGGCCCTTAAGAACATCCCTGGTTTGTCAATAGAGGACAACCAGTTGTGCATCATATCCAACAGGCAATAGATGGTTGAAGTTCCTTTGAGGCAGCCGAATTGGCTGAAATCGATGAGGTGCACAACATCCTCAATTAGCCATTCAACTACGAAATCCTCCAGGACTTTAGAGACGATTGCAGTTAGGGAGATAGGTCTTAAATCTTCCCTACCGGTTATGGGCGTAACCTTGGGTACCAGTGTGACATTAGAGTCTTTCCATGCAGTAGGGAAGGAGCCTGATGCAATAGAGGTGTTGAATATTCGCGTGATCGGCTCAGCGAGCTCAGCAGCATATTCTTTCCAAATACGAGTCGGAATCCCATCAGGCCCAGGGGCCTTAAAGGCGCTGATGGCAAGTAGCTTTTGTAGACCCTTTGTGTCTCGATTACGGGCGGTTGAGGGGATGGTAAGTAGCAGGGCAGTGCACTTGTATCAAGTGGCTTAATGTCAGATATTACAGATACAAAAACTCATTAAGGCGTGTTGCGAGAGTCGCGCCAGAGATAATTCTGCCTTCCTCGTCAGTATAACTGAGTTCGTTAGGGCTGCTAGCCTTCCCTGCAAGCTTATTCACCATACTCCACCATTTCCTCGGGTCAGTGCTCTTGAGGTTATTAACTTTGTTTTTATAGAACTCGCATTTCCGGCGGGTGATAACCTCTCTGACCTTATTTCTAAGGCGACGCCATTTCTCCTCCGGGCCATTTAGATAGGCGCGTTGGCGCTCTAATATGAGAGCCTTAATCTCAGGTGACATCCAAGGCTTGTCCATTGGATGAATCTTCACGTATTTGGACGGAAAGTAGATATCGCTGGCTGATGAAAGATCCTTAGTAAATGAGTCAGTGAGAGAGTCAACTGATGGTGAGTCACCGTCTACTTCTAAATCACTGAACCAACGGTGTGAACACGCCCACCTCCCAAAAGCGTTTATTGCCGACTGAGGAAAGCGACGCATCGGGATCCTTTTCTTTTCAACGCACAGCGGGTTTAGTTGGCTCATTGAAAGCGGATTCCAGTGAACAGAGCTATGGTCCGAAGACCCTAATTGTGCGCTGACAATTGGTTCGCTATAGTATTCACTAAAATCCGTTAAAATAAGGTCTAGTATGCTATTGCCCCGAGTGGGTCTGATAACTACTTGTTTTAGGTTATGATTGGCTAACATGTCTGAGATGTCCTGGGTGTTAAAATCGCCTAATAACACTACACCACAGTCTGGATAAGAAGTCTTTACGGAGTCTAGTGTTTCTATGATGTACATTGTGCGATCTCGCTGCACTTGCGCAGAGGCCACAGGAAAATACACCACCCCACATATAATACCAGATAGTGGGCGTGGTAGACGATGAGGGCGTAGCCATAGCCACAAACACTCGTGTTCTGGAGACTCCAAGTCAGATCTACGCTTGAAAGGTATCTCTGAAGACACGAACGCGCACACGCCACCCCCTATTCGGTTGTGGCGGTCACGTCTCGCGATGTTGTAACCTGGAATGGTAAGGATGTTATTATCGATGTAGTCATGCAGCCAAGTCTCCGTAATAATTGCAATATCCATGTGAAACGTTAAAAGCTGAGCAGTCAACTCGTCCAGTTTGTCCCTGACCGATCGAGCATTTGCCATGTAGAAACTTGGGAAGCTGTAATTGGGGCGTTTTTGAGAAGTAATCTTAGTTAGATTGATTACTTTCACTGCTCGTTGACGATTTACTGGTTTACTGGGTCCACGCACTGCGCTGCGAGGTGTGATCCTGACCGGAATCGATCGTGCGTCCTCTCCTATTGTTCGCGGAACAAAAGGACAGCTACGAGAATTAACATAATCACCAGTAAAGATGGAGACACAATTATTTAAATTTCTTGATCTTGAGTTGTAAATATTCCTGGATTGACAGGGTCTTGAAATCACAGGAATCGGCATGTGTTTTTGAGTGAAGGTATTCCGAAAGCGTAGAATGCCCAGGTCTTGGAGTCGGTGTTTTAATTCAGGACGCAAAGAGACGCTATTAATAGAGGCAGCCAAATTACGCAAAGCCGAAGGAGAATACGCAATTGTTGGTCGGGTTCGGTCAGAAGTCCTTTGCTGGTCTTGAATTAAACAGGGTCCTGGTAGAGGGTGAACGTCACCACTTCTAATGATGTTTTCTAGTCCGACGGGCCGCAGGACAAACGCTGCTTCGGGCAGACATATCATAACAGGCCCATGTTTAGTAGTCTTCTGAACAGCGAACTTAACTCGATGTTTCCGGCGAAATTTAACCAGTTCCAGTTTGAGAGATGGTCCGACTGGCAGGTTAGTATCTTTAGCCGTCCTGTAAATCAAGCTGGTGAACCTAGGCTCCGCTAGATGGGCTAGAAGAATAAGAAATACGCAGAGCCTAATGACGGTGCGTGTGTCCGCCATTAGACCCCAGTCCCCAGTGGAGATTATGTAAGAGAATTTTGATTGATTGACCTGTGATGACATCACCACGATGGATTGATCCACAGTAGTCAGGGAAACTGATGTAGAGGTTTGCATCTTTTCTTGTCACCTTTATTTTCTTCTGGTTTTCAAGGTAAGCCTGGTTTGTTGCGTCTGAAGTAAATATCAACTAAATATTATGACGTATGAAGTGTTTTTTAAGCAACTGTTTATAACAGGTGCTGAGCAGAACGCACGGGTTGTTTACCTGTCATACGAATTTTTCAGGGATTGACGACCGTTCAGTAGGATTGATCTGTTATTTTCTTGATTAATGTGCATGTAGATGATTTTCAATTGACTGTAGTCTTCGAAAGCTGCAATTTCTATATAAATATTTTAGAAAGACTTGAAAAAGTTGTGAAAAAATTATCTGCTGCATGAGTCTGTCTTCATGGCATCAGAAAGTATTAGTCAATTTGTTGTTCATTGAGCAAGGATATGAATAAAACTTCAAACGTGATTTTCCTTTTTTCCTCGTCGAAAATTTGATTATTCGCCGACTGAAGCGGTTCTCTGAATTATAGCCACCTTTTTCCAGGTCCACTGACGGTCTGCGTAGCAGTCAAGTAATATTTATGAATCATTTCTGGGTTTTTACATTCGCCTGTGCAATTTTCATAATCGTACACTCTGCGCCGAACTGGGGCCCACTGCCCAATGAATATTTCCAAGAATTCTATGACCATTACAGTGAAAATATGCAAAATCACATCGAATATCTCAAGCATGTACACGAGGCACACCATGAAAATCAACACAGGGTGCATGAAAAATTCCAAGAGAACTTCTATGACGTAAACGAAAGACAACAAGAAGGATCAGAAAGTGACCAGGAGGCGTATGAAAGATCACAAGAGGACCTGAGATCTGCAGACAGCGACAAGAGAAGTACACTGCATGGACGAGGTAATTAAGAACATCAGTTTGTTCATTCATATCTTTCAACTATTTATTTGGTGTGGCTGTCGGACACTAATTCGTACTTAGATCCCCTGCACATTAAGCTCAAAAGTCGCTTGGTCCCAATGACGTTTGGGCGTGACACCAGTGGGTTAATTATAAGCTAGTGCGAAAGTTATTAGTCATGAAATCATAAAAGAAAAGTTTGAACCTTCATTACATTCATTTTTAAATCACTGGTGATCCTTGTAATTTGATTGGTTCTTATAGCCGCGATTTATTTACGAATCACATCATTCTTTTGCTCTAAATCGCATCTTTTTCTCAGCCAATGAGGAAACTCTACTGAAATACAACGGACAATTGCTTGTTAAAGAAACCAAGTAAATTTCAGGAAAAAAAAAAAAAAACTTTTGCACTTTTCTACAAAACAGCTTACTACTGGATGAACAAAATATTTTACCGACTAAAAGATCGTGTATCTTAGAGACTGAATTTTGCGATTCAAAATGGATGTAATAAAGTAGTCGTTGAGCTTTGTGTCACGTGCTTTTGGTCTGAAATCATATTTACGATTTCAAATCACGCATATTACCTAATAATACAAATTTTAAAAAAGTAATTATAAGCATCCTGTTTGTATAGGTAATCACATGATTTCGAGTGCAATTTGGAATAAATAAGCACGAGTAAATTTTTTCAAAGACTAACAAAATTGCTCTTTTTCAGCTGCGGTGGCGAAAGAAAACCTACTTAAAACGCCGGCCATTGTTTCGCTCACAAAATTTCAAATTTTCAAATTTTGTTGCGACATCCAAGGCTCGCATTTGATTGGCTATCTGTGAGCTTCTTTGATTATTGACCAATCAGAATGTCTGATTTGTTTCTTTCTTTGCACTGAGTTAACCCTCTTCTGCTCTGAATTAACTCTCTTCTGCACTGAATTACCTGAAAACTGCATTTATCTTAACCAATCAGAACTAAGTAATTTTTCCATGTATATTATTAGTATAGGTAATCACATGATTTCGAGTGCAATTTGGAATAAATAAGCACGAGTAAATTTTTTTAAAGACTAACAAAATTGCGGGCAAGTGCAATTTGTGGTCTTTGAAAAAATTAACAAGTGCTTGTTTATTCCAAATTGCACGAGAAAAATCATGTGATTACGTGTTAATAATATACATGGAAAAATACCAGATGGTTTATCATAATTAAACATAAGCAAAGCGTGCGCATCAAGTGCAAAAAAAAAAATTATTCAAACCGTGCGTTCGGTCAAAACAACCGCGTAGGATCAAAACAATAATAGGCAATGATATCTTCACATCTTTAAGGTGCAAGAAAGTTCAAAGTCCGACTAAACAGTTCAAGGAATAGTTCAGTCTGTGTCCGAAGCACTTTCGATGCAATGGAATTGTCGTTTCCGAGGTTTAACCATGTTTGTTTTAAATTTCGGCGTTGGATCGCTCGAGCAAAGTGTTAAGCTGGGTCGGCTCGTAATTTTCGATTTCCTCGGCAATTCCCTTCTCATCACAACACAATTTTTTCCAAACAGACAACCAAAAAGCAGTGCTTTTTACAATGTTTTCGTTGTTTAAGCTGTTTTTCAGCTCCGGTGGCGAAAAAAAACCTACTTAAAACGCCAGCCATTGTTTCGCTCGCAAATTTTCAAATTTTGTTGCGACATCCAAGGCTCGCATTTGATTGGCTATCTGCGAGTTTCTTTGAGTATTGACTAATCAGAATGTCTGATTTGTTTCTTTCTTTGCACTGAATTAACCCTCTTCTGCACTGAATTAACTCTCTTCTGCACTGAATTACCTGAAAACTGCATTTGTTATAACCAATCAAAACTGAGTAATTTTTCCATGTATATTATTAGGCTCAAAACACGTCAGTCATCACAAACAATGCAGAAAATTTAAATTGAGTGCAGAAAGTTGAAATTAAATTGATGGACGAGTAAGATGCGAAAGCATAACAAAACAAAATAGCGGACAGGTGAGGACAAAGCAACAACGGTTTAATTCAAAGTTTGAGGGGGAATAAAAAGACCCAACAAATTAAAAAGAAAACAACTGGTTCAAAGTCTGGCTTCAAAAACGGATATGAAAGTATGAATCGTAGCCCCTGAATAAAATTCTCGAGGAGTTTTACGCAATAGTTCGTACGAAAGACGGGGAAGATTACGAGCGTGATGGCTTTAATGTAATGCGTGTAATGAGTATTGCTGTCGACTGATACATAACAGACATAGGATATAAACGCTCAATTATTCTTGAGGAAGGTTTTGAAAGTTTGAAGCAAGTTGTAAGGGGAAACCTCGGCAACAAGGGAAAGACAAGCGGTCGAGCTGGTGAGCCATGACAAAAAATAAGAACAAACAAAAAGGAAAACAGAGTCATAACTTTGCTTGTAAATTATTAGCTATTAATCACATGACTTTTCTCGTGCAATGTGGGATAAATCAGCACTCGTATATTTTTCAAAGGCTAACCAAATCGCACAAGCCCAAAAGGCAAAAGCAATTTGTTGCTGAATTATCCCAAATGCACTAGAAATCATGTGACTGCTTTTACAAATTGCACTCAAATCAGTTCAGTTACCATTATTTACAAATTTCCCAAATCCAAGACTCTAGCAGCTTACGCTTCAACATTTGAGATAGAAAACCCGTGTAGGTTAAGCACCCAAATGCTCGCAGTGGTCTTAGTCGAATCGAGTCCCTTGTGAAGGAACGAGATTACCGCGACTTTTCTTTTTTTTTTTTGATAAAAAACAATGTCTCTTGTCGAATATCTTATTTTTCTTTTTCAGACAATCCACGAATCGGCGAAAGAGAGGCTAAGTCCTTCCTTCGACGAACAAACATCGTAGTATAAACAAGCAACCAAATAAAGCCACATGAAAGACTATCCTCACCTGGTACATCCTGTTGCACGTGACAACATCAAATGCTACTCACACATTCAAATAACTATGTGAATCAACAATAATGATTTATTGTACTAATTCCTTATTTTGCGCTCCAGAAACAGTTAATAACGTTGAAGAAAAAGAACTGAAATTAAGGACACATTTATGTAAATACATATATATATATATATTTATGCATTTTTTAAATAAAAATTCATGTGGATACTACTAACAAAACTTTCTATGAACATAAGTCATGATAATATTTATGCAGTGAATAAATCAAACACACTTTGAATCTAAAATCAAAAATAAAATGAACTCGTAGTTGAACGCGAAACCTTTAAATTTGTTTTCCCTCACATCATTCTAAGCATCACCAACCAATCACAAAACAAAATCTCTTCAAATTTTATGATCACTGACCACTTCAGTGTTTTGGCTTTAGATGTTGTGTACTTTTCGAACAGTCATCTCCTTTATCATCTTTAAAGCATTAACAGTTAAGGAGGATTCTGCAAATAACTTGACATGTGGCCAGAATCAAATGCACTCTGGTGACTTGTAAAGTTGTGAGCAAACCCTACAAGAGTTTAGGATTTGTTTGCTCAAAACCTGAAATTTGCCATCACTATTCAAGTTTCCCATCTAGTATTCTGTGACCTTTCTTCTTTGAAATGGTAAAGTTTATAAATTTTCTATGTCGTGATTTTCTAACTAGCTTTGGTTTGTTTGTTCTCTTTAAAATCTGAACTTTTATTTTCAATTAGAATTGGAAAAATAAAGTAATAACACACAAAATGTTTATGTTCTCCTCGACCAAAAGGGCACAACTTTGAATATCAGACACGCGGTAGCAAAATGTTGTTAACGGCGACATCATCTATGCGTCTCTCCTCCAATAGAACATATGTAAGAGCCATTCAAATGAGTGTATGATTTAATTTTTAAGTAATATGTGACCCTTACTACACGGGCTGACTCAAGTCCATAGGCTATTATAAAGACGGGACGATGGTCAACTGGGAGCGTCCTCCCTAATCACAACGAGGCAGCCAAAATGTCATCCATCTCCCGTAGCTGGCAATACCCAAACTGTTTCATAATGACAATACTGAAAACCTAGGCCTGTTCACGATATTGTAGCACATAACTTAAGGCAGATATTTAAGGTCTGATCTGTCATGAGTTGTGACGAGTGCAATTAAGTTGGACTTTAGCACATCAAAAGGACTTTGCCTAAGACGTCGCTTTTGCACACATTTCCCTTAAAAAATACTAAATACTGGCAATATCTATCTCGATCTCTCTACCATGATTGAAAAGATGAAGTTGTTCGTCAAAGCCGAATTTAACATGTCTCGAGTTCGTTTTAAAAACCATTCAAAAGAGATGTCATCGAAAAAACAGCGGGCGTGTTAAAGCTTTTAATGTAGAGTGCTACAACTAACAATTTCGTGTGTTCTTAAAGCTACTCGGGTGAGGGTTTTTAGATTTTTAGGCTATGTTCAGTGTACACACATGTATGTTCATTTTAATTACTGGTTTTGCGCCTTACTTTAGAAAAAAAAAAGACAATCTTTTGCTGGGCGAACACTTCGCAAATTCTGTGAGGAGATTTAAGAGAAGACTATAGATGTTGTTTATTGGTCACGAGTTACTCAGTTAAAACTACTAGAAAAGCATTTGCACAATCGATATTGATATATTAAGAGCGAGGGAAAAGAATTATAACTGGATTCTGTTTAAAAATAGCCACTCACTTCACATTTTAGATTTTTGGGTTTAATGCTGCGGCCTACCTGAATGAAACTAGTGAGCGAAACGTATCAACACTCAAACCCGTAAGCTGATCTCCAGGACAGTTCAAATAGGAACAAAAATACTGATTTGTTGACCCAGTGATTCATACAATTGATTTAAGCCGTTATTGAACTCGTCCTGTCGGCCTAAATTTTCTTAAATATGGAAGATGTTTGTTTCCAGTCGCTGCCAATCCTCTCCATCTCCATCCCTTCCAAGTCCCTTTTGTTTATTTTTCCTATTAATCTTTTTGATAGTATAACCAAACTTATATTTGCGATTTCCAACAAAAAAGGACATCATAAATTATACAATTATGGATAACTGTGATTTATGCGCGAGAAAAAGTTGAGTGGAAACACATTCACACAAGAGTCAACTGAGCTCATCTGTAAAAGCCTCTGGAAATCAGCTAATATTTGACCCATTGATCCAAAGGTTTACTTGATCTTCATTTGGTATCCAACTCAACACATGACATTTCCCTCACCAACACACGTTTCAGCCTGCAATTACCCCGGTAAGTTTTGATCTTTGACGTCTGCGTTTGACAGAAATCATGTTAAAAACTTAAGAATAAAACTCTCTATCTATTCTGAAAAATTAACAATTTTTTTAAATTGCAGTTTGTTCCATGGAAATTTTGGCCCTATTCATGATGCTATCGTCGCACTAGCGAAAGCTTCTTTTCTGATTGAAACAGCTTCTAACTAGAGCTCATTTCGACTGAGTTTTAAAAAACCCACACAAAAGTGACCGCGACGGCCACTGAAATCAAAGGAAGAGTATTCGGAGGTACTTAAACAATTTAATTTCAAAAAGATAAATCACCTAACTCATCGCTGAATTCTGTTTCAAATTGGCCTCTCGCCTAACTTCTTTATGCTTGAGTTCAATACCTACTTGACTAACACTAAAATAATGGGGGAAACCATTAAGAAAGGAACCATGTACTAATACTAAGATAAAACTCGAACTCGCAATAGAAAACTCTGATATGATCAGAGGGATTCAGCCTATTCGTAGCCTTTTGAAAATGACCTCGAAGGAAGATTTGAGTCAAAACACCAACAAAAAATGGATGACTTGTCCCAGATATTCATGCAATGCTCCTTAGTTGATAATGATTTTAGCTCACTCTGCCGGCCTAAACTACCCTCATTATGGGAGAATGTCTGTCGCAATTAGTTCCAATTCTAAAATCCTTACAATTAGGAAAAACTTAAGCACTGACCTAGGTGGCTCTCCACCAAGTCGCCTACGATAAAATTTAACGGGTCGCTTCGTGAGAGTGAGTTGATCCTCATTAGACACTGAACTCACAACGACCAACAAAATTAAAAATCTTATTGATAAGAAAAAGAAATTATTTTCTTTCCATGCGAGTAAAAGTCAAGTGGAAACACTTGCGCACGTAAATCGTGATTGTCTGCCTTTTTCCACTTTGTTTCTGTCACATCGTTCCCACTACAGGCATTTGTCAAACTTTCCCCGTCAACCAAACATTGTGGCAAACATGTGCCATGTTAAACTCGCTTGCTAATCCACTGATTTACTTCTAGAGGCAAAAAGCAATAAGGAATTTTATATTTAGAATAAGAACCCAAGTTTTGAAAACAGTTTTTGCTAATAGAGGGGAAGATGGAGGGGAAAGTTGATTTCCGAAAATCGTAAAAAAGATAATGTTACGACAACAGATCTTATCCTGAAATGGCTATACACTCCAATGTACTTCTCAGGTCAATATTTACTCAGATGAGGTTTATTTGAGGCTCTGCAGGGTTAAAACTTTACGCTTACTCCATCTGCCAATACCACCAGATTTTTCAGTAACTGTGACTTAGAGAAAGCAAGTTTTTGGTCAAGGGAGACAAATTGAAAGCGTACCAAACATAATTCTCCCAAAACTCGGTTTAAAAGAACCGAGCAAATTTACTCGTCAAGAGTGCCATCAATTTAGCATTCTCAGTGATTTTTCTTTCCTTAAATTTTGACTGCCTTTTGTTTCGTCTCTTTTTTATTTTTATTGAAAGAAATGCTTAGTTTCTTCGTTTTGAAATTATTGATCATTCATCTGCCAGTAAAAGCGTTTTCATCGCATGCTGGATACTTGATTTTTAAGAATGAGTGATATCTATCTCTTGAATAAACTGTTAAACGCTATTTTCTAGCCTATTTTAAAGTGTACAAATATTTTCTTATATTTAAATTACTGGTTTCGCTGATGTGTGCATGCCTAACCTTGTGCCCCCGGTTACTTAATGCCTAAATTTGTGTTCACATTGCAATTGCTACACATGCTTAATATAGCAGCTTACACGTACAGACTTATAATTACTTTTCTTGGCTTTATAAATTTTATAGATATGGTACCTCGCTGCGCGCACGCTTCGAATTGCGCTTTAATTCACATTCATCCTACTTGTTTGTCATACGAAATGGATGGAAAGTAAATATTTTTTCACAAATCTTCATCAGAGGGATTTTGAGTGAGAGCAAACAACCGTTTGACAATCGTAAGTGACAGATCACTTTTTCTGCATTCATAGCCTCCTTCGTTTTTGTTTTAGCATCGCTGAAGTATCAAAGCTTTAACTTGGTGGAAAATAGTTTTCCTTTTCACAAGTTTCTCCGCCCCTTCTGTTAAGATATACGGGTGTATATCTATATGTATAGATATAGGTGTATATGTATAGATATACATATATATATATATATGTATATATATATATATATATATAGTTCTGTCTGACGAGCGCGTAGGCGCGAAACTCAGAGTAACAGAGAATCGATGCGTCCTCTTTGACTCTTTCACTCATATATACCCAGCTCTGCTACCACAGCATTGAGCACTTTATGCCAAGGTAGACTCTACCCCCACATTCATATATATAAATATCTATATATATATATATATATGTATATGTATAGATATAGGTTGTGTATAGATATAGGTGTATATGTATAGATATAGGTGTATATGTATAGATATAGGTGTATATGTATGTGCGTAGGCGGATTATTAAAAAATTATAACTTTTCGTTTAGGTAATTATTTGAGTATGTGAGTAACATTTGATGTTTTCACATGTAACAGGATGATCAAGCTCAAGATAGCCTCAAAAAGGAGTGAACTCCACTGTAACTGAGTTAGGTGACTAATTTGGAAACTTGAGCACTTGGTAAATACACCTCAGCTTGTAATTCTGATGATTAAAGTTTGCTGGGGTAATTGAAATGTCAGTCCCCATGCAGGAACCATCCACATGACCTGTACAGTCATATGCTTTGAGATAACTTTAGAAAAATGCATTTGTGTCAGTAGAAGTATTTTAAGTACAGTACCACCTAGTAACAAAAATCAATGATTTTCTGGTAATTGACCTCTTTTTGCAATGATGCATAGGGTCTGATGATTGTGATGTATACCTCTTAGCTTTCAAACTTTCAACTTTGTATTAATTGTAACTGTTTACTATATCTATTTCTCAAAAGTTGGAGCAGTTGAGTCAATAACCTGACTTCCTTTGTTTGGAATTGTGTGATTATATACTTTTGCTGTGTAAATTACCACATTGTAACATGCAATATTATTATTAAGATTGCATTTAATACTCTTGCTCAAGCTTTCATTATTGCATGGTGTTTCTTACCAATGTTCATACCAAATGGTCACAAGATATGTGAGTTTTAAAGGGTGAGAATCTGGAAAAGCAAGGATCCTCCTTTAATTAGGACTGAAATTAATGGGGGCCTCCTGTTTTAATTCATATTATTACTTTGATCTGCCTCCTCCCTTGTAATAGGGACCTTAAGATCTGAGGACGGCGGATGTCTATGACGGCTGTCATGACCGAGGGGGGACTGGGAAGAGGTTGCCGTCGCAAGGCGCGAAAAATCCTTAAGAGACCAAGTCGAAGGCGCGGGCGGCATTGTTTACATATTTTCGATTTTTCTCATAAAGTACTTCAGTCATGGCTTCCTTTAGAGAGATTCGTAGGATTGTTCTACAAAGTTTTGATGATGGCGATATATCAGAGGACGAGTTCCTTCTTCTTTATAACGTTAACACATTCAAAAACCCAGATTTTCCTTATGAAAGTTATGGGAAATTTGACCTTAATGATATGGATGACAATGAGTGTTTACCCGAGTTTCGTTTTCGCAAGAGTGACCTTCCCGTCCTTTTTGAGGCCCTACTTCTTCCCAGCTACTTTACATGTCAACAAGGAATAATATGCGATGGAATTGAAGGGTTGTGTATCGCATTTCGAAGGTTTGCGTAGCCATGTAGACTCAGCGATTTAATTCCACGATTCGGCCGCCCGGTTCCAGAGCTAAGTATGATTTTCAGCCTTGTGGTTGATACAATTTATCAGGAACATAATCACAGAATACCTCAGTGGAATGATACACTCCTAAACCCAGGAAGAAAAAACGTCCAGTGTCTGTAACATTAAGTCTTTAATCAAGTTTATTTGAATCAAAAGTCTTAACATGAAGCTGATATAACATGGAAAACCTAACAATAAAATAAAAGCAAGTGTACAAAACAAAATCAAGAAACACATGCCTGAAATTGCTGAAAACTTCATTCATCTTGCACAGTACAAAATCAGGCCATGACTTAGTTTTCTTTTTCTAGAAGTTTTATGATAGTTTGAGACTGCTGCTGCTGCATTAGCGTGAACATCTTCTGAAAATTTTGCATTTGTTCTTGTTGCTGTTTAGTTTGCTGCAGCATGACCTGCAAATCCTGATGTTGCTTTTTGGACTGCTCCTCCTTCTTACTTTCAGCCTCTAGTCGCCTCTTCTGTAGCTGCATTTCTTCCATTTCCACTTCTGCATGAGGTCGTTCTTTTCTCGCAAATATGCCACCGTGTCACCACCACTTCGACATTTTGCTCTTGCCGCTGTTTCATTCTCTATCTCATCTTTCGTTTGTCTTTTCTGTGTCCCGCCAAGGTTCTGCATCTCATTTCCGCTGCTTCATCACTATCGAATTTCTTTTTGTTATTTTGCGCTGTTTCTTCAACCACAGCTTCTTTTTCTATCTCCTCAAGTGCTTTTTCAACGTCACTCAAATCTGTATCGATTCCTCTTTCCTTTTCTTCATCTCGCATCTTTGCTCTAAATTTGTCGCTCAAAAGCGTATATCGTTCTCTGACAGATCGCTTCGTCACTCTGAACTGGGGATGTTGAAGGCTGTTCAGATTGTTCGCTATTTTATCCCAAATTTGGCCCCGTGCAATGCTTCCTTTCTTTGCCTTGAATGGTTCAAGAACAAGAATCTCCTGACAAAGAATATTGTCATGTTGTTCAGTCCACTCCATGTTGGTTCTAAAGATAAAAATAAAATGTTAACGCCTATTTTATTTTTGTTTGTGTAGCATGTTGTTTGTATTTTATTTTTTACTGCAAGCAGAACCCTTTTTTGTTCACCAAATATGCAAGACACATTCACAAACATAAATAATCGAGAGATTATCATTTAATAAGCGTAACTCGTGTCACATTCATTGCTAAAAACGTGAAGAAAGGAGAGTAAGAGAACTTACTGAGCAATCTTCTTAGCACTCGTGTCGGCTGCAGCCACGACCTGTTTAGTGGAGAAGCAAATCAGGTCTCAGAAGAGTACGCAAACGAATTAAAAATATTATTGACTCCATAATGCGCAAAATATACGAAAATTATAAAAGATATTTATAAAAACACTGTAATCAACTCACGTTTTGTAAGAAACGGCAAACTGGTTGTTTTGACGTCGCAGACAACACAGCTACGGCGGGAATTTACGGGGAACGGCTACCGGAAGTGAGTAAACACGCAATCAAACTTCCGCTCGCCGTCGTAGACATCCGCCGTCCTCGGATCTTAAGGTCCCTAATGTTTAGGGCACATAGATGAAGAGAACATTTTTTGTATTTTGATGCATGAAAGTTAAATTAATTGGTATCCACATAATGCAAAAAGCAGACCATATCTTAATTTTTATCCTCATTTGGATATTTATCCAAATAACATAGTCACTATCAGTCTCATTCCCTCTCAATTTCCACTGAGCTTGTGGAAAGATGATAACCTTAGTATTTCTTTAAATGAAGAAAGGAAAGCTTCCCTCTTACCACAGATAAATATTTTGGGCATCATCAGTACAAACCTGGTTTAATTTGAAGGTGATTGTTCCAGGTAGGCTAACCTCAAAAATTAGTTGTGAAAATTTCTTGAACCTGTTGTCGTATGAATGTTTGACTCAATTTTACCTCACTAACCAACATGTAAACTGAATAAATAGAAACTTAAAATTTATTTGTTCTCCTTTTGAGGTGTGCATCAAAATTTCAAAGTCATCACGAGTTTGAACTACAGATTTAGAGGGAATCTGCATGTGTTTTCAACATATAAACCCGGGATTATGACTTCTTCGAATGACTTTACTTGTGTACCATAAAGGTACAGGCAGGTGGTGTAAAAAAGTTTGCTTAGCTTTTTCATTATTACACATTTCTTTTCCTAAGAATCATGTTTATCTAGCCCATGCTGAATTCTAATTTTTCAACCAAATTTTCTTTTCTTTTGAATATTCTTAGATCTCCTAGTATCAGTTAATATTTATGTCATAAAAATAATTACATGAAATCTTGCAGATGTATGGCACATTATTTTTTCCTCTGATCCTCCTAACATTTTATTATATGTAGGGATTGGTATTGGCTAAAAAATTTCAGTCAAATTAAAGTTTTGTGCACAACCTATGCATCAAATTTATATAATAAAATATTGTATCCTTCTTAAAACTAGTTTATCAGAATAAGAATGAGTTAACAGGTACAAGTGTGGCTTTCACAATGATAGTTTCCAGGTTTGAAAAAAGTCACTGCTTACTGAAATCCTCAGTTCCCTTGGCCAGACAGCCCAACCTCATCAAAACATTGCCAACAGGAGCAATAAGCAAATTGATGATACAGACAAGAGAACCTACACCCAAATACACCCTCCTTGATCCTGTTAGCTTATTGTGGACATGGAATTTCAACATGGCTTATATGCCACAAATTTTCCATTCCCTGATTAATTATTTTTTAATGGTGTTTACAAGTTGTGGAAAATGGTTGAGTTGAAATATAATACAAAGACTTGCCAGTAGATAGTCAAATGACTGAAAACTTTTTATATATCAATAAATTTATTGTTGCGTTTCATGTTGCAATAACTCCACCTTCCAGTAAATTCAATTAATGGCAAACATGAGAAAATACCATCTAAAACTTTTCAACCTATTTAATATAGCCAATAACAACATTAACTCAACTTTTAAACGAAAGAGAAAACTTGATTGATGTTTGGAATTGATTTCTATGACGTGGAAAGGAAATCCAGGTATTATCTCGCTTTTTCTTGTAGACATCCCCATTAAATGCAGTAACACCAAAGGTTACCGAATTAAATAATAGAAAATATGAGAAAAAGACGTCGTGTATTTCCAGCCAGAGGACAGTCATGAAACAATAGCCGAAAGAAAAAAAAGTTTAAAAAAATTACAGGTTCAAACATGAGTTGAAATTACTTTTCTTTTTAATCTTCTACGCTGAACAGAGGAGGTTGAAACGTTAGGGAAAAATGGTGGGGCAAGTAGTCATACCTGGAAACTTCAAGAGAAGATATAAGAGAAGCCCATACGATCCTGGCGTATTGTTTTACTGACTCACTGTGCTCACGTGTATACACTCCAATCGACTAGTGATGTCTTGACGCAAAGTTGTTTACCGTCGTTTCTTTTAATTTTGGCTCATTTTCCCAAACCGAACTTATAAGTCACGCTCAATAGAACATAATTTCAACTGATGCTGTCATCATACACTTCATCTGAAGAAGATAACATTCCCTATCTTCGAATGTTTGTTCAAACCATCAGGAACAACAACTAAGGTCCTAAGCTGTTGAAGATACCGCTGACTAGCATGCGTGTTTTAAGAACATCGCCCCCAGGTTCCAGACCTCGTCTGGTCTCTTATCCTCTTGAAGAAAATCCTCTACAGCCTGTGCTGACGTGTTTTATTACAGTTTTTATTTAGTGTAATGAAGGGCTGGAAAATAACTTAACAAGAGCTCTGCTTTTAGGCTTGGCTAAATCTATTTATTGTTTTTTTAGAGGGCACGGTAACGAATCCTGCAATCTGATTGGTTCTTTACCCGGTCAGTATTTTCCTATCTCTGCCCACGGGCCACGGTAACGCTTTCGTGAGTCGCCGAGCACATCCCAACTTTCGTTGTCATTTTTCATAAATATACCTCGTTTTCCGGCTGGGCAGTATTTTAAAGCAAACAAGTCGGTCACTACCTCAAGCCGATAAATAACTTATGAATCCTCTCTTTTCTCTCTATCACATCACTTTGGTTGACAGAAAAATATTGGTTTCAGAATGAATTTGTATGAACAATAGTGTCATTACGTTGGTTGACAAGCGGCCTAAAAACCGTCTGCAATTAATTTTAATCGTTCACAAAAAGTACCCAGAAAGTTAAAACGTGAGGTATTTGGTTACAGTTAAACTGAACGATGGAACTTTCATTAATTTAAAATCTGAATTTTCTCGAGAAAATTGTTAGTAGAGAAAGAGCGAGCAAAGTTTTAATTTAAGTTCTACAACAAATATACGCTCCCGGTGAGTCTTTCCAATTCCGTTCAATTTGGACATTTGTACCGTAAATTACACAACAGAAACTGAAGGAATTTTTTGAGAAAAGGCCGCATTAAATTCCCTTGTGTCTCGTTGGAGTGTGCCGTTCGAATTTAGTTTTTGTGAAGGAAAGACCAGATTTACACACGCCATTGCAGCAAACAAACGAGCAAACTCTCACAACTTCAAAATAAAAAGATTGAATTTACTCACAATTACTTTCCTCGCCGTTTACTTAATGAACAGAGGTAAATCTTCGTACATGAATGAATCGTCGATGAGAGTGAATAATACTTTCCGTTAGATCATTGACTGATTTTGAAGAAAACATTGTCGTGACAGTCCTTGCCAAACTAGTTCCGTTGTTTTTCAAATGCTCTTATGCTTTTTTTTTTCTTACGCGCTCTCTAATTGACAGGTGTCAGATTGTGACAGATACTTGTAAAAATAATGTTTCAAAGTTTGTTTGGAAGCCTTTTAAATCACCCTTATCGTTACGGAAATGAAAATGTTTCGCTGAGGCATCTCTCTTTAATTTGCATCACCTCTATTTTAACTACCATTTACTCGCTCAAAAATTGTTCAGTTTATGGAAGATTTTGCCGTATTTTCAACCCTAAATCATCCGGGTTCTTTCGGAAAGAATTTCGTTAAGTTTAAAAACAATAAATATGTTATTTACCGGCTAAGGGTCGGTCCGTACGGTGAAAAACTGTGACCTCGGTCTTGAAAATGCTGCCCGACGGCCTCGGGCAGTATTTTCAAGACCTCGGTCACAGTTTTTCACCGTACGGACCTCCCAGCCGGCAAATAACATATATATATTATATGAAAGTCATTCATAGGTATCGCAGATGTCATGGGTTCAAATCCCGTACAGGCTTTAATCTTTCAGGCCTTATTTTCACTACTGCGCAGGTTACTTTACTGCAAAGATCGTTTTCGTATTAATTTCTTGATCCGCAGTTCACTTACATGATTTTCATATGTTCACAGCGGTCATTAAAGAAGCTACACCAAAACACTGACGATATAACTCAGAATTATTGTTGAGTATTCCAACACGCATTTTAAACCGCCGGGGAACTCTTAACACAGCAAGCAATGATTCTGTAACCGATATTGTCTTCTTTGTTGTCAAAAATGATCCCCTCTCTCTCTAATGATCGGTTTTCTTTAGAGTCTTAATGCATCGAAGAGTTAATTTTCAAAAAGCTACACAGGATTGTTAACATATCACGTATCAACTAATATGTTCCAGGCTACTGTGAAGGTTGTAGTAATTACTACATCTGATGACAAAGCATGGAGTCTACAGAATGGCCAATATGCCTGAAAGCGAATCGTAACTTGTGTGCTTTTTCCTTTTGAAAGCAGATCGTGCACTGCTTGTATTATCTCACATTGTGCCGACAGCTGAATTTTAAATGCGGCGTGTTTACTTTGACTACTTTTGGTTTAAAGCGAAGCCATATTAAGTATTCAACCTTGTTTCAGGTAAAAGGTGTCGCTTGCGTGTCATGCACATAACTTATTTGCATGGTAATAGGATGAAAATCGGATCAACATCGGGTTATAGAACTACTTGCATTCGCCTTCTTATTGAAATCAGATTGATGTATGCTTCATGACAATCCTTCTTTTTATCAAGGAAATCGACTTAATGAACATTTATTTGTTTTAAATGTGTTTTTAAGCTTTGAGGGTAGATCATTCCCAAATTTCCTTTGTAATAAATTACTGAATCTGGACAAATGCCATCAACATGATATTTCTTTGGTGTTTTAGTCTAATTCAAAACAATTAATCGAACTATAAATGAGGGTTGCGAAAATGCCCAAAACCCCTCCTCACCCCCCACGATAAAACTAGGGACAAGCAATTAGAATGCTGTTCATTTGACTGGTTTCAAATCGTTTTATTTCAGAATATTCTACTTTAGTCTTACAATCTCTAAAAAGGAATAAATTAATAGTCGGTACTACTTCTGGACTCGCGTTGCAATGTAATGGCGCCTTTTCATAGTTTATCTACAAGCCAAGCGAGTGGACGTTTCATCTCAGTACATTCGCTCGTTAGCCTCCAGATCCGGGTCTTCTCTCTATCAAAAGAGACAAAAACAGTAATAGCTCGTCAGTGACAAATCAACTGATCACCAGAAATAAACCTTACAATGGATCAAGTCGTTTCCCCGCTCTGCAATTACCAATTTTTGATCACGTTGCATCTTTTAGTCGAGCGTAGCATAACACACTGACGGTTTTTAGATTGCAAGACGAATAAAGCTGACTTTTGGAATGTTTTCCTCGGAACAATACAATTTAAGTTATAAATTTTACTTGATTTAATCAGAAGAATGCTTCCCGTTTACTGCTAAGTAAGCTCGCTCATGGTTTTCAAATGTCATCATAATTAAAACACCAACTGACCTCTTTTTGACGAACTTCTCTCCCGACGTGCATGGACAATCCATAGGTAGGTCGCTTAATAGTTTTCTGGGCCGGATCTTGGTGCTGCATGAAAAGAAATAAGAACTTCACTTTCACAAAAACGTTTACAATAGTCAACCTCTCTGACCTCGGGTAACAGCCAAATACCTGTACGATTCTTTCAATGAGAAAGCGCCGTTTGCCCACTGGTGGCGTAGGGGTCATGCTGCGGGCTTCTGCTTGATTATTCAGAAGCAGCAAATAAAAAAAGGAGAAGAGTATAATCCACCTGTGTTCATGTCTGCTTCTCTTCAGTTCACCCAGTCGTGATCAGAATGATTAACTAGTTATTCTGAGAAGTTTTATAGGCCACTCTGACAGGTGAATCTGAGTCTAATTATATCCGCCGGCGTCCAAAGGCGTCGCGTGGATACGAAATTTACAAAGAAGTCAATCATACTGATCGACTCAAATAGTTCCCCTGAGGAAGCCTCTATACGTCAAATTAAGAGAGTGAACTTAAATCATTGAACCGTTAATTAGCATCGTTTAACTCAATTCTATTTGTGGGGCGCACCAGTGTTTTCTCATAATTTATTAATGCCTGTCTGTTTTCATCTGAAGGCTTATTTCTTCTCTAAGTTCCTGTTTCACCTGTATGCTCTCATAGACATATCTACTCTAATTATTCTCATGATACGACCAGATCGAGTAATACAACACAAAGTTTCTTTCTAAGTCGGAGATGAGTTCCGGAAATGAAGGCATGGTGATATAAACATGCCGAAGGGCCGCATCCGACGAACGAAAATGAGTAAAACATCATATACAACGCCCAATAATTTGTGAGAGTAAAATTAAAAAAATCCCCCAATCCGGTGTTTGTAATAGAGTATCCTAATACTTTTATCCTCACTATGAAGTAAAAGAGAGACGAGATCCATTTGCAATGTATTTATTTGTTTTTCTCTCATTGTAGTTTACCAGTTGCCACAAATGAGTGTCAAATTAGTACAACCTCTAAGTTAACTTTACAAACCAAACTTAATTTAATTTTAATTTTTTGGTGTAAAGAGCTTCCAGTTGATGAAGGTGTCCTTCAAAAGCTTTAATGAGTAGATGTAAATACATATTATCCACGTCTTATTATGAGGAATCAGTCAACTGCGTGGGATCATTAACATTACAGCTGTTTCCAATGTACTGGTTAGCAGGAAGTTTGTTAGTCGGTTGAATTGAAATAACGGTTTGATATGGCCACAACAGAAACACGAAAATCAAAATGCAATTCTTTGGCTCTCCACTAACTATTAATTGGGATAAAAGTCTCACGTCAAAAAGTATTTAAAGGTTACCATGTTTTGATAAAAGTGGGCCCTTAAGACCACATCAGATGGTCATGGAATTAGCTAATGAAACATTAACAATAACATATTGTGAGAAGGCGTGAAAGAAGGGCAAAAACTTTTTCATTTAAAAGGTATACTATAGTAATAAGCTCACTCTCAAAATTCCAGCGAGAAAGGATTGTAATTAGCACCGGAAAATTTGCGGAAGGAATGCGTATGATGATAATAATAACCAAAGGATAATGCAAGATGATGAAGGTGAAGCTTACGTTGTTCGATCTTTAAAATTTGGATTTTTCATCGGCTATTGATTCAACATGTGGTATGCAAACTAGGTATAATGGTAAAGGTGTTTTTCTTTTTTTCTGTTTAGCTACTTGGCAGAATTTTGGACATATGTCACTAGAAAACCAAATATCGAAGTTATCAACGAATACCTGATATGAGTATTCTTGAGAAGCAATTAAATTGTTATGATGATATCTAACATGGTGAATCTGGCGATTAGGGGTTATCCTCAGAGTCGTCGATTAATTGTCTCGACGGTTTTGGAGATTAACTCTCAAACTGAGCCGAATAAAGACCTAAGCAAGTGTAGAAACCAGGGACCTGTTTCTCGAAAGTCCTTGTAGATTCAGATCCACAAAGCTTAATTTATTAGTTGTGTTTACGTTCAAGATAGAGACTTTGATCGCTTTAAAATTCAAAAGTACTAAGACCCAAAATACTATCCCTCAATTTGAGAACTGTCAATTATGGCTTCGGGTCTGTGAAGTTAACTGGATTTTCAACAAACGTGTCTCAGGGCATAACTTCGACAGATGCAATGAGATAGAGGCTCCATTAGTTCCAGGTGAATAAGTTAATGAATGATGACGACGATTATTATCTCATAGACTAATAAGGGTGACACATATCAACGCAGCATAATTTATTTCTTGACTGTAAGGTGATATCAAAGTGAAACCAAAATGTTGCGTGGTAAATTAACTTTTTGCCAAAAACTACATTGACATGATTCATGATTAAAATCTTTCTAATTGATCTTAGGAAGAATGCCTTTAGAATTTGTTTTCTTACGTTAATATTTCGTCACCCCATTTTCCATATTCCATTCCTTGCGCAATAAAATTTTGACTAGGACTGTCGTAAAAGCCATACGATAACCCTAAAACGATGTATTATGGCTGAACAGCTCAAGTCTGCCCGTATTCATACATCTCTTTTCTAAGTCTCCATGATAACTTTCCCTTTGCGTAAAGACCTTTTTGATTCCCTTTCTTTTTTTCTCCTTTTTATTCCATTGCTTTGCGGTATGATTATGCCACAGAAGGATGTTTGAATGTTTATTGAGGCTAACAAGTGGACGTCGGTCTCCTTTTCAAGTTGAAAGTTTCAACTGTTAAGGTTTTAATGAGCTTTAATGAAGACGTTGTACAAAGAAGGAGTCTTTTAACATACCATGCTGCATGTGGTCACTGTTCGTAGGGAACTCCTCTCTTAATAGGGTACAACAATGATTAAAAGTTAGAGTCGTTCTTCCAAGCCTTAAATATCTAATGACTTAAATTAAATAAGTTGACGTGGAGAGCGTGGCCGTACGCAAAGTCATTTTAGAGTAATATTTTAAATGTTCTGTTAGAAAATACCGTTAATCAACTCTTTGCGAGGTAGTCCAAAACTATACATTTTATCCAGCCTTTTTTACACAAATACAAGTCCTTTTTTACGTATTTCTCTCCCGTGACTGATTGTAATTCATAACAGCTTACAGTCTATACCAACAAATTTTATAGTGCAACTAGAGATGTTATTTGTTAGTCCATGTACATCGATGGAGACAGACACAAACAAAAAATTCTCTAAAGCGGAATGAGACTGGCGCAGAAAGAGTCAATTAGAAGAGTCTCACGTTTTATATCGTGGGCAAAAAGAGGATCTTTTAACATCATTTTTGTGTAAAAATTTAAAGTTTTTTTTGGCTTAATTGGTCCGTTTTAGAATCGTTTTTATTATGGAGTCCCATCTCAGTAATACATTAAGCCTTATAAAACCCCTGAGATACTAGGCACACTTTCATTGGTCGATAACCAGCGTGTTTTGACGAGAGTATGTCAACACCTACAATGCTACATGGATTGGTATTTTTTGCTAAATATGTTTAACGGAATGCAGGGGAAGACCTTTTCTGTTTAATTACAGAGCCTCGTATAAACATTAGGTTGGCTTGGTGAATTCCTCAAAGTTATGCAAACTTTCGACTTCGTCTTGGGTATACACAATTGTCACGAGTTCACCCAGTCCTTCAGGGCCCAGTTTTTCGAAAGCCGATTAGCGCTAACCCAGGGTTAAATTTTAATCTGGATTTCTATATTTCTTTGTTCGATAGCCTTTTTGGGATCATTTTCTCTACTCAATATGGAGCATCCAATCATCAAATTGTTGACAAAAAGAATTCTACTGAATTTTCCTTAAAAGCTTCCAGAGCTGAAATCCGACTTCACACTAACCCTGGGTTATCTAAACCCAGCTTTGAACAACCCCGGCAGCCCAGATTATTTAGATGAGGCTATATGTAAATACGGAAATTTCTCCATTGATTAGATTGTTTTCAGTTGTCGTTTAGGTGGAACTAAAATTTGAAAACTACTCACTGACGTGCGACAAGATGATAATAAAAAGTTTTGCAGAGATAAATTATGATACCTTACCAACAACTTCTCGTGTATGTTAGGGAGCTATCGCCACCATTTCAGTGGCAGTAGCCCGGATGGAACATCGCATAGCAAGCGCAGTTAATCGAAGTTCATGCATCCGGGCCATTCGAGTAATTGCACGTAAGATACTGACTGAGTATCTGACTTAACAAGAATTGAGTCGTTGTTATCGTTCGTAAAACTCAATAATAATAAGCAAATAGGAACTGGGGATAGTTCTTTGCCGTTTGGTGCGAGAAATTAACTCAAATTTATCGAGCACTTAAGATTTTGTTCATGCTTAGCGTGCGTATATCAAGTTATGGATGCACGCGGGAAGTTTGGAGAGCACGAAAAATACGTAAGAGTAGCTCAAGGCGCAGCCGAGAGCAACTCTAGCTTTTTGAGTGCTCTCCAAACTTCTCAAGTGCATCCATAACTCGATATATGCACAGCTAAAAGCATGAGCAAATTCTTTTATAACAGGGCGACAGTGAACAAAAAATGCTCACGTCATCTTATTTACGCACGGGCGTGCGTAAATAAAGATTTTGTTCTTAGCGGCCCAATAGGACTTACATAGGGCAAGCACGCCCGCTATGTTATAAATGTCATTTGTTATCTTTTTAGTACAATCAATTTAGGTCATTTTTTTCTGTTTGTTTTTTTTTTTCGTTGGAAAAATAGCTCACTGTTTAGTAATAATTTTATTTTATTCATTTCATTTTAGTATTTCAGTTTTTATGAGCTTTAAAGCAGATTACTGAAATCATTTCATGATTGATAGAAGCTTGGAGAATTAAAAGCATTTCTCCGATGCGGAGTTGTCGGATCGATTGACGTCAACGTCCGCTCGTTACAGCATCACTTTTCCCTTTACCGTTCTGCTTAAGGCGCTGGTGATAAAGGCCGTGAAAGGAACACTTCGACTCCGAACTTACAACAACATCTTCCTTGCCTGTTTAGCGATTACTGATGTATTAACCGGTCTTTTTCGCCAGCCATCATATGTCCTGTGGAGGATATTCCTTATGTTTGGTCTCCGTAGCAGTGATATGGTTGAAAATTTCCATCTCCATATTATGACTATATTTCTGAATGCTTCATGTATGAAAGTCATAAATAGGTATAGCAGATGTCATGGGTTTAAATCCCGTACAGGCTTTAATTTTTTTCAGGCTTTATTTTAATTTCTGCTTAAGTGGTGTTCATTACTGCAAAGATCGTTTTCGTATTGATTTTTCAATCCGCAGTTCACTTATATGATTTTCATGTG